TAATTCGTCAAGTATTGTGACATTGATTTCATCGATTGATTCGCCTCCTATGCGGTACCTACGCAGGATGAGAACAACGTGTTACTGGCTGTTGTCATTATTAAATTAATTGTTGCGTAACGGAGGGAAAGAGCTCCTTAAAGGTGGTAAGTGTCTAGCTGCCAAGTGCTTGTCACTACTTGGTATTTGTAAGTATGCGTTATCCACCTCAAAAATTAAACGAAATCAATCAATCAATCCATCACTCCATCAATCACTCAGCCAATCACTAACTCAATAAGCAGTCATTGCAATTTGTAATTCGATTCGAATCAATGTACTTAGAAAATCTGATTTAAATATTTCGTCCTTATCATAAATGCACCTACCTTGATGCAAATCATTACTCTAAATCCTAACACAGCTTTTCAATGCCTACAGTCAGTTGACAGTTGGGATGGCTTGTTGTATGTAGAACTCTGATAAGTAAGCTGGTCAATCCACACCTTCGAAGACACTTATGCTGTCAGTTTTCCATACCATTTGCAACATCATCGCATTGTTTTCTAAAACCAACGACGAAGAAGGATCTATCTACGTAGCAAGGCGATTATATAGAAATATGTGCTTAAAGTCTACACGCCGGAATAAGTTCGTTGCGTCAAACACACAAAGTGGGAACAACAAACAAACAAACCAATTACTAATGAAAACGATTTATTGTCAATTGTTCCCCATGATCCTTGAAGCATCGACACGAGGAGTGTGGTAATATATGCATGGAAATTTATTGAATAGGGGGCTGAATAGCTGTAATAACACGACCTATTCAATTGTGTCATTATGTTATTATTTGCTTGTTAAACTATCTCGTCCCGGATTATTTTGGCAATTGCTCTTGAGAGAAAACAACAAATTAAGACTCGGACAGAAAAGGAAATTGACAACATGCCACCAAAACCAACGCCACCCTGAATGACATTACTTCGCCGTAACGTAATTGATGATGGCTTGATTTGTTGCTCGGATTTGTTGGGCGTTTGCAATTTATGTACATTGAGTAAAGGAAAATGTGTGTACAAAATAAATGTGAGAATAGTTACGATTACGAACAAAAGTGCAATAATCGTCGTCATCGTTAATTTTAATTTAACTTCAATAATTTTGTAGGCAAATGTGACGAAACATAATAATTCTCACTCGTCGTCGTCTTCTTGGGCTCATCAAGTATTTGTATGTGTAGGTAGGTACGCGTAAATATGTGAATATCCATACGTTTGTAGGTGTCAGCTTAGCTGGGACATTATGCGAATGCGATGAAGCAATTGTAATTGTTTCGCTATTCTGTGGGTCGGGTCAACGATGGTAAAAAGGAATTCATAATATGGACGCGAGTGACTTGGTGAATGAACCAAAGCATAAAATAAATGAGGCGCTTATGAGTGTGTATTTGTTGTCAAAGTCCTCTCAAGAAAGAAAAAAATCACTTTTCACAAGAATGTGTAATACCTCGCATTGCAATGACGGCATGTACAACAAGTGCATGGCGATAATAAAACCATAAATAAATAATACTCGTCAAAGCCAAGTTTTTAGCCGAGCTGTTGATAATGCTGTTTTGCAATACCGCTGCTCCTCACAACCAAATAAAATAACTTCCCATCATGTCTGAGTGAGTGATGCCAATCTGCTTAATGCCAATTTAGCTGGTAATGCGTTGATGTGCATTTTGCCAATTGAGTAACTTAATTGTCCTGCTTCATGCAGCATTATAAAATAAAATTGTTGCTTTCTGAGTGAGCGAAGCCAATGAGACGAGTTTTGCTCATATAAATAAATTCCTACGCCTGAAGTTAATGCTGAGTCCAATTTGGTAATAATTTTATTAAGTTTGTTTTAAAAAGCGGAAAATTCACGCTTTTTGTGGATATTTGTTTCTCTTAGAGAAAATCTGTTTTGGAGATCATAACGAAATGTTATCCGCCTCCTCCGCCTCCTCCTCCTGCTGAGGGAGTCAAGTTTGATAGCTTTTTTACCTGCGTTATGGTATTCCAAGTCCTGATGAGATGACAAGCCGCACGAAAAGCTGTCAGCAAGTTGTACACATTTTCTCCACTTGTACACACATTCTCCATACTTTGTGATCGTCGGCATGAGCATAAATTCTTAGTTTACTTCAACTTTACGAAGTACTTTTGCATGATAATCTAATAATGCTTTGTACACAAGAGTGTTTAAATTCCTCACGTGTTTACATACTTTCTGAATTTGCGTAGGTTCAGAAGATTTTAAAAATCTCGTTTCCCAACTTTTCAAAGATTTCGATATAATCTCCTTCTCTTTAAAGTATTAAATATATAAGTAAATGATTAAATTACGTTTTACTTTGTCTGGTTTCCATAAAGTTGTTAAAACATAAAGGATTTTTACATCCTTTAAAATCAACCACTTTACGACTAAACGTCAAGATTCTCAAATGTCATTTGTAGAAAATCCTTTTTCTTGATGCTGGATTATTTCCTGCATGTAATCATTTAATTTTGTCATAACTTTGATGGTCACTTCAAAATTGGTATGCCATTAGGATGACTTACGCATCTCATCAAAATGTAAAACATTGCACGATACGATTTAGACTTGGATGAAATAAAATAATTGTTGTATTTAAATACAGCTCGTCTCTTTAATATTTGATGATGCCATGGTTCACAATGCATTGCAACTCGTCTTGACTCAAGGAACGAAGGCAGAAGCTAATAATAAATGACATCAACAATAAATAACCAGCATTTCATCAACATATCAAAAGAAGTCGATAATTAAAGTGTCCCAGAAGGGATCGAACTTAACAATGAATAATAATAACCGTATTTCTGACTGGCTGGCATTTCTATCAGCTTCTTTATTTCTCACGACCAGTAACTCATCATCCTTACATCATCTCCTCGAATTCATCAATATTACCATTGAAAAATGTTCGTAGGTGGCATCATGCCTCCTAAAACTGTTCACCGTCATCATCAGCATGCATATAACGAACCACTGTTGGACATTGTTGCATGAGAAGAATCATGACATGACCTAGACCCATGTGTCTGCCGACGTCATTCCCCTGAAATGAATTGAATTCCGCTAAATTTATACTTCTTATCTTCACATCGTGACACGTCAATAATAATCACGTCGACCAAGAGTTGGGAAATTTTTAAATTCTCGATGCGACAAAATTGTGAGCAATCGAATTACTTTTGGGAAGAGATGAGATGGGATGCGTTGCAAGTAAATTTCTCCATTGTTGCTCATGGTCGGTGCTTCAAGCTTCCCCCGATGCAAGTGATAATGAGAAAGAATAACGACCACCAAACAATATGCTAAGCAAACCACGAAATGAAAAGCCATAAGTTAAAAGACCACCAATAAAATAACACTTGGTTGTTCGAGCACCAAATCCCATAAGAGCACAAACACGTACATAATGAGGAGTATATAACCGGCTTGGGTGGTCGGGCAGGCATTAATTCTGGAAAATATCGCCATGAAAAGGGAACGAACTGATCTTGCCCATCTCCAGCAGCCAGACCAGTCAGGGAGCCTGTCTTGGTTTACTATTTAGACGAATGGCTCCATCAGAACGATCCTTCACGCTCGTGAGTTGAGGCGCTATTACACCGACCGGCGACATTTATGAGGAATGCTTTAACAACTTATTTAGTTAGCAATTACGTCTTTTTTGAGACAGAAACTAGAACGTTTTCTTGATTGCAAAAAATAAGAATGTTTAATTTCATCCGGCGAGCGATCCAGAGGAAATTTTTAGTTTATTTGGCATTGTTTCTCCTTTACGATTAGTTCGGGTACTAAATAAAAATATAGTGTAATAATTTTACAGCAGAGTTCAAGGTGCGATTTTATTGATGGCGTCGGCAGTAAAATGGAAACCTGTCAACATTTTATGCAAGAGACGTGTTGCCGTAATGATGTAGATGTCATAAAAGTTTTATATTTTACAAATTTTTGCAAAAAAATGCAATCAACATGTCACAATTTTTATCCTTCTTGAACCCTGATGAAAACGGGGATATGCAAAATAAAACAAATTAAGCGAGGTTTATTACTTGGTGTGTGGGGCCGTTGGAGTTAATTGACCGCTTTTGAATTTAGCAATGCGTTCAAGTTTTGCATGGAAGAAATGAATATGCAATGGTGAAGAAGATATGCAAAAGGTTTAATTTGAGAACACAAAATGAGACAAGTTCAGTTCAGTAGTCGATGCAAATAAGATACGTTTTCATACCGAATTTCTGCAGCGTATTGTCCCTACGAAAAAACAAAATTAGAAAAGTTTTCAATTTATCGAATCTTTTGCCGTCAATCAGAACCGAAGGGAAAGCTTTCAATTACTCTGTCAAACTAATTTTGAAAAATATATTTAGCGATGTTATTCCAAAGTTTGACTTACAGCTAAAAAAATTAAATTGTTACAGATCTTTAGGAATGTACATAATTGATTGTTTGCCTAGTGTTCAAACTGATAAATAACGTTCGTGCAATGCCACCATTTATCATCATTCTTTTCCATTTATCCAAATCGATAGTCATCATTCAGTAGTCGATTCAATTTCATCAGCTCCGTCCGTGTCGTGTTTGGCTTGACATCTTTCTTTCTTCCCATTTTTTTGTCACTTGTTGAAATTGAATCCATGCATCAACAAACATTTCATCCCAATCTCATCATCATCGCCATCGCCACTACTTTTTGCTGTCCTCTGTACCTTCGTTCCTTGTCCAACTATTACGTGACATCCAAATTTGATTCACATACAGTCTCTGAAAAGATGTTCAAATAGTTTGAAAAGACTGGTCCGTAATTCCAATTCAACCTTCTTGTTAAACACTTCAAGTACGGCACACAATAATTTTGGAGGTCTTCTTCAAGGGAAAAAATCCAGGCAGAATTGCTTCGTCATAGTGAAATGTATGCGATGTATGTATGTACAATTAAAATTACTTTCTGATTTCAGGATCGACGTGTACGATGCTGATTCCGCCGTCCCTGGGAATCACCGTGTTTGCGCCTCTGAATGGTCAAGGGATTCGAGGAACGGTGACCTTCGTGCAGGAAGAGCCCGGCTCCAAAGTGACCGCCCTCGTCAGCATCGAAACGCTTTGGGTGGACCCGACCGAGTATTCGTGGTCAGTTAATGAATTCCCCGTCAACTACGGCAGCAACCCTGACGCGCGATGTGACAAAAGCGTTTTAGGATCTCCGTAAGTGTTTTCTTTTCATGTTTTAATACTGAACAATTTGTCATCTCATCTTAAAACTCGCACTTATTAATTACAAATGATTTAATGAAACCACTCGTTAACATTCCTGCCTGTTCAAAAATTCAGAGTCATTCCCATTATTTTCCTCAATACGTACGTACATCTCTCCTAGAGAAACTTTCTCACAGGTGGACGCATCTCTATTCATGCATTGAAAATATGAAGGTATATAGTTTTTCAATTCAGAAAACATTCTCGTCTTGGTCGGTGGACTTTGGTAGAAATTTATTAGCCTTCCTGGGAACCTTTTTGGGGAGGGGCGATGATTATGATATTCTAACAAATGAATTTGACAGTTGAATATTTAAGAAAGTCAAGATCAAAACCTCAGTTTTCAGACGGAATTTACAGTTTGGTTATGGAAATTAATTTCAAAGGAATCCGGATCACGGTTGACAAGAAGTTTGATTAGGAATTGAGCTCATTGTAAATGAAACCATATCCTGAGATCAAATTTTATTATGGAAGATGAAATGGTGACACGAAATTATTTGAAAATCGCACTGTTTCTTTGTATGAAATTATTTTAGCTTTTATAACTCCGCGACAGGACAGGCACGAGTTGGTGACAGCATTTTCTTTTCTTTAAAAAAAATCCTGGCAATAATCATCACCTTCATCGTGATTCGCATTGCGGTGTTTCAATAAAAAATGTCATGAAATGATGGCAAAAAATTGGATGAAATTGATATCTTAACTTTTATGATTCTGTGTCTCGACAGGACGCTAAAACTGGACGAGATCTTCGGAAAGCTCACCCTTCCCACGGAATCCACCGTAATCCTGTCCACAGATCGGTTCAACTTGACAGGACCGGATGGTATTTGGTCACATTCGCTCGTCATCACTTCACGGGGTCAGAGTACCTGCGCCACGATTGATGTAAGTGGTTTTGTGATAACATCGAAACCCTTTCTTCCTGCTTATTCCGGAATTTCGCTGTGAGACGAGATTCTTTGCGCAAGATTATGTCAAACTTAGTGAATGAATAGGTTTTTGTGGGATAATCAGGATCATTATTACAAAGTAAAGCTCAACCATTGCTCCATCGCTGCTGGACCACGATTATTAAATTCGCCCGAACATAATTTAAGCAATTATCTCAAAACTTTGTGATTATATGGCTTATTACTCTCTCGATTAGTTTAATCGTGCACGTATTATCTTTCGGACCTGGCATCTAGTTTTCCATCAGCACCGTTATTATCCTGGGCAGGAGGTTGGACCGCAAGTGGAAGAATTGCAATCATTTCTCATTTCTTCACGCAGGCAGTGGTTACTTTTTCTACTCGGTGATCTGGATCTTATTAGAAAGAAAGTCGCACAGCAAAAATTCATTTATGAAACTAGTCACGATTTAAGACGAAAGAAAGAAATAACGAAATATGAAATATTCAGATCGCGAAATTTAATAAGTTCCAAAACTATACAAATTATTCATTATATTGAAATCCTGGCATTTTACGAAAAACTTTTATACTTGATTTAATCCAAGATTTTTCGCTATCATTAAAATCGTTACACCCTGCTGGCCAATCGAATTTGCCAAATATGCAACACTTGATCTTATTTCAAACACCTCATTTGTTAACTTGGTATGGATTTTAGTATCAGAGTTTCTTCGTTGGGTGTTGGTTTGGTACATATATAATCTCGATATTTTTCTCACGTCATCTTTCATCCCATCTTCACATACAGAGCACAACGACGTGTGTACATACATACCTACTTGTTTCCATACAATTAGATCTTGACCGTGTACGTCGACTCGTATTTGAATGCAACTGGTGGTAGATACGTATTCCAAGAAGAAATGAGTCTTATTTCCTTTCCTCCATATATGGAAACCCACGGGGAGACTGCAGCAAACAAGCAACGATTATAGTTGAAAAATTACAATACACAATACATGGACACATCGACTTGATCAATTCCAACAAACAACTGCCAAATGTACAAAATAACAATGGAACAAATCAAACTCAATTATGATGACAACAAAGCCAATAATGAATATTATAGAAAAATGAAAGACGACGAGAAACAAAAATGGGTGTGGGCAGCCACGCCATAAGCAGCAGTACGGTTCACGGTCCGGTCAACTTGTAGCACTCGAATATACAAGATTGTCGATCCATACACAATTTACGTCCACATTTTGAAGCTTGATGCCCTTCGATTTTTGCATTAAGAAATGACTATTTCAAGATAAATATGTGTTTTTTAGGCGGAAGCTGAGACCAGATTTGGGGTTGCCCACTTTACTCGTCCAATGGCTGGAAGTGTTTACTTTCAAACTCTGAATGACCGTCAGGGTACAACAACTTCCGTTTTTAGTGACCTTTTTCATGTGAATCAGGATCGTCCAGCAGCATCGGATCATGTATGGAAACTTTACATTACGGATTACACGTCCAATCCTAGAGGTAAGTTGAGACTCTCAGTTTTTCTTAACGTGAAATAAAGGCAAATAAACAAACAACAAACGTAACGAAAGCTCTAATTTAGAGTAAGTAAACAAGTTCATAAAAACTTCCTCGAGAAGTCGAGATCGCGAATTAGTTAATTTTGTGTCCAAAATCATAAAATTTGATGTCATACATCAAATCAATGCGTAGATTTTCGTTATTCAATGTTACTCGTATTTGTGAACCGACCTTAACATTTAGTTTTAGTGTTGCAGAAACTAAAGTATTATGCTACTTGTATTTACGAAATGTTCATAAATTTTGCAAATCTTCCACATTCTGGAAACTTTCAAACTCAAATCTAACCTTGGTTAACTGTGGTAAAGATTTGGAGTTGTGGGGATCAAAAATGAAGAGATATTAATTATACATTGGGCGTACTCACGACAACTTCTTATTTCGCATCGCAACTCATTTAGCAAACTTGCGAAGATCAAAATTTTTCTGTCGTGAGGGGATTCGCAAAATATGACTTCGCAAATCTCTCTAATCTCGCAAATCTACTGAAAAACATCAATTTTGGCATTGTTTCCATGGATTTCTGTAATTTCTCTTGCTGGCGATGGTGAGGATGAGTTTGCGAAGTAATTTTGCGAAATAGGAACATGCCCAATTGCTGGGTAAATTTCCGAAAAAAATCCCATGCTTTTCCAGCAAAAATTTTGCGAAATCTCGCAAAACTTCACAAGTTATGTTGCTATGCTCAATTTGCGAGATATGCGAGATATGCGAAGGTTGACGTGAGTACGCTCATTACAATTTGAATTGCGAGGTTAGGATTATAAGTCATAATCCAATTAATTGGTCATATAATATGAGTCATAAGTATTGTGCCAAATTTCATGCAAATCGGCCGAGAAATGGCGAAATCATGGCATGGCGACGAAATTTGGCGAAAACAAGGAGTTGGCGGCGGGCGGGACCTTGCGACATGTCCACAACACCAATAAGAAGCATTGTGCTCAATTTCATGCAAATCGGCCGAGAAATGGCGAAATTATGGCATGGCGACGAAATTTGGCGAAAACAAGGAGGTGGCGGTAGGTGGGGCATTGCGACATGTCGACAACACCAATAACAAGTCTCTGTCGAAATTTGATGGAAATCGGACGAGAAATGGCGAAATTATGGCATGGCGACGAAATTTGGCGAAAACAAGGTGGTGGCGGTAGCTGGAGCATTGCGACATGTCGACTACACCAATAAGAAGTCTCTGTCGAAATTTGATGGAAATCGGACGAGAAATGGCGAAATTATGGCATGGCGACAAAGGTTGTCGCCATGCCATGCATTCATAAGGGGTGGGGGGGAGATGTTGGCCCCCCTAAAAAGGGCGTTTCCAGAGCACACGACGAGGACGTCGCTCCCTCGTGCTCCACGCGGGTCGGCCCCCGCGGACGCCCGAATGCGTCCGCGGACGTCTACCTCCACCGACCGGGAAAGCCCTGCCCACGTCGCCGCCTCTGCAACCGCGTTCCCCTAGGGGGCCCGTCTGACCCTCGCCTTACGAGGTGGGAGCGCACCCGTAAATCGGCCCCCATTAAGGCTTCGAACTCGGGAACCCGGTCGGCCCCACGGGGAGGTATCGCTAAAGAGCGGCGTCACCCAAGGGTTGGAGGTAGAGAGCCCCTCTCACTTGCCAAGCGCCACCCGCACTTTTGGCAAGCCCCGCCGGCTCCCCACCCGGTGAGCCTGCTTGGTGGGAGGAGCATTGGAGGGGGGACCTTCCCGTAAGGCTCTCCCCTTGCAGCGTTGCTCCCCCGGACCACCCCTCCAACGGGAAGAGAGTCGGGGCTGTGGGACAAACCACGGGTGGACCCGACTCCCCAGAGAGGCAGGGCGGTCCAGGGGCGCAGCTGCAATGGGGAGCTCACCCAGGGACACGCCCCCACGAGCGCCTCCCGCAGACTAAAAAAATTGCGGAACGGAACTTGTACTAGGCAACTTTGTCCCCCTAACCACAAACTGTGGTCACTTTTGCAAGGAAAAGGTTCAATGACCTGACTTGAAACTGGTCAAATCAGCCTATTTTTTAGTTGTAGGGCAGTATGATCTTGCATTTTGTGCATTAAAACTTTCAAAAAGGTCAGTGGGGGTTTTCAAAAGGAGGGGTGGCTTATGGCTGATATGCCAATATCTACATGTCCACATGTTCCGTGTTTAAAATTTGTTACAGATAATTCAATTAATTATATCAACGTTGTTGGGGGTGGGAAAATATCGATTCTTATAGTTTTTTGGTCGCTGATTTCGAATCTGACGTCAGTTTTTCGATTGCGACATCATGGGAAGGTGGACATGGCCAAGAAGTGTTCCTAAAATTTCTCACAAATTTAGGTACATATAATATTTCTTTTATCATGTCGTGTAATCCAATTTAAAACGTACTGGATCAGTGTGACGGGCTAATCGACGGGCGTATACACTTATAACATATAACCTGACGTAATTCATCTGAGATTCCCCCGCATGACTTAAGGACACATAAAATTATAAAGCTATATACAAGCATAAGATGATAAGAGTGGGGTTTGTACTGGGAATCACAGACTGTGATTCATAATTTTAATTTATGACCAATTAATTGGATATATTACTTTCAGTTTGATAAAATTTAACTAATTTGAAAAATGTGTTTCTTTGCATCTAAATTATAGATGACCTCGACTGCAATGCAATACAACAATTGTGGGATCCCGATAATCGTCAAGGAAGTTCGGCATCCTGTTCCAAGAAGGCTCAAGATTCCTGCGCTGCTGGCGAGATGACCGGAAAACATGGTAAAATTCGGGTGGGGGCTCGCCAGTCCTCCTTCTCTCGAAAGGTGTTCATGGACTCCTCCCTTCCTGCAATTCCCTACGGGGGACGGAGGAAGATTGTCGTCGTCATTTTCCATCCCGACAGACCGGACAACATTGTGGGCTGTGCTGCTATTCAAAAGGTACCAGATAAAATCCCTACTTTTTAGCAAAAATAGTATAATCATTCATTGCCAACCCTATTTTCAGATTGAACCCAAACGTGGCATCGCACTAGTTAACGGTTATGGTGCCAGGGTTAATTTTACTTTCGTGCAAAAATCTCCCTTCCATCCGACAACAAGTCATATCACTGGGAGGAACTTGAAAGAACGGGCTGGAGCTTTTCATATCCATGTTTTCCCCAAGTTGGCGAAAATGAAGGTATGGTTTTGGAAGTAGCAGTGAATTATTATCAATCTCCGCCTGTCTAGAGTTATTTATTAGATTCATTCCATTTTCATTTCAAATCATCCTTATTCAATTTTGACAGCGAAGCGCAACAACAATTCAACAATGCAATAGTTGGGTCATATGTACACTCTCGAATCACGTAATAATGCAAGTAGCATAGCCATTGCGCTTCGAATTCCCTTCCCTTAAATTAAAGATGTCACTCACAATTAGCACTGCAAAGGGAGATGAGATAAGAGAAGAGTGAGAGGTGAATGAATGATTATGAAGATGCGCGAGCAAGACAGACAAGTAAATGGGAGTTGTTGTTGTGTGTGGCGTTTTGCCTACGTGTGGTTATTGAGCGAAACTACATATGTTGAATTCATTAAGACCCTGTAATTCAGAAGATCGAGATGCACTGCAATGTGTTCAATTTTAAAAGCGAAATTAATGATTTGAAAATTAAAAGTTGGTAGAATAGTGTGGGTTCATCGCTTTCGTGCAACTGTTGCAACTAACCAAGTCTTCATTGTCATTGAGTCAGATTACGATTTTCTTTCTTTCCAATAGTTCATTAAAGTGGATGGCAACACATCCTTCATTAATGGATGGTTAATAATAAACTGAGGTTCGATTGATTGATTGATTACCAGAGTTGCATGACAGAACTCGTTGCAGTTAGTGGTCAATGGTTTAAAATGACGCGGACAGTAAATTATGAATTATGATGTATTTTTTGTAGAAAATTTTTGTAGACCGCTAGCCAAGCATTATTAATATTTTAAATCAATCATTGTTTTTAGCCTGGAGATCCCGTATGCCAAAAGACGGGAGGACATTGGAATCCTTATCAAGTAAATATGGCTGATTATCCTCAACCTGCGGGAGGAAGCGATGACCAATTTGAGGTATGGAAGAAATTAATCACCACCGAGGAAGGAGCACCATAATTATTGCATCTTTCTGTTTGCATTTGTTTTACGTAATTTAATACATACTTAGCTGGGTGACCTGGGTGGAAAGTATGGAACTCTTGCCGGGCTTGATAACGTGACCAGCAAATATTCTGACCAGAATTTGCCCCTGTTTGGACCTCAGTCCATTCTTGGGAGATCCATCGTCATTTATCGGTAAGCATACATATACTGTTTTACTTGTGGTTTTTAATTGTTGTCAAGTATTTTCCATAATTTTCATCAAGCACGGAAGGAAGGAAGTAGATTTCCCCTAAAAAATAAACAAGCAATAGGCTTTTAACTTAACAATTTGGTGTCAGCAGGTGTTAGTGAATAGTATGTTGTTACGCAATCAAGTTCATTTACTAGCATTAATTTTTCTGTCAGGCCTAAAAGCTCATGTATGAAGAGAATACGATAATGTAATGCAGGATTCACACGAAAATGTTAAGTCAATTTCGCTCTCTATATCACCAAATGCCTTTATAGCTGCTTAAAATGTGAGAAGTCCCCGTGGCATATTCACATCGTTAAACTCATGACACCTGTATGCGCATTTGCGACACGGCATAAGAATTAGCAATTAATGTGTCTTAACACGGCACTGCAACTTTTAACAATGCAATAATACTACGCGATGCGGAAGGAAGCCGTAGCTGCATTTCCTTCCATATACATAAATTATGCATTAGAAGTAAGAACCCAGAGATTCTCGACACACGGACGGACGGGGATGAGATTCTTTCGACGTGGATTTTTCTCCTACCTTCAAATTCAATACTTTTAACAAACAAAAGATAATTATTATTCGTCCTCTACGGAAAACTTTCTACGCCAAAAAGTGGAGCAGAATTAAGAGGAAGAATTGATTCACTTTGGTTCGAGGCTAAAATTCCCAATTTTCAAATCCACCATTCAGTTTTCGTTCACTATAATAAATGTCATGAAAAGTATTTTTTAACATATACGCATTTATGCATTCATGTCCTTTTGCGGTTTTACTCTATCTAGATGGGTGATTTCCCTTGTCATGTCATTTTTATATCGATGTCATCCAAAGGTGAAGATAAAAATAATAATAAGTGGTGGCACAAATTCCAAAATGGATGCAGATATTTAGTGGAGCGAAAGAAAAATTCATATTCCACAGATTTTCAGTGGAACAATCAAAATTCCAAAAATGAATTTGGCCATAAAGGCGAATCTCAAATGGGTAAATGACAACCAGAGGAAATAAATGACTCGAGGGTCAAAGGCTACTTGCTTACACCCACCACAACAGTCGTTGAATGTTATACATAACAAGTCCATACTGCCACTGACTTCTTTATTTGTTGGCCGTGGCGTAGGCAAAAATTGGTGTCTTTTGGTCTACTGTCCTGTAAACCCTATCATTATCTTCCTTTCCTAGATTATCTCTCATCTGCGATCAATCCGTCTGACGGTGGTGCATTACTGTCTGTGGAATCATGGGTGGCATGACATTTGGTTATTACTTTATACGTGAAATTTCTAAAACTTATTTGATCATCATGCAAATCAAATTGATGATTGTGCAGTTATCCATCACATTCGCTCGCTACTTATTGACTTTGTTGCTTCCTATGATTTGTTTGATTGGATTTTTAAAATTGTTGGTTGCTTTATTACAGAGCTACGGATGGTGGTGGGGGTCGATGGATTTGTGGAAATATTGAAAACACTCAACCCATGCTGGTCGCAATGGCCAGGTTCAAATATCCTCTCGTGGGGACCATGTTCTTCATGCAAGAAGCCAACAACCCGTTTTCAGAGACAAAGTAAGTATTCATTCATCCGTGTACATATGTGCATTATTATTATTAACATTATTAAGGAGCCCTGTCTTGATGTGACGCAACTTGTCAAAATTAGCAACGGAGACAGCCTCCTCATCTTCATCGTGTTTTAGCCAACTTAGGCAATAGTGCTAGTCAAGGTCCTTTTTCATCTGAATGAGATTTCTTTGTGTAAAAAGTAGAGTTTATTTTATTTCACAATCGTGAACATGGTTCAACCCACGAAAGAGGTGATTAGAGCCACTCATACCTAAACAACAAAGTTTTATATTGTCATCCAAATTTACTCTTATTTTTGTGACATGCATTTGCATACAAGGTTTAATCGTCGAATTCTAATCAAGTAAAGCAGCAGAGAGTTGGTACCTATTTTGATTTACCGTATTTGCATATGAGACGTGGTTGTGATAGAAAATGAAAAACATAATTGCATTATATCATTTGGTTATTTGAATCTGCAAGAGAATTGAATTTGAAGGATGCAGTTATGAAATCAGAATTAAAATTCATGGCTAATTACATATGTTTATTTATTCCATCCTTCCTACGTTCGCTCTGCCCTGTAAATCTCAAGTTTCAGAATATTTCATAAAATTGGACATATTCTTAATGTTTTTGTATTAACGAGGCATTGTGTCTCGTAGTTTTATGACAGGCTAGACAAACGGAAAATGCAAGTGCACTATTTAAAAGTGGTTAACTTTACTGCCACAAGAAATGCATTGTATGCAATTCCCACGCTTGTCACTCCTCCAATTTTTCTCGTTTTACTAAAAGACAAGAGGAATTGTTAAAGTGCTATGAATGGGATCATTGTAAGGTTTATAAAGACAGCGAAATAATGGAAGGTTTGATGTACGCGTTACACTTGCACTTAATAATTGTCTTCGTATGTACATACGTGCACGATTGTCACCATTGTCGACTTTGGATACCACCATTTACCAAATCAAACTGAAAGTTTTCTTATTATTAAACCCGTGCATAATAAGTATAACTGAAGTTAAGTCAGTAGAATCAGACCGCTATTTGTTCATGACAATTACATGAAGGGCACATTTGCATTGGTTGGTTGAGAAATGTGCATAGCGAACAAAGACGGAACGAACAATCCGTAAGAATTTAATACAAAAATGGAATTGGTTTACTCTCGTTTGGAACAATGAGTCAGCAAATAATTTGAAAAGGTAATAATTGGCTGGCATACAGAGAGGCGTCATGTTATTGAAATATGAATGAAGAGCAGTCTGATTTTCATTGATGTCTGTCCATTGATTATTGACTCAATAATATTGTGAAGCCTGACTTGGTTCGGTAGTCACTAATCATGTCTAATTACGGTTTGATCTGTCATTTGCAGCGTATTCATTGATGGACTGCACTACAGTGATGGATCCAAAAATAACACTTTGGATCATCCGTGGGGAGTTCATTCTGGAGAAATTAATAAGGATTATTACGACTGGAGAAATCGATGCACGAGTGCTGGACCACAGTTCAATCCGTACAGGGTACGTGTCCAATGTAAAAGCTGTCCCATGTTTGCATTATGATTAACTCCTGCGACTCTTCTAGGTGAGTACTGAAACGCGTGGATATTCCGACTGTGGACCCTCAAGTCCACTCCGATGTCAATTGGGAGATTTGAGTACAAGGCTGCAACGCATATCTGTTTCCGGAACAAAAACCGGGGTTATCCACACGAAGAGGGTCTTCACTGATACAAATCTTCCACTTTCTGGACGTAACGGAATTATTGGGAAGGCTGTCGTTATCACGGATGATATCCATCCTGTACATCGTGGCGACAGACTAGCTTGCGTTAAGTGAGTGCTTTGGAGATAATGCAGGCTTATGAAATGATCGTGAATCACTTTTTACGACATTTTACATCTACTCGATAATGAAGTGAACAGAGTAAATTCATCGTAAATAATAATGTCAGAAGTACACTAACTAGAATTTTTGTTCTCAAAATGGTAGTGAACTATTATTAGATCATAAATCTAAATCAGCACTCACTGAAGCGTTAGTTGTTGAAATTAATGTGTTTTTTTTGTATGTCGCCGTATTTTGTTTCCTTCACATTACCGTAAATATCCTCAACACAATAAGCCGTGACGATGATTATTAACGGTTATGCTTGCGTATTGACTTTTCGTTTATCTGAAGGAGAAAGTAATGCCTAGATTTATGATTATTACATAGTGGTGTTAATAATGAACCACTACCATAACCACTGGCTGACTTTAACCCCCTTCTTTAATGTGACGGACATGAGTTAAAAAGATGCAATTTTTAATTTTAACTTCAGAATTCAACGCGTCTATCGTGTCAAGGCTGTAGCCAAAGACTGGTTCGGCAATGGAGAGAAGACTGGAGTAACTGGTCGCTTTGAATTTATTCAAGATACTCCATTTTCACCTGTCAAGACTTTTGTCATGCTGAAGGGCCTCGGAGGAATTGTCAACAATTATCATGTTCATGAGGTGATACATGCATTTATGCGCAGTAGATAAATATATAATTATAGCTAAAAGTGGTGTAGTATCAAATTTAAATGGGTGTTATTATGCTTGACACAGACTTCCATTCCCATCGATCGAACTCAACCATGTTCTGATCATGCCGTTGGAGGTCATTTTAACCCATTCAATGTTACAAAGTCCCCACTTCGAGGAACCCAAGATCAATACGAAGTTGGAGATTTGAGCGGAAAATTCGACAAGTTGAGAGATCTAAATGCCTTTGATAAGGAATATAATGACACCAATATGGAACTAATCGCTCCGCTTTCAGTTCTCGGACGTTCCATTGTGTTGCACAAGAAGGATAGGAACCTTCGGTATTATTTACATAAGAATCGCATGAATGAAGATTTGAATTTGATCACTATTTCAGAAAAATAGTAATATTTGATGTATTTTAAATAGATACGCTTGTGCAGATGTCGTTCGTGGTTACAGTCCTTCGGAAGCCTCCGAGTTCCGAGCGATAGCTTCTTTTCATCATCCAGAGGGTTACGTCTGGGGATATGTTAGATTCGTGAGTTGCTTCTCATAGCATAAAACTCACAACTTGACTTAATTGCTTTGTTGATGATATTAGACCCAGCTTGTGTACAATGACGGAAGTCTCAGCGATACAACAATTGAAGTCAACCTCAAATATCCTGGACAAATTAATCGAAACGCGGTATGTTTCTAAAAAAAATCATTGGACGTATGAGCTAATTCAACTACATTTTATGGTCATATTTCTAATTTGTACGAATAATTAGACGCGAAACCATGCTTGGTCTGTCTTTGTCAATCGAGTGGGACATGATGCTTCCGTAAGATCTCTACAACATCGTTGTGTCGCAGCCGGCTACCGATGGAATCCATATTTCATTCATCTTGCTGATCCAAATAATGTAATTATTGAAGACATTTTATAGTTTTTCTAGTACTTTTTAAATTCACCTTCTTCCACCAGCAAGTATTTGCCATTTTATTCAAATTTAATGTAAAAATAAGTTAAATTTTTTACGCAATGTTAAAAACTAATCCTTTCGACTTATGCATAGAGATCTGCAGATGTATATGTATGCAAGTAAAACCACTTGTTCCTCATTGCAAAATCTTGGAGTTTAGATAATGAGTTTTAAAAAAATTACCTTTAATCTAGAGCTAATAAGAAACAACTGGTGGTTGGTTGCGTTATCAATGACTTCAAGTCTTAGAATAGATTTAGATCAAATGACTCATTGGTCACAGATGTGGCTTAACATTCCGATGTTGAGCTTCTTTGTTTTATTGCAATATGTTTGAGTTCAGTCTAATTGAGGTTGCCTCTCTTTAAAAAGGTTGACTTCTACGCCCAAGAATGCTCCCCCGAGTCTCCTTTGCGCTGTGATGTAGGTGACGTTTCTGGTCGCTTGGGCCCCATTTCAATAGGAGAAAACAAATTTATTCTTGCTGACCCTAACCTTCCGTTGAGTATGTACAAATATATCAATATAACTTATATACAAGCATATAAATGTGCATTGAGATTTGAGATTAACTGGAGAATCCATTTCAGGTGGACCAGCCGCTGTGTTGGGAAGGTCACTTATAATCCACGCTCCAAACAAAGGCGTGGATCGACTCGCCTGTGCCAACATTGATCCTGACAAGGACATCATTAAATATGCAAACATTCGAAAGCTTAATAATTTCTTGCTGTGAGTTGTAACGTAGTGTTTCATGTTCTTGCAATATTACTTGTTGCTTCAATTATGAATATTATTAAGTTTATGATGAGTTACCATTTTAACTAAATTGCGCATTCTTGAATGAATGACAGGGACGAATTTATCGACGAGGTAAGAAAGGTCCTTGGAGTCCCAGACTGGATGCTGACCTATGACAATCGCCAAACGAAAGACGTCTACGGAGGCGAATGCATACAAATGCTGTTCCATTTCAGAGGTTAACCTAACTCTCAGTTTCGCTTATATTAATTTGTGTCAAGGTGAATTCTATATAATTCGAACTGATTCATGATACAGGTCCAGTTGCTGACCGAATTGAACAAGATTTTGATAGACTCCTGAATGGGAGAGAAATTTCAAGGCCTAGCTTAGAAATCCCTGGTGTTCAAAATCCACCCACGAGAAAGTCTAAGCTCCCGTACAGAACGTGCTCGAATCGAAGACCTTCATCTCAACTTACAAATTCACTAGGACTTGGTGAGTATGATACCACTAATATTATTTTATGCAACTCTTTAATTACCAACTAAAGTACTCATGCTACCCGTATTTACAAATTACAGACACTGTGCCAAAATTTCCATCAGGTTCTAGTTCCGCTTCCAGAGGTGTGGCTATTAGTAGCGTTGGAGTTCTACTTAGCGTTCTTCTTTCCCACTTCCTTTCCTCAGTATTATATTCTAGCTCCAGAAGTTCGCCTCTCCGTCGCCCCCTCCAAATGATACATCAGTAAAATGATTATATCGAAATGCAATTAGTACCTTGATAGGATTAAGAGAACCATTTTTTTGTATAAAGGATCTATCTTCCATAATTGTTAATAGGTATGCTTTTATCAGTCATTCGCCCAAAACGATGGGAATAAATGTATAAATGTATTAAGTAATGACCATCCGTGTTGGTTGAAGGGAAGCAACAAACCTGTGTGCCAGTCAAATTACATTTGTAGTTTTAACATTTTCTTGGTTATGCAAGTGCATGTTCTGTATGTTTTTATTTGTTTAATTTTAAGGAGACAAGATATTTTTCAGTCTTCTGCTGTTTAAAACTTGAATTTTACTTTTATCTTTTGTCTGTATCATGTATAGGTTTATTTGAATAAGTACGTGTGACGTGCTCAACAGAAAGAGCATAAAAGTGTGGAATAGAGTTGAATGCGTGCTATCTTTTTAATTATTTTTTTACACTACAAGCAAAGGGGTATTTCAGTAATTATTGATTGACTTTTTGTACTTTAATGTATATTATTAAACATGAACCATTATTTGTAATCCTGCCAAATTAAAAATGTAAATCTTTTCGTTAGAGTCGGTTACGATAGCTTTTTATATTTGATTAATGTTCCTTCAAAACATTAATAATTGGCTATTTTACTGCAGCTCCATACATAATTTCTGCAGAATCGTACAAACCAAGTAATCATAGAAAAAATATTTCAAAAGTACGTTCAATGTTCCCATAAGTTAATACAAAGACGAAACGAGAAATAAAACTGGAAAAAACGTTATTTGATGTATTGTACTTTTCCATCTCAAAATAATTTCCTGACAATTTGCATAATTGTGCTTTATGAACTTAATTGTGAACTCAATTCATTATTACATGTACGTATTGATTTTTGGTTTACAAAATCCATTGTACTTAAATATTTTTGTCACAAGTGCTCATGATTTAGTTGTAAATTTTTAAAAATCCTTAAAAAACATGCAGAAATAATCACAGAGAGGACAGACGAGTAATGCGGAAATGTCGATAATCAGATAAAATGCATGTGGCATTCATAGAGTTACATTTCCGATAAAAATTGAGAATCTCATTTGGACCAATGAAAGAAATGCTGCTAAAATTCCGCACCACCACGATCCTCGCGCCTAGCCAGACAGCAAGCAAGCAATAATTTTGTAATAACAAGTATTTCTTCATTCTGCTCTTTGTGATGCCAGGTTAAACAAGATAAACAAATTCTAAATACTGGATAAGGAAACTGGGACAGGCGGTTCTCAGCTCAATCACGCACTGGCCCTTATCAATCAGCTAATCAACTAATTTTCATAGATAACTAATTTATTCTTGACTGAATAATTTAACTCGTAAAATGTGGAAACAAGCCACGTCAAAGCTCAAGAAGTTATTTCACTTGGATGAAGGACAGAACAGTCCGAGAAAAGCAGGCCTGGCCAACTGTTCGAAAATGCCGATGGCACAATCCCCGGTGACAAGGCCGCCCAACCTGTCGACATTCCCGTTGTCGTCGCCATTTGGACGCACCCTGACTGAAGACAACAGTGATGGAGTAGTTTTACTAACTGCATATGATGACGATCAAGTTGGTCGAGTTTTCTTGCTGGCGTACCAATCGGAGGAATTCATTGACTTTTTAGATGCACTAACGGACAATGGCAATCTCAGTAAGAAATTCAAAGATTATTTGATACAAACATTTCAACCAACTTGTCAAATTTCAAAGCTTTAATTTACTAAGCGGATTGCTTATAATTCTAGACTGTGTTAAAGTCATCCCCCCGGTCGGGACAGTGGTCGTGGCGCGGATTGGCATTGATGGAGATGAGCGCGATGATGTACCATTCCTTCGGAAAATTGGAGGAATTCATAACAAACCGTGGCGAGGGATTATTACACAAAAAGAAGGAGGCAGCCTTGATAAAGACTCAAACAAGGCCTGGATCACTATTACTGACTTGGGAATATCACAGTATGTGGACATGTCGGACATTTTTCTGCCTTCAGAAGAAATATCAAGCGTAAGAAAAAAGTTTATGCAGTTTCTTTCTGTGTACAAATCATTTCAAATTTTAATAATTTCGACTGTTTGTATTAAAGATTCCGTTGGACAAGTTCGGTTGCTGGGTTCATATTAACAACGTTGATATTACAAATGAGAATCGCATGTTTTACCGATCCACTTATAGAAACTTGATGGATTCACTGCTGTATTCTGAACTACACGTTGTTAAAGTAAGTGCTATGGCCTGTACAGGTAGCATTTGTCGGCAACTTTGATATATTTTGTGCTCACGCCAAAATGACATTAGAGGGGATTTAGGAGACTACTTATATAATTCACTAGGCTTCTCTCACAGTTCCCATTCTTTTACAGGTGAATGAAGATAGCACTGGGATAATGAAGCTTGATCTTAAATGTGCAAACGAAGCAAATCCAGCCACCTTGATTGTACAACTTCAGCATTGGGAATATGAGAGGGTGGAGAAAAAAGTCACCATCAAAAATTCAAAGAGTATTGTCGAGGGTGAGGGAAGAGTAATATGAAAAATAAGCATAATACCATGTTTGTCTAATAGTTAAGAAATTATGGTTAGTGTAATGTAGTGGAATGTAAGGGAGCAATTAAATTAAATTAAATATAATATATATCCATATATTTTAATTCCAATACAGCCATCCACGGTCGTGGAACTAGAGTCAAATTTTTTGATATTATGCAACCACTTTGTCTTTCCATTGGAAAAATTTACAAAGGCACTGTCACTACCTCCGAAAAGTCCAGCAAAATTTTCTTGTTTCGCGTCCTGGAAGACGAGGAGATATCTGACAACATCAGAATTTGGAATCTACATGTCTTCAAATATTGCGATCTAATATCTCATTGCTCCTCGTGGTATCCTGTTGTGGATGAAGTATTTCTCATGCAGAGAGGAACTAAATCGCAAACAAGTACGCAACTAACTATTTAACTAAATGTTTGTTTAAATAATTCCAGTAAACGTGAACGACAATTATTCGCCAATTTTCAGATAGCAACAATGAGGATAAAAATTGTCGTTGGAGGCGCGTAATGAGAAACTTAACCCACATTTGGGATTTGGATGATGCCAAATTTTTTGTGACATTGGATGAGGTGTCTTCATCTTGCATAATGCGACCTGCGCCAAAGGATTTGCTTAATTTACCAATGGGACATGCGAGGATCCTAATTCCAGGTAAAATTGTGCAAGTACACTTACATATGTATATACATTAATACATTTGCGTATATAAACTATTACTAAAAGTCTATCTTCACTATTCAGGATATAAATTTAAATCCGATGCCATCAATGAAAATTTCGTACGCAAATCATTCCCTCTGCGTGTTGTAAGCTACGACTTGGATAATCTGGCTCACATCGTTGAAGTTGATGACAATGTTCTAGAATGGTATGTGCCTTCATAGATTCTTGTTTTATAAATGGCATAGGACTCCTAGGCTACAAATGCTAATTACATTATTATTTTTCAGGGCAAAAAAGACGTGGCTGGAGGCTGCTTAATAAAATTCCGATGCCTTACCGATGGGTAATAGATAATAGATGAACTACATACATTTTTATAATTTTTTATGGATTACTTTGATCCTATTAGTTTAAGTCTAAATTCTCGGTGGTATTTAATTTCCAAAATGTTGCTTACTTACTTGTTTCATGACTATTTGATTAGTAAATTAATTGTTATTTTTTGCATTCATAAAAATAACTATGATGTAAAATAAAAAATAAAATTAAGAACTAAATTCGTTTCGCCTTATTTAAAATGTTATTTCCATGTTTGCATTGATGTCGTTTAAATATTTCGGGCACCATAATATCCTCAAATGTGATTTTATTAAGCTCTTCAAGCACACAAAAACGCAAAAAATTTTGTAACTAATAAGATCTTGTCAAGGAATTATTGGTAGTATCTTGAATAAATAATGTTCATATTTCTATATTGTACACATCTCAGAATTGTACCTCAGAACAGTGTATGCTATAGTAAACTACTTTACAAAAGCTAGTTTGTTAAACTTGAAGTGAGTTAGTTATGTGCTGTGCGAATGGAGCTAAACTCACGAGAAACCCTAGTCTCACGAGGGAACCTTTTATAGTGCCCGGAGCTCCCAGCATAACCACTATGTACATTCGACGCAGATTTTAATACTAGTCCGATGATGTGACAAAATTTCCGTGTCAAAATGACATTTCGTCAAGTGGTGACGACTTTAGTGACGCGCCGAACGGTCACTTTCGTCCATGCTTTCAAAAGAGGAACGCTTTTCACCACTCGCTCCTCATCCATCTCACTTAAATCTCAACCGATCTACTCATTGAGTAAACTCCCCATCTAATTTAACTGTATTTGAATTATTGACAAAATCTTCCGCAAAACTCGGTCGACAATTTCAACTTTATTAACTGGAATTGATGAAGCGTTGGAATCCCCTGAATACCTGTCCTTTGCGATTTTAAGAACAGCCTCACAAATTGATACAATTATAAACATTCTATAATTTTTAAACTCCGAATATTTCAAGGTAAAAAATAATATTAAAAGACTAAAAATAGTAAACAAGGATTATATTGTCAACACAGTTAAATTGGATGCGAGTTTACTCAATGAGTAAATGGGTTGAGATTTAAGTGAGATGAGTGAGGAGCGAGTGGTGAAAAGCGTTCCTCTTTTGGGCGAAAGTGACCGTTCGGCGCGTCACTAAAGTCGTCACCACTTGACGAAATGTCATTTTGACACGGAAATTTTGTCACATCATCCGACTAGTATTAAAATCTACGTCGAATGTACATAGTGGTTATGCTGGGAGCTCCGGGCACTATAAGAGGTTCCCTCGTCAGCACAAGGTACTTCAGGAGGCCGTAGGTTTAAGCTCCACCCGCACAGTACATAACTCGTTCACTTTATGTATAGATCTATGAGCTAAGTACACTCCGATCCAATTTGTGGTTTTGTTGGCAATGTCAATAGCTGTGTGTATTTTACATATGATACTTTGTACATTGATTGACAGGTATTACAGATATGATTGGTACGGATGTTTGTTTCTTGACCATGTTTCCGGATACTAGTCAACTACATAATCGGACACTACATAGTATTTCTACATACTGCTTATTGACGCTTCATGCACTTACTTATTACCTGGTGTTGCCTACCTTTGTAAGAATGGAATAAACTACTGGCTGGTGTACATATTCGTATCAACTCAAACAAGGTGAATGCAAACAAACAAATATTAACGCAGGTTGCATTGCATTACGTAATGTGATTTTAATACCAAGGATAAACTTGAAAGAGAAGCAGAACATATTTAATTGGACCGATGGATATTTAGGCAACTTAATTTTCAGGTAGCGTTCTACGTTAAGTTACAATATACAGAAATGTTAGCTCAATTTCCTAAAAAACATTTGAATGATGCCATTGCTGTGAGAGAAATATTCTCACGAGATTGACAAACTTTTCAGCGCTGTGTCTGAAACCACCACAAATTCAGAACCGTTGTTGAAATAATAATGAGAAGTGAAAAGGAGGCATTCAGATTCAGTGCGGCATTGCACCCGTCCTGGTCATTGCATCGACAACTCATGGCACGGTACCGCGTTCCTGGCGATCGGTCGGGAAAGGATGCGTCACGACACCCGTTCGAAAAGTCAGATCCTCCACAATACCTTTCAACCCGGATTATCCCGTTCTCCTCGGCGTAAAATTTGCTGCACAGAGGAACTAAGGACAACAACGACGCAGAGGGACATGTAATATATGAAAGTGGAACACGCAAAAAACTTTAATGAGGTCGTAAATCGGGGTCACTTTACCTGAACACAATTTAAGATATCGTGACGGTGGTGGGCTCATGGTGCAATCGTCATTCCAAGAACTGGAACATTCGTAGCACCGAATTCCCGAGACTGGAAAACGCAGAAAATTATTCAATCATGAGTTCGAAAGTCATTTCTATCTAATGAGAATCGGCTGTGGTACCTTCGACGAGACAATTCAACAAGAGGAGGAGCAAGGGACCACCACTCAGGAGATGAGAACACGTCTTGAAACCCCACATTTTGATGATTTCTTCACAACTCTGGTTGAGTAACTGATCACTGAATAATTTTACCTCGACTGCGAACCTGAATTTATGTTTTCTGTAAAATTGACGTCACAAAACTTAAATTTATGCCAAATTTATACGTATTAATGAAGAAACAAGAATTAATCCAACCCACACAAAACTTTCTTTGCTCAAGGTTTGCAAACCTTGGTTAACTGCAATGTCATATGACTTTCTTCGTATTTTCTTATCGAGCTCCGACGAACGACCAGGTGTCTTTGCTTTGTGGTACACGGTCAAATGGCAAATAAGTCCAAGTTATTCCCAGCACCAGTATTTGATGGTCGTAAGGAGTGAGTTTCCTGAATTGATTTGACTGACACTTTGTTATTGGTTTGTTCCCCACCGTCGACGTCGACTTTGACTTGATCATCGTGTTCAGTTCATGACATTGTCCAATCTATTTCTGAGAACATGCATAATATGTAATGTGAGAGAAGATTGAGAAACCAAGTAAAAGGATGGCTATACATTATGGCGTTGGCGTGGTTGGTGGGTAGGATTTTATGTATTTATCGTAGTCGTAGGTATCATTTCTCCCGACTAGTGCTTTAATCAACCTTCTTTTCCGTTTAGTGCTCCTTGTCCTCGTTTCTCTCCCCTTCCGGAATTGGTCAGAATTTACTCGTTCCTGCTCAAAAGAAATAATCAAGTAGTGGGGATGACAGAATAGCGGAGCAAATAAGGAACATCATGACATGAAAGGGAAGGACGACGCATTATTCGATACCTATGATACGGCACGCTGTCATCATTATTCCTCCCGTCTATGTACATGTGTTATTAGTAGTATTAGTGTGTATTGAAAGGTATATAGTAAATATTAATAGTTTGTGATTGATACGCAGTTCGAAAAATGTACTTTCTCTTGAATGATGGATAAGTGTCATTTGTTCGCTTTGTTATCAAAATCATGAAAAGAAATCAACCCGTTTCGTTTGCTCCAGTTTCATGTGAGATTCTAGAAAATAAATTTCATTAAAAGTGGATCAATTTTGACTGACAATCATTTTTTGTGAAATAAGTATTGCAATAAGAAGAGCTTCAGTTCAGACGGATACTGTCACATTCCATTTGTCGCTTTGGGTGTGTGAGCTATTATATAACTTACACATTATGTACAAGCTTAAACTCGATTTAATTTGCGCCTCTATTGTCAAAACTATTGTTACCCATACGTATTTAACAAATTCCTTAGAAAATTCCCAAATTGCTCTTGCACCACCTACAGATATTTGTTAAGAAAACAAGTTATGATCAAATCAATGACACAAAATAATAATTAGAAATATTTGACTAATGGTCAACTCACCATGTTCGGTCAATTTGTAAGAATAAGCCTCATGACGGGAAGATTGACGATACTGCAGAATTATTAGCTTATGTGTCATGCGGGGGAATCTCAGATGAATTACGTCGGATTATATGTTACTAGTGTCGATTAGCCCGTCACACTGATCCAGTACGTTTTAAATTGGATTACACGACATGATAAAAGAAATATTATATGTACCTAAATTTGTGAGAAATTTTAGGAACACTTCTTGGCCATGTCCACCTTCCCATGATGTCGCAATCGAAAAACTGACGTCAGATTCGAAATCAGCGACCAAAAAACTATAAGAATCGATATTTTCCCACCCCCAACAACGTTGATATAATTAATTGAATTATCTGTAACAAATTTTAAACACGGAACATGTGGACATGTAGATATTGGCATATCAGCCATAAGCCACCCCTCCTTTTGAAAACCCCCACTGACCTTTTTGAAAGTTTTAATGCACAAAATGCAAGATCATACTGCCCTACAACTAAAAAATAGGCTGATTTGACCAGTTTCAAGTCAGGTCATTGAACCTTTTCCTTGCAAAAGTGACCACAGTTTGTGGTTAGGGGGACAAAGTTGCCTAGTACAAGTTCCGTTCCGCAATTTTTTTAGTCTGCGGGAGGCGCTCGTGGGGGCGTGTCCCTGGGTGAGCTCCCCATTGCAGCTGCGCCCCTGGACCGCCCTGCCTCTCTGGGGAGTCGGGTCCACCCGTGGTTTGTCCCACAGCCCCGACTCTCTTCCCGTTGGAGGGGTGGTCCGGGGGAGCAACGCTGCAAGGGGAGAGCCTTACGGGAAGGTCCCCCCTCCAATGCTCCTCCCACCAAGCAGGCTCACCGGGTGGGGAGCCGGCGGGGCTTGCCAAAAGTGCGGGTGGCGCTTGGCAAGTGAGAGGGGCTCTCTACCTCCAACCCTTGGGTGACGCCGCTCTTTAGCGATACCTCCCCGTGGGGCCGACCGGGTTCCCGAGTTCGAAGCCTTAATGGGGGCCGATTTACGGGTGCGCTCCCACCTCGTAAGGCGAGGGTCAGACGGGCCCCCTAGGGGAACGCGGTTGCAGAGGCGGCGACGTGGGCAGGGCTTTCCCGGTCGGTGGAGGTAGACGTCCGCGGACGCATTCGGGCGTCCGCGGGGGCCGACCCGCGTGGAGCACGAGGGAGCGACGTCCTCGTCGTGTGCTCTGGAAACGCCCTTTTTAGGGGGGCCAACATCTCCCCCCCACCCCTTATGAATGCATGGCATGGCGACAACCTTTGTCGCCATGCCATAATTTCGCCATTTCTCGTCCGATTTCCATCAAATTTCGACAGAGACTTCTTATTGGTGTAGTCGACATGTCGCAATGCTCCAGCTACCGCCACCACCTTGTTTTCGCCAAATTTCGTCGCCATGCCATAATTTCGCCATTTCTCGTCCGATTTCCATCAAATTTCGACAGAGACTTCTTATTGGTGTAGTCGACATGTCGCAATGCTCCACCTACCGCCACCACCTTGTTTTCGCCAAATTTCGTCGCCATGCCATAATTTCGCCATTTCTCGTCCGATTTCCATCAAATTTCGACAGAGACTTCTTATTGGTGTAGTCGACATGTCGCAATGCTCCACCTACCGCCACCACCTTGTTTTCGCCAAATTTCGTCGCCATGCCATAATTCCGCCATTTCTCGTCCGATTTCCATCAAATTTCGACAGAGACTTGTTATTGGTGTTGTCGACATGTCGCAATGCCCCACCTACCGCCACCTCCTTGTTTTCGCCAAATTTCGTCGCCATGCCATAATTTCGCCATTTCTCGGCCGATTTGCATGAAATTGAGCACAATGCTTCTTATTGGTGTTGTGGACATGTCGCAAGGTCCCGCCCGCCGCCAACTCCTTGTTTTCGCCAAATTTCGTCGCCATGCCATGATTTCGCCATTTCTCGGCCGATTTGCATGAAATTGAGCACAATGCTTCTTATTGGTGTTGTTGACATGTCGCAAGGTCCCACCCGCCGCTACCACCTTGTTTTCGACAGATTTCGTCGCCATGCCAAAATTTCGCCATTTCTCGTCCGATTTGCATGAAATTTGGCACAATGCTTCTTATTGGTGTTGTTGATATGTCGCTAGGTCCCACCCCCCGCCATAACCTTGTTTTCGACAGATTTCGGCGCCATGCCATAATTTCGCCATTTCTCGTCCGATTTGCATCAAATTTGGCACAATGCTTCTTATTGGTGTTGTTGACATGTCGCAAGGTCCCACCCGCCGCCACCCCCTTGTTTTCGACAGATTTCGTCACCATGTCATAATTTCGCCATTTCTCGTCCGATTTGCATCAAATTTGGCAAAATGCTTCTTATTGGTGTTGTCGACATGTCGCAAGGTCCCACCCTCCGCCACCCCCTCGTTTTCGCCAAATATCGTCGCCATGCCATAATTTCGCCATTTCTCGTCCGATTTGCATGAAATTTGGCACAATGGTTGTTATTGGTGTTGTCGACATGTAGCAAGGTCCCACCTGCCGCCAGCCCCTTGTTTTCGACAAATTTCGTCGCAAGCCATAATTTCGCCATTTATCATCCGATTTGCATAAAATTTGGCACAATGCTTCTTATTGGTGTTGTCGACATGTCTCAACACCACATCAGTGGCCATGACCCTGCTTTCGAAAAATATTGTGGGCATATCGTCTTTCTTGTCAGTCTATTATATGATATGACTTGGTTACATATGACTCATATGTAACCAAATTTGAGGGAGTTGTAATCAAAATTTGAGTTTCTCAAAAGTAGAATAAAGTCGACTTTTTGGCTTGTGTCGCGAAAACGGCAAATACTTATTATCTTATATTATTACGAATTGTTTGTGTACGCAATATTACTCAAATTTTAAGCTGCTAACTAAACGTAAAAATCGTTAGAAGCTGAAAAAACACGACGTCATAGTTAGTATACCTCTACTATTTTAGTATACTAATAAAGTTACTTAACTTTATTTTGCATACACAGATACGTACATAATACATTTGCATGGGAGGATGATTGTATAATCCTAAACGTTTAAGGAATCCTGGGAATCTCTCAAGGTTTATGACAACGGGAAGCGATTTAAGAAACTTGAGCTAAAAACAGAAATTTTGAAAGTTTGAAAATCACTGTCTTTGTAACTCAAGGGCAGGAAATATCAATTTTTCATCTGAACAAAGTGATAAATTAATAATTCCAACCACATTAAATTCAATTGCATTTGGTTAGCTCGTTCCTACTTCACTTTCAATTTTATTCTTAAGAACAACGTAATGAATAATGATATCGTTTTATTTACTTTCAAGTTGAAGTTTCTCATTCATCATCATCCTCCACCACTATTATCGCTCATAAATACATAGAAATTTCGGTTTCAAAACTTTACACAAACTAAACTAGGGGGACGCTAGCTTAAAACACTGTTCATGGTAAGATTTTCTTGGCAATTTTTCTTTGTGTGTAAACAGCGGCGACGACAGTGGGGATGGATAACTAGCAGTTTTTCTTTGCTTACTTGTGGATCGATTGTACAAAATCCACACGCCAAGTTCACTTTACTTTCATTCCATTCGTAGCTTGGGACGGGAGTAGACACATTTTGTAAACACACGACTTCTGCTCGGCTTAAAGCTAGTCTCCTTCAGACGTGATTTCATAAAAATCAGCCGTTTTCCCGTCTTGGTCATTCCTAATTTAATTCGTGGGTGGTGTGGTCTCCGGTGGGGTGTGGACTTCCCAAACCTTCACTTTCTCCACAATCTTAATTTGGAACAAGCAATAAATAAGAAAGGTAAGAAGATCTTGATTTTGTTTATATTTTCGTTTTTTTTAACTCGTTTTACATCAGGATTTTACTCTTGTAACGATACAAAATTGAAATTGAGCACTAAAAATAGAAAAGTCAAAAGTCGGCTGGCTATAATTGGTTTCGTACTGTAAACAAGAACATAAACATAGAACCGAAATAAAAATCCGTGTTTTATTATCTGGAATGAAAATGAGTCTTGTTTTGCTTCAAGTTAGTCATGATAAAGTTATAAATAATTGGATTACAAGGTTAATTGTTTTGTTTTTAGCGAGGAAGGAATTTTTCGAGTTAAGCCAAATTGATATATGAAATTAAGAAAACTTTAAGAAATGTTAATCTTTCTTAATCAAAGTACAATGGGGTTTAAAAATCAATTTATTTTTGTGGAAAATGGAACTAGTTTTTGTTGCCTTCATACTTTTTAGCAGTAGTTTGTTGTAGCAAAGCAAATATTGACAATTTGTTATGTTTGGGTTGACGATGTGCAAAAAATAGCCGGTTGTTTGTATGTTACCAGAAACAAGTTTGCTTCCCGATAAGGAAAGAATAATAATGAATCACGTCACATAATCGGATCAGGTTACTAGTTTGTTACTGTCATTTGTTTATAAATTTATATGCAAGTTATGTTACCGGGATAAAATTTAATTTATTTACAGATTTTTAATTTATATTTAGTATCAAATTAAAAATTCATTCATTCTCCATAACATGTGATGATAATATAATGATTTGACAGACATTTATTTATGAAATCAAAGTTCAACAATAGTCTATTAAGTGAATAATCTATTTATGTTTGTTATGAATATTTGATCTGATTGAAAATCGAATTTGTTTAACCAATCCAACCAATTGCATATTTTCTAATCTTAACGAAGTAGATTTGAGATTATATTAGTTGATTGCTGTAATGGATTTGTGATCAATTCGTCAATTTAGTACATTTACTCGTTCTCTTCACCCATCCATGGCATCATATTTCATTTAGTCAAAATAATGATGGCTTTGATTTGACGGAATGGAGGAGCTGTTGCATGAAGAAAAGAGGAATCGAATCTTGACGATGACAAATATTGAAAGATTTTGTTACCTTCTTTGTTGAGTATGCCATTAATTTGTATGATTTGCTCAATTTGTGTTTTGTGATGCGTAAACTGATCCTAACAAATTGAGTAATTTTATGCCAGTAGTAAAGATATCCTATCAAAACACACCCACGTAGTAGGATAAATTTATCAGTCGATTAGCAAACACAGGAGAGTTTTTGGTCTCGTAAAGTAAATCCACTGTACTCCACAAAATGGCATACTAACTAACTAGATAAATACACCAGTTACTGCAACCACATTGTTATTGAACTAAGGAAAGTAAGTATATTTAATGTGTGGGCTGCTGCTCTGTTTACTGTAAAATAATAATAAGAGCTATTATTACACAAGATATGATCGAACCAAACCACCATGATTACAGATAAGCGTTAACTTCTTCTTTTTCCTTTCCTTTTTGTGTCAAATCGTATCAAAATCACAGGCAGAGAAGGTTTAATAATTATTAATTATAATTTCATCTCTTCTTCTTCTTCTGATAAGTTGCTCTGTTAGACTCTGTGAACTATATGTCTCAAATTTCGCCACCGCTGACTGCCTACCAGACACAATTATTAATGGGTTCTTTAACTTTCATATCTTCTTTGGCAGGAGTGTGCAGCGTTAGTTAAGCGTTATTTAACTTGACGTGATGAGTTTGCCTATTTATTTCCTTCTTTCCTCCTCTTCCACATTATTATGCAGTTTATCAATGCATGCAGTGAAGTTGCTGAAGTTTTAAAGTTGCAACCTTACATAAAGCGAGGAGGTGGTCCCGGTCAATTACCTGGACTGCTGTCCATCTAATCGTAAGATTCGTGATGGTTCTGAATTCATTTGAGACCACACTAATACAAATAAATAAGTTGGCTGAGGTTAGTTCTGCAACGGCTTTACTTTTTTTCCTACATCGCAAACTCAGCTTTTTACGGATATTAAGAAATAAGTATGTAGTCCATGGCCAAGTGGAAGTAATGGGATCGTTATATTAGAAATTTATTTGCAGGCTTTTCGATTATTTTACTCGTTTGGCCTTTGAGCAGTTAGTAATTTGTTTCGGTTTATATTAATACAGTCCTTACCTTAAATCGTTGTACAGGATATACTACATTGATGTGTGAAATTTATTCCGTTTTTATTTATTTCTCCTGTTTTGGTCACCATCATCATTTCCATATTTCGATCAAGCAATTGCTGCATTAAGTTTCGCCTGGATATCATTTATTGCCTGTGTAGTATTGATTGCCTAAATCTGGATGAAACCAGTACAATAGATCTAGTTTGGTCTTTCATCTCTTTTTACTCCTTCCTAATAAAAAGAGGTATATGTTCACCTCATGGCTAACATGTTTTAAAAAGCCCTTGATAATGTTGACAACTACTTTCAGATGGTATGGATATACCAGAGTTGGTCTATATTCTATATTAGGAACAGCACATTGTAAATAGTAGCTCCTGAAAATGTGATGGTGTCGTAAGTCGTTAATTTCACCACCGCCAGCATCATTACAATTTGTCTGCGTCGTATACCATGTCGGAATTACTTTTGTCAGAAAAGTTCTCTAAGCATTGATTGAAGAGAGCAAAGAATCGATCCATTATATATCTGCACATCATTAGCATCTCATCATCAACATGAACTAGTATAGATGGCTGGTTTTTTGGCGATTATTGGCTGGAACTTATACAAGTAAATATATATATGCACGACGAACGAGTAACCGATGGGTTACTTGGAAGGCCATCACATCGTCATTACTTATATAATTTTCCCCTAGCTGGACATCGCCACAAGAACGTTAAGCCACTGCACTGTCCACTAATAGTTCAAGTAAATGAGTGCGTTTAGTGCATGTCATTAGTTTCCAATGTATGTGTCCATTAGGAAATTCACGAGAAAATGGGGTGGAAAATACGGATTAATGCCGGAAGGCCAAAATCCGATTAGAACTTGTATGCATGAGAAAGGACCACGTGTCGGAAATAAAACCGTCATTATTGCTGCACCTTCATTATGGGTGGTATTCTTATACTCCAGTAATTGAAGTAACAAACAACTTGTACCTCGTTCGCACATTGGCCTGAGTTTGTCCCCCTATTTTTAGACGTGGTCGTCAACAGTGGTGGTGTTGGCATAAACAAGTACATAATGCATACATGCATAAGTGGTTTGTGTGTCAATACATATCAATTTATCTGATGGTGCAAGTTATCAGATTTTTTGAGCCACCGTTATTTTGCCTCATACTTAATTAATCAATCAATGACTTTGCAATCTTCTTCGTGTGTGTCGTTTTTGCTTCCAACGTTGTTTTCGTCTTCTTCCAGGAACGCAGGCTGTTGGCGAATATGGCGTTTATTTAGTGAAATGACAACTTGACATTGGCAGAAAGGAAGGTCGTTTTCGTCGGTGGAGGACTGTTCTCGAGAGGAATTTGAATGAATATTTAACTAGTCTTCTCTCGAGTGTAGTTCTTTTAATGGTTAGTATTCTTTGACTAACATACGAAACGGTTTTACCAGGAGTGTTGTTTTCACCTTCAAATTCCATCATATTTATCACCATAGTTCACCATACACGACCGGCCATATTTACACAGCAGCGGTGGCTATGTACTGACGTGTCGTGTCATTATTAGTTCAATTCACTTACAAACAAAATTCAAAATGTGGTGTATTATGTTGTGTCGTCGTCGCTTCTATAAATTTCAGAATTTTGTCATTGTTTTATTTAGTATTCAAGGCCGAGGATATGATGATATCGATTTTTATATAATTTCGAAAGGTTCTTCACGCGTTCATTTTTTATTTCGTGTTGTGAATGCAAATGATAAATGTATGCTAAGTAATTTAAAGTTAGTATAATATGTATATTAGTAATATACATATTGCAAAATATGCACTCAATCTTATCTCGGTAGTTTACGTTCCCCAAGGAAGAAACTTAATTTTCCACCATGATTGTGCTAATTGATGACACAACACGTACCTCATACATTGTCGTAGAGCAAGGACGTGCTTATTTCGTTCCCCGGATAATAATTCTTCCACTATTTCGCCTACCAACCAGACTTGCTAGTTTCTGGCTCGGCGAACCGGTGCGCTCACTTACTTAACTTAGGTGTGGTGGTTCGCCGCACCAGAATTTAGCAAGTCTGCTACCAACACGAGTCGCAGAGCTGTGCTTTAGCATGCATGTGTAATTAGGTATCTATGAAAGGAATGTTATGCCGTGTTATTCAATAAATTCTGAAATTAGTAAATTAACATCAACATTAAAACACAAATTGAGTCAGAAGAAATCTTTGCAATTTGTCCTCTCTGCATCAACTGCATCTATTCTTGATGCAAATCCCCTTGTACTCCTGTAATGGCATTCATTTTCATTAATACTCGGCCTTCATGTCTAAATAATTTGTACTGCTCCATAAAATCTTTACGATTATTACATTGTTAGCGAAGAAATTCTACATCTCATTTTAGTCCTGATAACTCTTGCAACTTGGAGAGTGAAAGATGGCCACTTTTAAAAGTGATGATATTTATTTTATCCGTGTGTAAAATTTCATCGAATAATTAAACAAATAACTACCAATTTCTATTTCGACTTGCTATTACTAGGATTAAAATGGGATGGGAAGTGTTTATTGCATCACGAAAGGTATGTGAATAAACTAAGGATAAGTGGAGGAATGTCGTCTTCTCTTTAATAATTCATGTGTGTGAAGGTTATCTGAAAACACGACTAGGTTTCGGTCCACGTATTCGTGTAGTCTGTATATAGTAGTGTTAAGTTTAGTTGTTCGTTGGTTAGTGCTCATCCTCAGTGGTTCTAACTAACTTTCTGAAAGAGTGGTTGGAAGGATGATAATAATCCTCGCTGATGATAACTATCTTAAAGTGCACGTTCGCGTAATGGTATTGTTCATTTGCTATTCTACTCAGAATTCCCAATATTTTTTATTTCTGTGTGTGTAATTAGCACCGAATGATTTTCATGTGGGCTTTGTCTAATGACAAGTTTGAAGAAGAAGTGTGATGTGATCATGTTGAGTAGCATATGCGTCTATATCGTGGTTTAATTTGCTTGAGTAACTTTTAATAGTAGCCCTGCCTGTTTGTTTACCTTTGTGGGAGGAGAGCGATCCTCCTGGTCATGCTGATTTCCCTGGAGAGGATTTGGAATTGAAGCCAGTTATTAATTTGGGAAAGTTTTGCTAATAAATCTCACGAGAATTAAATAGTTGCACTGCATGCCTCTCTGGCTTGATGAGCAGGAGGTGAGATGTGGGCCCGGTCATGTTCCTAAACTAAAACTACTCTTTCTGCACTCATCGTATTGCTTCATCAGCACTTTAGTTTTCTTAATACTTAACTTAAGTTTCTGCTGGCTATTATCAAAGACTTTCAGCCTACCAATTACATTCTGGTGAGAGTTCTTCTTCTTCTCAGCACTCACGATTGTGTTGCTAATCTGAAATGTGGGGCTACTATTGCCTGTAGTGTAGTACGGCTGGAATATGGATTAATGATGGTCGTCGTTGAATAGTGAAGGTTACTACTTTATGAATGCGATGGTGTAATATGTGCTGTATTATCGTTTACCATAGTTTTCCTTCTTCTATCTGGCAAAGAAGATGGATATGCACATATCCTTCGCTAACTATAATTAATGAAATCCCCATATTGATGACTATTCATGATCCAATCTCAACAAACAACTGCTCCTGAACATGTATGCGTTTCATATTTTTGTGTATTCCAATTATCGACATTACCTCCCAGCGTGTTCAATGGATTATTTAATCCTCCTCTGATATGCTGAGTGAATATGTCTTAATATTAGTTCTGCAGTCAATCATCATGCAGCCCTACACTTGTGTGTGTCGTTATTGATATTGATGGTCTTATTACTCATAACAATCGAATATAAATTGATTAAACATACAAGTAACTATTTGCATTGAATAGTCTCATTTTCTGAAATTAGTAATTATGTCCCATTATTATTGTTACCAATTTATCCTTTCCAAACTAATGACTTTGTTACTTCTTTCTGGTTCAGGTGGAGTCCACAAATCTGGAATTGGGATTTGGGGTTTAGAAACTTGCAGTCAATCGGTAACCACTGACAAGATGACGAATCGTATTTAACAAGAGAGAAAAAACTAGATACGTGGAAAGATAAGGATTCAATGAAGTGAGCTAAAGTGAAAAACCGGCTTGATCATCATCATCATTTCTTGTACACTTGAAAACAATAACCGGCCTTCACAAAGACGAACCAGTGTTGTGCTGTGCACGAGGAATAATAATGCTGACTCCACGGCTGAATTTTGTCTGATGACCCATTGACCAACTTCCCTACCATATGTCGCCCGCCGCCGTGTTCCCCAAGAGACTGGCCAGGTACATCCTAGTCCTCTGCGTCCTCTCCCTCCTCGCCATGAACTTGTACATCTCACACAGTGCGAGACAGAATGGCACTTTCGCATCTGGCAATAAAAGGTACGCTCTCATCTCACTTTGCAATTATAGATTAATTAAATTTTAAACCAGACCCAGTTAGCCCTTTGTTATCTCCTCTTCTTCATAATCCACCTATGTACATGTGTGTGTGAGTGCATATGCCCTCTTGAGAATCGAGCGATATTCAAGTCTTGAATAAGAAATCCCAAGATTGTAGAACCACTTAAGCCCACGACAATTACGACTCTGTCACCCACAAGTCAAAAGGTGCTTAGGTGTGCCATAGATAAAAAGGGTGATAACTCGTCAAGTCCCGTTGTCCACCTTTCTTTGCGGATTAACCACGCAAGGACTATTCTTGGCAGGACGGGTTCATTAAATTCCCAAAATTTTCTAATGGACTTACAATGTATGAATATAATGTGCGTACATCAATGTGCGTATGCAGTCATGTCTTAATTTTGCCGAGTTGCGGAACGTGCTATGGATATCTTATCTCATTCCATTAATGACCATTTTATCCATTCGCTTTTTTTAGAACGGAATATCCCATAATGGGTAAGTTATGAAAGGCAGAGGTCACATTTGCTAGCATTCCACATCATATTTCATACCGTGAATTGCATTTTTGACCTAAATTCTACTTTTCGTACAAAAAGAAAAAGCTCATGGTTTGCTTTTGTTGAACGAATGATGATAATGTTATGACTTAATCGCGTGAAGCAGAACGGAATAATTTTGGGGAAATGTGTCGTATTTTTCGATTTTAGTTCCTTACACACTCACACACACTCAAATAATCTATACATACATAGTACATCTATATATGTCCAAAAATACTATTTATCGCAATTAATGGAATATTTGTACAGTAGTTTTTATAAAGTATTTAGTATCTCAACTTTGTATGTAAGTCCATTTAGTCATCTGTTATCGAAGATTAAAATTTAGCAAAGTGGAAATTCGGTTTTCATTGTATCAAGCAATTTATACACCTTTAGGACAAGTAACAGTGTAACACTAACTCTGCTAGTTTCTGTTTTTTTAATATGCACTGTTTTTGAAAATTTCGAGAATTTGGTTGCTAATAATGGAAATCTGTATTTTAAATGCCCCCACATAGCAACACAATTTTCGAAATTTGCAAAAACACTGGTGAATATTAGAAAAAAAACTAAGTACGCACTACATATATGAGCGGGTTAATTGACTTGCATCTGAATAAATCTTGACCAATTACGATGCTTTTATAGCATGCGAGAATTATTTTGGCTTTATGGTTTCACATGCTGCAACTAACTTACAAATTGGTTCTACATCATTTTTTCAGGCACACTCATTTTTACTGGTTATTTATGGTACTACTCATCCTTAGTCCACATGTATAAATATATCATTTTTGTTGCCAAAATGTGCTAGTTATAGTTGAATTGCTCTCATCCCACTGTGAATCCACCAACATAATCATAATACCATCAAAAATCCGCTTCCATCATCACCCACTTTCTGGTCGATTAATAATTTGAATGTCAATCCACTGCTATTGAAAGATAAATTTTCTAATCTAACAACAATGACAAGATTTCATGTCCTGTTTCATTTACTCCTCTGTCGGAACTAGCAGTATAATTTATTATTATGCATTCCACATCTCTCTCTCTCTCGATAGGAACCAAACGTTTCAGAATAATGAATATCCAACCAATCCGCCCATGTGTGATTTTGCACACTGATAAATATTCATGCCATAACATAATCGAATTACGGCACGGCATTGTCATCATCACTGGTGAATAACTAGGGGGCGGAAGTTCGGTAGCCATACATACACATATTTTCTTTAGCCAGTGCTCAACCCACAGAATTTATCGTTAGACTTTGTTTGTTACCTGGAGAAACAACACTTGTATTGTTTACTGCTGGGTGATTTTTACATGGAATGGAGTAATAAAATTATACTGAGCTCATTAAAGCAGAAATATCTCTTGGTTTATTGCAACCAAACTTTATCTTTTTACGGTGACATGGCATCATTACAGGAACTAATTCTGCTACGATCTCAACTATATATCGTACATGTCGATTCCTCATCCTGAAAACGATCAAATTTAATAATCACCGAGCCTAATACGTATATGGCTACTCGCAGCGTGGTTATTTTAAGTGTTGATGGCTGCAAACTATTAATATTGTTATTATTGTTGTTACTTTTATGATGTCCCGTTATCATTATTCATAGATGTTTTCATCTTCCTTGATCTCCTCTCATGTAGCCAGCCTCTCTTCTACTTGGAGCTATTATGCCCCGTTCCTGTTGTGATTGTCGTCGTCAGCAAATATGGTTTTATTTATGGGACGGCCATGTCGTGTTTCAGATGTAAAATCATAAAAAACACCCACAATTCTTTTCTAGCAGATGTAAATTAATATGGTATCCTTTTTCCAATTGCCTATTACTCTACAAATATGCGAGGGAAGCATACATATGTATGCGTAGATCCGTTTGTGTTTGAGTTTAGTTAGTTGATCTGATTTAATTAATAGCTGTGTACGAGGTCATAAGAATTTGATCTTTCGTTTAGCCAGGTCAATTATCCCATTGCGAAACTGTGCTCGTTATCTACTCATATTGCCTGTCAAGCTTGTGTGTAAATAACAATTTTATGCGTTAGATGAAAGATGAAACCAAGGAGGGAATTAGGATCGGATTGGAATCTGTTGAGTTGATTGATTATGTATCATGCTCTGGTTGGGCAAATGCAAAATCACGTGTGATGGACACATCCAGATCTATCTGCTTCGGCCATATGTACTTGAACTGAACCTTGACCAGAGGACAGAAGAGAATCTCTTCTTCAATCCGTTTCTTGCGTGACGATCGAGAAGGAAAAGGAGAAAATGATGGAAGTTTTTGTCTATTAGTGTAATACCAACGAAAAAGACAAACAATGATTAGACGGAAATTCTACTTTAGTTCACAAGAAGTTGCACTCTAATCACTGTTACTTACTCGCCGTGGTCTTTGTACAATGTCTTTAAGTTGATATTTTATCTGGCTTCGTCGTATTGACATTGATATGATGGTATTTATCTTTCAATTAAGTCAATAACGCCCATAATAAAATCCACCCTCCGTCCAGCCACACCCTCTCCACTACTCTCGAGTATCCGTTTCAGCGCATTATGCAATTTCAGTATTTCCAGAAAGCTTTCAGGGAGCCACATCACTGCTAGATACGTTTGTATAGTAAATAGTGGTATTATGGCTACTCGCATCTCGTCCAAGACTTGTGGCTACAAAATTACCAAAGTATATATTTAGAAGCAGTCAGAGGTCATCTGTTTTCTGTCAAAGATATGAATTATTGCATAAATATTACAAATATAAGAGTTTTTCTCCTACAAGCTTATCAGCCTGTTGAAGTTAAATCCATCAGCATATTATGCAGGAAGGTGCAGGTCTTAAGATTTACATTGCTGTAAGCAAAATATTGATAAAGAAAAATTCTGCTGTATGTACATTATTCCGAGAGAGTGGATGGATGGTAATGTTTGTAAAGGCCGAGAAAAGCCACGTTTTGTTTACTAAATTCAATCAAGATCTAGATGCTGTATTTTTTCATCAGGGGTTATGAACCTTAAATCAACAACCAAGGGGGAAATGCTTCCAAAGTAATGGATTACATGCACTTGTAGATAAGTAAACATGGTCTTTTTAACGTCGTAGTTTTTGTATTCTTTCGTTTCATAAAACTATTTCGTTAAGTCGAGTACAGTCCATTTCGAATTTTTTATCACTACTGGTGTACTTTAGTACCAATTAGAATTGCGAAATTGGTCACCTTACATTTGGGCATCTGTATGTACTTTTTGCCATAATGAGGAGTTAAAGCACTACATGCACTTTGTTGTTCATGAGGACGAAACAAATAAATGGGGGGTCTTTACTGGCTTCTGGTATGAAAAAACTATACTTTGCTGAGCAGCCCGTTATTATGTTGCATTTTAAACAGCTAGCAACATTGTTGCTTGTTTTATGATTACGCAACGAACTGCACTAAATTACAATTAGCCTGGATTTTTACTCTACTGCACTGACTATGATTATGGGTACTTATCAATTACAATTAGTAATTTTGTGGTTATTGTAGCAGTTATAGTTTAGCCTGTAATATTTGGATTCGGTTGCAAGGCAGTTAAATTAGTAATACTCTGCTTCAACTTACTTTTTAGTTTTCTGTTAAATTCCACCTGATAATTAGCATGTTCAAAAAATAATCTTGTTACCCTTTGGTCTAGAGTTTTTACGTAAAGAAGACGAAACTGTAACTTTCGAATCGATAGTACTCCATTTATTACAAAATTCTATGCCAGCGGTTTCTAACTTAACACAATATATTTCTCGAACTATTGTGACCAACATTGTTTAAAGGATTGTGCTCTTGTTGAGTACGCATTTTATTTAACGGTTCCTCTTATTTCATACCCTTCTCGTTGCCCTATGCAGCATTGTTTGTAACGTGGAATAATCCCTCCACGGATTCATAAATGATCGTGAAACTGCATTTCACGATCATATTACATAGTAGGAGATGAGATTGAAGAAGTTGTTAACCTCTCTCGCTCTCCGCCACGACTTGTACAATGCAGGGATCTCATTCATTCATTCATTTCTTTTATGTACAGTGTTTCCCTTGGCTATTCTTATTAATGCATACTTCAGGTGATGTATTTTTGCAAACGTTGTTGTTGCTACTACTGCACGGTCATTCTTGCCATTTCAGAGTTTGTGGTTTGTGTTTGATTTTGCACACTTGGTCTTCGTCCTGTTGCAAATGAAATGCAAAGCTGTCCGACGCGAGGAACGTGGTGATTTTAATTCCCTCGGTTTAACCGTCTTCATAGTTGAGATGAGGTCTGTGTCAAGAATGAAGAGAGAGATAAGTTGGATATCTACCATGTCATGTTGATCCCTGCTTTAAGAAGAAGAAGAAGAAGAAAAATGTATTTATCATTCCGTTTCATCTTGATTTAATCTAAATGCCAATTGTACCTCATTGACGCTTGGTTGGTGAGTATTATTTCGGGAAATGTCGAATTCTTGGAATCGATCCCGTTGTCTCGGTTCTGCTCCGTTTTAAAGAGATTTGAAATATTAATGATGGGAATACTGCATAAATGGGAACGTTGACAGTTGACACTCCGTCCGTTGATTGGTTACAATTACAGGTTTGTCTGAGGTTGGGATAAACGGGATTTTCAGATCATGACTCTTGATTTCACACCAGAAAAACCTCTCGACCACATTTATGTCAGTTAGTAGTGTGATAATGTGATGGCTACAGGTAAATAGGTTATTTTCCTGGGGAAGATCGCTCTAAATGCTGAATTATAAATTACCTCGGGTGGTGAATAGCAATCTTGTCCATCTCTGGTTCGTCATTGAACGATAAAAAATCTTGGAAATCTTGTGAGCCCAATGTCTAGTGTCCCATTATGTTCACTAATATGTTTTAGCAATTAGTCATGGTTTTTGAAAGAATAGCAATCAATTCGTTAGCTCGGCTCTAAAATGGAAATTGGAAATTGGTTTCCCAAGATCTTCAGTAACATTAACATTGAGCATTCAAGGTATTTTTGTCGATGATGAATATTCATCCCACTACAGTCAGATTCTATTTACTTGGGTGGAGGACAATACCACTCGCAATGGCTGTGGTCATAAGAATAATAAGATAACGCTACGTCAATTTACCGTACAAAACTGAGGTACTTATTCTGCCGGATGCAAAGCTATATGAATGTACGCAAAATGCGAATATTATGCACTTGTTTTGGATAGTCATGAAATCTGCAGAGCAGAAAATTAAATTACATTTTGGCATTCTGCTTGCTTTCGGAAAGCTAATGTGTACTTCCACCACCTTCACTTTGATTTACTTTAGTTCCGTTCCTGTGTCTCTGACCACTGTGACGCATGCATGCAATGGACATAATATGCAAAGTAAATAACCAATCACATCTGCTTCAAACTAGTTTCATCATGCACAAGCTACTTTTACTTTGTTACTTGAAAACTCGTTCAGTAATAGTGGCCATATTAACCGGTTGGTATACCTCTCATTTGTTTGTGGTCACTTATTTAGATTAAGACAGAAATGAACAACGCTGGCTAATGCACACATTCCTTTATTACTACTGTATAACTGATGGGCTTTTACTCTTACATATGTACATTACAGTGTCTCAAGATAAAATGGAAACATTACGAAAATTCCTGCGAGTTGGAAATGACAAAAGTATCTCTTTAATATATTGCAAACCAAACGTTCAGCCGAAATAAGTCTGGAAAATCGACATTTATTAGACTTTTATTATTTCATTCAAACTCTTGTCACTTGTGAGGGATTCGTGTATCAAACTATCAAAATGTGTTTGTTTGCACACGTCCGTCTATAATATAATCGTTAATGATATTTAATACAATAGTATACTGAAGAATTCTCACCTGATTTGACATAAGTACATATATTGAATGTTCTGTTCACCGCCGACAGAAAGTATGTATGCATGTAGGACTGTTTGTATGAAGTATTTTGCACGTATTGAAAATCAATATCTGACTTTGTTAATAATAGCGAAGCATGTATTGATCACGAATATCTACACACATATAAATGTAATCTATTTACAATCCATCCAATCAGAAGAAGAAGAAGAAGGTTTATTTAGTGGACTGTCTATTATGTTCTATTTAAGTAGAACGTCATTTCAATTCACTTGGCCTTTGTTTGATCCTACATTACATCCCTGCGTGCTGTTGCCAAAAGGTGTTGTTTGCATGACGTTTCTTCTGGTTTCGCTTGGAATATTTAATTCGCTGCTTATTTATTGATCCATTTCATAAAGAACGAAGGGTATCGTGTGTAGTAGTTGACACAATGGATGACAGAATGGAACGTGCCTGACCTGCATTTGTCCTCGGCTCGAGCTGTGTATGGAAGAAGAGCCCTCAAATATTTATTGCAGAGGTTTGGATGCATGGCATGCTTGGTGACGGTGTCTTACATAAGTAATAAAAAAATTATGGTTCCACCAACCAACTTATGTCCCACTGTCAAGTTTTGAGTGATGGGCTATGTATATGTAGGATGCGAGTGCTCCACATTTTGTATTAACCACAGCACGGCATTCACACACGATTTGCTTACATAATGCTATGTGTACATATGCATATCCTTTACCCTTAGATGGCTTTCATGCATGTGGAACAAGAGAGACGAAAAATTGATAAGGTTACATGGAAGAAAATCAATCTTTCGCAAATACCTCTTCCGGTCTTGATACTTTGCGCATACACAATGAATGGACTAGATTGTAGGATTATACGAAGTGGTTTTCCGTGATAATTTGTATGAGATTTTCTGTTTTACCTCATGACCAGTGAAATTATCACTTATTAGATATTGATGCATAGAAATAATTATGTTCAACCCAAGGATAAGGTGTAAATAGGTATTTGTCGTTGTACACAACGCCATGGGAGATCATCTCCCCGACTGACAATGCCTTCTCTGAATGAATGGAGGTAAAACAATCAACCCCAAAGTCTGAAATCCGGAAGCGAATTTCAAATGCTGTCCGTGGAAATAAATAAATAGGTTTAAGTGACATTCCGTGTCTCTCCCAATTTGATTATAATTCGCGTCCTGAAACTAAGTGGATTGCCAAGTAAAACTCCGTCTCACGATTTCGATTCAAACCTGTACACAATGCAAATGATTAATTACTTAGCTTAAACGTTTGAATGAGTTACCCACATCTATTTCCACCACCGAATCTATTATCCATCTGAAATTAATTCGAGCGTGTGTATTTATTTATGTAATTGCAGCAAGGGATCTGAAGATAAGGATGACCCCAGCTCGTCAGGATCCATGAATGGGGGTGTCTGGGCTGAAAATGGGCTGTTGGGGACACCCGCCTTCATCAACGTACCTGAGACTGAGGTCCTATCCGACGAGGAAATTAGCCAGATTGCCAAAGAGATTGAAACTCTTAACGATGCTCAGGTGAGTCGTACATTTTTGTCTTGTCGACATTTTTCCCTTCCCTGACTCGACTCGTTTTAGTTTATTATTTAACTCGTTCATGACTCTGACTAACAATTGTGGTAACCAATTAATTGTTGTTCATTCTCATTGTTTTCTCTCCACTAACTATTCCTTAAAAGTCGACATTCATTCTCCATCCGGCAGTGTCACTGTCAAGTCTTTCAAACTTTCTTGGAGAGGTAATCAGAGACGACAAATTTCTATTTCCGTTGTGTCTCTTTCCAATCAATACCTCGTCTTTCGTCCAATTACTTAACCAACGAATTGTGAACACAATTGGATACACCAAACTTAATGAGTCTTGTTATAGTTCAATTTCACCATTTATACGCAGCAATGCCTATATATCTTGTAACACACAATGCGTGTTCCCATGTTCGTAATGGGAACTATTTATGTACCTGCTGTACGCCTACTAATTCATCCATAGGCATCGTCATGTAATTGTTAATCTCTCTTTCGGCTAACCTCAGCTGTGGGTAGTTGCCAAGAGTTGGATTTTATGAAGATGTAAAGTTTTGTAATGAGCGAATTAATCCGGATTGGATTTAGTTGGTAGGTAGGAATACGTAAAGTGCACTTCACTTCAATAGCTTACAGCCACCCATCAAAATGACCATATCTCGAGAACTATGAAACCGATTTTGACGAGCTAAAATTTATTTGGTAATCAATTAACACAGTAAATAAAATTAAATTAAGGGAGTAAAAAATACTTAAAGAGACTGGAAAAAGGTGTATTAAAAGTTAGATGATGTAATATGACGTCCTTCAATGATCAGAAAATTAATAAAAGCTATTCGGCTAGATGTCTTGGCTTTCGAAATTTTCCTACTTGGCATTCGGAACTATTGATTCCTAACATAATTTTCAATTTCAGCAATATTATGCGTTTACTTCCTTCCCATCACTTTTTGTGTTCGTTATCGCACATTGATAAGCGAGTTTTATTTTTAGCATACATGAAAATGTATAAATATGAGATATTTATTAGAAATTGTGACATTATTATACAAATTTTAGTTCTAAGGAACAAAATCGACAGGTGGTAAATTTTTGATGCGCAAGAAATTCAAAATTTTTATGCGTTTGCTAATTTCTTTGGTCTGAATTTGACGCAAATCAGAATGGTGAGCAGTTTACTGATGGACCACATTACAAAATAATGTTTAGTTCATCAAAATCGGTAGTTTTCGAGATGTGCACGTTTTGATGGTTGGCTTGAAGCTATTGGCGTGGAGTGGAGTGCATGTGCGTAGATAGTGTCAATCTTTTGGCTCTCTGTTCCTTCATGATCATTCCGTCTGTCTCTCTTTGGAAACAATTCAAGAGTTAATTACGTGTTTAATTGGATTTTAGTGATGCACCAGTCCACCCAATTACTTTCCTTATTGGCCAAGAAGGCTAAAAATGAACATATGGACTGCTATACGTACCACTTCCATTATAAATACATGCGCAGTGTAGTGAAATTTGGGTTTCTAATGGGCAACGAAAATGAAACCATTTTAAGTTATTCCCTTGTAAAGAGATAATGAATAGAAAATGTGGTTGGTAGTATGGATTACTTATTTGGAATGTTTAGCAAACTATCGAGTTAAATTCAGCCATATGTACAAGGCAAGAAGCAGCACACGGGAATAATAAGTCATGAATGACGAGAAGAGGGACAAAGATAAAATAGATAATTGATTTATTATACACGGATGGCCACACATTCTCCTCTTCAACTTTGTATCCACGCATTCAGTATTTGCTTTGTTCTGTTTAGTAAATTTAACTCTGTGTCTATTTCCCCGTTCTATTTCTCAATTGATAAGTACGGCTGCAGCCAAGGTACGAGTACGAGAGCACACACATTGCTCGTTTTCAAATCCACTAAATCACATAGCTAATTGGATTCCCTTCCCAGTCTTAACGACGCAGGAAGGAAAGCTGATACCTCATCTCGTATCACCTGTATTTCTACTCGTGTCTCTGCTCGCTACATTTATTTGTATATTCGTTTGTCAATGCTGCGACGAGGCATAGTTTGCTTAAAGACAATTGAGAACCGAAAGGAAAGAATCGTTCATGTCGTTGACGGTAATGGGGCTCTCGAGATTTTGGCACCCGTCTTGTCTCCTCCACGAATAATGCAACCAGAGAGGAACACAAGCAGTGAAATGAGATTTGGCGAGATTTCACTTGATACTGCTGTTCCTGAGATTTTAAATCCTCCCTAATCCGTTCACAACAGATGCGTGCAGACTGATGTATGCACATATGAAAGCATGATCGTATCGAAATTCGAGCTATAGAGCTAGCAAATTGTAAGCGATATGTATTAAATTTGTATGTACAACTCTTGGTATTTAGTTTGCCAAGTTTGCCGTGTCTAATTTTGATGTTTGGCTTTCAATATTCTCTTCACGCAAGAATTTGCTCGAAATTGAAAAATTCCGGGATTGCCAATTAAGATGGAACGCTTTAAACAACGCTTTTCTGGTTAGCTGGCTGCTAATCAAGTGTTGATAATTCAACAGAGTATGTAATTACCCAGTTTTCATTGTTCATCAACGAAATTCATGCATCTGGTGTCGTTGAGGGATGAAGGGATTATTAAGTTGCAGGCTTTCAGCGACCATTCCTTGGAATACGGTCGGTCGTAATTTCTTAGTTTCGTACTCTTTGGATGATGTAATGGATTGGGCTAGTTTGAAGTTTTGCTATCCGTACCAAGGGTCGCAGAATATCGGATACCTTGTCCCCACAGAAGTATCCTTCCAATGTTACTAAGCTCCTCCCCTCCCTATCTTACAATGTCATAGTCCCCCACAGCGGATTCTGACCTGTAGATACATACATAAATATATATGTGTGGAATAAGTTTGTTTATTTGTTCTGGATTCCTTCATCCATCCATATTCGTTCTCTGCGTTTTAAGCTGTAATAAATTTTAGTTTATGATACAATTCGACCATGCACCCAGTTCACTCTTGTAAAAGCACATATATAATTTCGACATAACGTTCACACCAACTGTTTATTCAGATTGAACTTTTTTCTCAGCGTGGTAAATATGTAGGAACAGGCAGACAGTGATACGTAGTTCTAAACATTTGTTATACATTTGCAAATTCCTAACTTTTTTTATCTCAAGATTCAAAAGAGAAGATTGAATTTTGAGTGCTGAACGGATGGATGGAAATCTTGCCTACGTGCGGAAGAGTAGATGAGTGTCATCATCTCGAGCCTCGTGTTATCAGAAAACTCGAGAAAACTGCTTGGGACTCTGTATGTCAGTCCTGGGTTGATTTTCACTTGTGTCTCAAAATAGAGTTGAATTTTTCCCGAGCATTTCTTATTCTTCAATTTAATATTGAATCTATTGCTTGCTGGGTATGCAGAGCAATATATTCATTACAATCTATGTATGTTTTAGGTTCAGCCTGTCACGATTTGATTTTCTGGGACAGGAAATTGAAACACGAAATGTTTTTTTTCTCTCCGCTAAATAAGTTCTTAACAGCAGTCTAATTTTGGTTTGCTCGTCGTATTGGAAATATTCCTTCAACTATCTGCACGAAAAAATAGTGAAAGTTGCGAAATCTTCGTAGCACTGATGAGTTGACACGTTCAATTTTCTCGTCCACAACTGCAATCAATTTATTCAAAGGATTTAATTTATACTCACATTTCAAACTATTTAAACTCGCGTTGGTCTTTATCTTCTTTCGAAATGGAATCTTTGACGTGGAGGTTTACATTTCTGGTTAGAAAAAATCCGGCCTCCTCGGGGGAAGGGAGGCTCGACTTTCACTTGGCATTTTCTCATCTTATTTAGCTATTGCGTGCGTCATGTATTTCGTCCGTGCTCATCTGTCGTATGTACTTTCCTTTATCGTTATTTGTTGCTCCTTCTAACCTTTCTTCACATCCTTTTCCTTCTTGCTGGCAGCCTTTTTGGAGGTTATACGACTTTGAGCTAATTTACGATTACGATGAGAAGACTCACAACATGACATGATCATCCTTGTTGTCTTCCCTTTGATGTTGTAGTCTTATCGATCCAACAAGGCAAAAGTTTTTTATTACCAATAGATATCACTTTTCTCTCGTTATGTGACACCACCCGTGTGGGTAACCAATTAGGAGGAAGAGACAAGGGGCGGCTTCATCCCATTATTCAACCCCGCTGCTGCTGCCCGAGATAAAAAAGTTGTTGGTTTGACTGGTGTCATGCGAGCATGATTGTGAAATACCTGGCAGATGCGATTGTGTTATGTCACGTCCTAAATGAAAAGTTGGATCGCCTAATTTCAGAAATTGTGGTTCGTTTTTCTTGGATACGCTTTAATAAAAGTCTACCCGCTCATAAAATACAATATTTGGATGGACTTATTCAGCAAGGGGCATAAAATATTTTTCTATCTAGCTACACGAGACATTTATATGTATCCATTTGGGAAAATGTTTGAATTTGGAAGGAAGGGAGACACGATAATGATATCATATTTAAGGACGTCTTGGAAAGATTGAGAATAATGACATTAAATTCTTTCCCCAAAACACTTTGGGAGTCGGTGCGTCGTTTTCGATTTGAAACCCTGCTCCTCCTCGACGGATGAAGTTGTGCGTGAGAAGAGAAACTTGTGCTTCAACTTTCTCTCCCAAGACCAAATTTAAGTCAACATGTGATGGAGTTGAGAACGTGATCTGATTAAGTTTGTATGACTGGGGTGGAACTTGGGTATTATTGTACCATTGCCCATCCTATTTTATTGTGCATGCATTACAAAGAGCATCCCCAGTGAATATATATGCAATGGAATTTTTGATACTCTTCCTTTATTAACATTCGTTATAACCACTGAAAACCTGTCATTGTTATATTTTAGACAATCTACAACCTCGACAAGTTTGGTCCAGTGGGTAAGTCAGCTTTATTTCCACTCGTGAAATTGAGTTTGTACAAAAATGTCACGTGAGTGGTGAACTCAAATTTGCCATTCGAATTCTGCAGGGCCAGGAACGTTCGTCATCGTGATTCAAGTTCACTCTCGTGTCGAGTACTTGTCCCTCTTGGTGGAGAGTTTGAGCCGAGTTCCTCAGATTGACAACTGCCTCGTGATCTTCTCACACGACTTGTTCAATCCCGGACTCAACGAGGCCATTCAGAGTATAGACTTTACACGAGTGATGCAAATTTTCTACCCATTTTCCATACAGCTCAATCCACACCGCTTTCCTGGAGAAAGTCCGGACGACTGCCCACGAGACATGCCCGTTGCAAAGTGAGTGGTAGTATTTTTTGCATAAATAATAATTATCACTGCGTAACATAAATTACATATGTACATACTTGCATCAATACATAATCACCGTTTGCGTGTTCATGATTAGTTTACATAAGTTTTTCAAGATAGCTTGATAGACCTTTTCATGAGTAGATTACGTATGTACGGGGTAATTGAAGGTGACATTGTACCAATGAATTTGTCTGAATTGTGACTCGTCATTGTGGCTCTCATATAATTTGATAATCAGAGGTAACGTGGTTATTTGTGCAAATATTCGACTTGAATTAGTGCACGACAGACCTACATACTTTTCATTCGGGCGTATTTTGAAGTAACCTTCAGAATCAAAACCACTGTGATTTTTGTTGACTTCACTCGACCGGAAGTTGTGTGTGTACTCGGATTTGGTTTACTTGATTGAATTGCATGCATCATGAAATACATTTTATTAGTAAAATCCATGAGTTTATTTTTGAAGAATAGAATAGAATTCCCATCATTGCATTCTCATCCAATCTGGTCTGAGGGTCGGGAGCAGCAGCAGCGGTGTGCTTGTGCAGATGCTTTTTAGCCAGTAAAAAAGCATTAACTAGTCAAAAGCACTTTTCTTTCTTTCTTTGAAAAGTTTAAACAGAACGTTGCTGAGAGAGGGCCATAATAGGCAGAAAACAAACAGTTTTGTGGATGGATGTGGAAACTGGCTACCTCTACTGCAAAACTAGCATTTCTTTAGCAACATCATCATCTCCATCCGACATTATTACTATTCTTTGCTCTTCTTCTAAGTGCACTTTAGCTAAAAGCCTACAGGAGAAGAATCTGTTGATTTTTGGAGTTCTCAATATAATCACTGCCACAACCTTAATCTCCTTTGGTCTACATCTGATGAACTGAAGGATTCTTATTGGTTGCTTCTTGTTTCTTCCCGAGCATCAGGTTAGATCATCATTCCGTCTGGTCGTGGTAATAAGACGATGATTTCTTCCTGCAAAAATTTTGGCACCCTTTCCCCTCCCGTCTCATGTAACCACAGTCTGCATAAGCAAATGGGTTAAAACTGGAGCACGGATTGACAGACATAGACGAACATTAAAAAATATCTACGGGTCTTCTTCATGAAGTGAGTGAGCAAATCGTCAAATCGAATTGTTATGGAATTCCGAGGGCCAGAAATGTACCAAGCTGAGCCATCAGTTGCTGGCAAACATGCTGGGCCTTTGTGCAGAATGACGTTCCCAAATTGCAAATCTGTTGTCCATGCTGGAGTTCACTGTATATTTGCAATGTGTAGAGGAGTAGACAACCAACCGACCAACTCAACCGGTTGAATTGTGCAGCATTCACGCAAAGGCAAAGCTTTTTCTCTTTTTTTATAAATGGGCCACATTTGGCGTTTACAAGTCGAAAATTGAACACGATTTTTTTCACGAGGCTTCATGACTCAAGGGGGGATGTTTGAAACCTGCTATATTCAAGGATTTTGTCTTTGTGCAGAAAGCAGAAGTACAGATATATGCGAGTTGTGGAGGTACTCGTGGGTATTTTCAGTATGATGCTCATACTCTTTGAGGGTCCTTAGGTTTGTGGTGAAATTGAGCTTGAAACTTAAATACCGGAGGAACGAAGCAGGAAATTATCGAGTTTTCTGGTTTGCAAATATGTTCTGCTGCCTTAGGTATTCGTAAATACTTGGTGGTTAGCGTGAATGATCCTTGACATTTTTCCTTGGGTTGAATAAAAGATTTTCGCAAATTCTTTTCATGAAATTTATTTAGTAGGTGAGTTATTATGGAATCATGCAGGTTGTGTTGTGGCTGATTCATACCGTCGAGTCGGCATCAAAGATTTCTTTTCTTTCATTATTTCTTTTATTCTTCGCAATGCATTCAACCAAAGTTTTGGTGTATTATTATATTTACATTAATAAATTTCTGTTTGCAAATGTCATTTATCTCAGTTTGCACATTATCTTGTTAATTTAGGAATGACGCCATGGCAGGTTGTTTTGTGAGACTTGGTTATTATTTACCCGACAAAACGAGAAATTTTGGTTTTCTTCCTTCCGGTGAGTTGTGGCTGGTTGGGATTTTACTGCACACATAACTCGTAGCAGGGATACAGGGTTCTATGCATTTGAGCATTATTCACAAAGTCTTGCTGGGGTTTTACGTACAGCAGATGATACATTGAAACATGTTAGAATTTGGATGCGGAACGAATATTACATAAGTTGCGAATTTTATTGTGCATGGAGTTTTCAGGGAATATTTAGCCCCCAATTCAATGTGAACGGTCTTGCATTCATCCATTTGTCTACGGTTCAGCAGCCCCGTGTGAAATCTCTCCATTCTTCTTTCAGTAGGAGCGACTCATCTCATCTCACATTATGACCGTCGTGGTTTAGTACTGCAAACAAACATTTACAATAAACTTGAAAACTCTGCAGCTTCCTTCTATTGCTTTTGGGAAGAAGCAGACGAAATGAGAGATGCGATGAGGATGATGACGACGTATGGATGGTTCTACTTACTTGAACCCTTTCGGTTTACTTCTATTTTTATGTATTCGTAAAAAAAGTAGTGTGGAAGGTGATGACGATGGGAGTTGATGCATGTGCTGTTCGGAACGAGATGACATGTTGTTGTGTGTGTTCTCTGCTGGTTGTGTCCGAAATTCACTGTGAAGAAAGAATGGTCACTACTGAAAATGCTATTGTAAATGTTACCTGTAATGGCAGGGGGATAAAAGAGTACGTTATAATAATTATGCACGCAGAGACACCGTCGTGTATACATGTTCGTGGTAGTTCTTTTGTTGGACAGTTTTGTATGGTTTTCGTTTCATTAATTTCTCGAAGGAGCAGCAATTGCTCAAAATAACGGAAACCCCAATTATGGCATTGAACATTATTTTGTGACGAATGAAAATATTTTATTGCTGACAAAAATAGGAAAATTGATTATAATTGGCCCATGTATTTTTACTACTTGTAGAGCACAAGCAGCAAACTGTCGGAATGCGCAACATCCTGATGTCCACGGTCACTTTCGGGAAGCGAGCTACACGCAGCCGAAACATCATTGGTGGTGGAAAGCCAACTTTATTTTTGGAGGTATCAACGTCCTCCGAAATTACACAGGTGAGGTGATAAATCAACCAAATTGAATTGTTTGATAGACAGCCAACTAATGGGAAATAAATCGCTTTCAAGCCAATTTTCTGCTTCGTTGCTGACTTTACTATTAGCCTTGTTACTCCCACAAATAAGGTGCTGGTGGTCTTTTATCACTCCAAACATGGGTCGGAGTCCTCCCTTCCTCGGAGGCCGGAGTACACGATTTTTTCCGCGTCCTCGACTAGAACACCGTAGTTCGGAGTGCATGTGGCCACCGACCTATGCTCCTGAGCTCTTATATTTTCCAACTTGGAGAACAAGCCGTACGTGCCTAAACTAGGTGGTTGTAAAATAATTGTTCCGTCTTGAACCAGTTATTTAATCAGGAGCTTAGATATGTATGTACCTCTTGGGTTCGTGTGTGTGAGTGTGTGAGAGAGTGTGTGTGTGCGAAAAGTAGAATTTAGGACCTCGTAAAATTGATTTTATTTCTTGTGGTGGTATGACCTATACGATCTCAACTCCACTTAGCGCTACTTGCACGTTATTCTGCCTGTCTATCTGTCTCCTCCTTACTAAGCCCCATAAAACTCCGGAAAGAATTTATTTCATTTGTGATGACATGGGCAGAGCAGAGTTGTGATTCTTTACGTGGGCAATGTCGTGAAATTCTCACCAGATATAGAGATGAGATGCTTCTAGCTATACACACATACGGAGTAAATACATGTGTAAGTTCTTTACGCCCATGTATTTAGACTGCAGAGATCCATTAACATGTGCAAAAGTGGAATTCACCATTAACACCGCTAATAAAGTTCTTATGTACGTATGTAACGCCATGTTTATTGCTAACTCTGTTTCTTTTTATGTTCCAGGTGTCGTAGCATTCCTGGAGGAAGATCACTACGTGACCCCGGATTTTTTGTGGGTACTTAACCTCCTGGAGACAGCTATGATTAGAAACTCGTGTAAAGAATGCAATCTAATTGCGTTGGGAACTTATCTTAAGACGTGGAATATTAGATCTGCTCATAACCAGGTGGGTTATCTTAAGTACATGTTGTGATTAAAGACGACGAAATTGTGGGCAAGAAGATCCCTCCTATCATTCAGCTCTTATCTCGTCTTTTCAAAATGATGAGGCAATATAACCGACCTGGAAACATTTCCTAGAATGCACAGTGGCTTCTACGTATTCACCTACTCAAGCATCACAGAATAGTGTGAGATGTGAAGCTATTATTGAAAATTGAATTACCAAGAAGAGCATAATCCTAGATCAACTCTCCTATCCTACAAACATGGTCATAACATATAACCGTTACATCTTCGCAGAAAATGTATCAACTTTGGTTCTTTGTTAGACTTTCCAAAGTTTTCGGATTCTGAGAGATCTGGCCATGTTTCGGAAAGTTTCTCTATTTGAAAAGAAGAAATAACGACAGATTGTTGCCTTACTATTTTGAGCTTTTACCCCATTCCGGGTTACTCGCAATGATTCTCCCGAATTTATGTTGCGAAACTCATTGTTGTTACGAAAAGTTGAAGAATAGTATTACCCTCTGTTTGAAAAATAATTGACCAAAAAGAGAATATGTGTATGTATGTAAGTTCTGTTTGATAAACTGTGGAGTGAATATGTGGCAATGCCGAATGCAGAGAGGAAATACGCACGTAGACTCGTCAAGCATAAAGATGGAAAAGATATACATCTCTGTGGAAAAGATGCAAGAAACTTGAATGAATTTTTGTTGATGATACTCCGACTTTGTTTCCGCACCATCATCCGCTTAATTTCCTCCTCTCTGGTTTGCCATATTTTAGCGAGTTCTACAAGATGCATGTATATCAATACCGGGCGAGAGATTATAATCAATAACTAAATACTAACTATTTATGGGAGTACACTATTTCATTCGTTTCAGGTTGTATATATATTTATATAATTCTTTGGTAAAATTATCACAGGTTTGTTTGTGGCCAACGCTGATACTTTTGTCCATGTTATTTAGCAGCCATAATGTTCGAATGGTTTTTAAATACCGTCCAAAAGGTTTATTAATTACCAAGTAACACACTCGCCTTGTACTGGATCACATTTAATTTTACACGCAAATCTTCAATTTATATTGCGTGATTGCTAAATGCAGAGAGAATGTCTTTCTATTATTAGACGTATGGTCGATTTTTTAAAAAGCATTTTCCACCTAAACAACCATTTAAATTAACAAATTTAACATTAATGGAAATGGGACACTACTGCTGTCCCCAATTCTTTACTTTCTCTCATCAATTCTAAAAAACTTTAAACTTATCTCTCTCTATTCTTTTTTTGGTTGAAAAACTTTCCGTCATTCTCTCATCACGTCGTGCTAAGAAGTCACACATGTCAACTGTCATGCTTTCTATCCAAAGCCGTGTATGCGACTTTTTTCTTCTTATCGAAGGATTGTCGAAGATATACTTAAATCTCTACATTCGTTTCTTCTGTCATCTGTGGCAAAAAAAAACGTTCTCCTCTTTCTCTCTATTTCGTTAGGATGGGAAATGTTCATTAGAGTCAACTTCGTGTGACATGAGGAGCAGTGACAAGAAATAAGAAAAAACGAGAAGAAAGCAGTGGTACCCAGTCTGGGGGGCAGGTGGTCGTTCTTTCTTTCTTTAGCTTTCTCTCCCTCTCGGCCTCTGAGTATTGTTTACTTGGTCAGAACAACTCCTCCATGGAGTTATCCAGTTCCTTTGTCCTTTTATGTGAGTCTGAAAGACGCTACTTTGTGCTACAGGAGATCGTCATCCATGTCATTTATTATTTGTAGCTTGTTGCTTTCTTCTGACTAGCCTCATGTCTGAGTGATTTTAGTCCAGTGCTTCTCATATTTTATTCGAACCTGTCCATCCTGAGGAAATTGGAATTCTTAGATTTGGGGGAGAAGAGTAGGCAGAATTTGTATTTGCTGTTGTGCTGCTGCTACCCGGTCTCGAGTTTCCCTCTCGGGGGAAATAACTCGAAAGAATTATTCATTGATAAAGTTTTCCAGTTTTGGTTGGTGGTCTCGTCTCTCGTCTCGTTCCACCTTGAGTCGAACACGCAGATCTTATAGCTCACCTGGGAAAGATAAAGGTTTAAATTATTATTTTTTAACTCTACCTTTCATTTCCCTACAATGTGCATCACATTCTTCCCTCCCGTTAATTTATGATCAGCACGAGGTAATGTTTACGTTAATTGTGTCGGTACAATCGTCATTCATTCTTCCCATTTTCCATAATGTGATGTGATCCCTATTGTTTTTTTGGTCTTTGGCGTCGCAAGCTACTCTTCTCATTCATGTCCAAAATAGAACGTTAGATAGAATCCGTTCTTGTAGGAAAAGAGGAAAAGACGTTATGCACTTTATTATTCAAGTGGTGTCTTCTCGGTGTGTGTGATGCTGGGCCTTAACTCGAGGCAATCTACGCAAATTGGAGAAAGCTATATGGACACGAGAATAAATTACCTCGGTTTAAGAATAAAGGCGTTTTAGTTCCTGTTCCTTGTGTGACAAGAACACGTGTTTGACACTTTATAAATAAAAAATACTCAAGTATATATATGGCGTATAAAATAAAATAAACGATTATAATCATGCCAAGGAAAAGGTGACATGAAAATTCTACGCTTTCACTCTCAGCCTCTCAGCCTGCTACACATATGTATGGATAAGTGGTGTTCTCCGTTCATATCACGTGTGCATTATTTGATTTGGACAGATTGATACACACTGGATGTTCTTTACAAGTGTCTCTTACTTTGTTTTCCCGTCTTGCTTGAGATTTCAGGAAAGATTAGGAATATTTTCCTCCCTCGTATTGGATCACCCATCGATCCTACATGCACACACCGAGAAAGAGATTGGTGTCGAAATTGGATTCTTTTTTAGTGGAGAAAACAGACAAATTACGCAATTTAGATTGACACATTGCCAATTTAGATTACAAACGGATAAGCTTTTAGACAGTTCAGTTAGTTTGTGGAAGGAGGGGAAATTTCCAAAATCTGCGGGCACTATGAAAATATACAGAAAATCATGGTTTCTTAATGTTGAAGTGATGTGATGTATGCGTTCCAAAAAAACAGAAATTGTTTAGGGGAATTAATTTACTCTTGAGATTGAAAATATTCATTAATTTTCAAATTTATCGTTAACCAAAGAGAAATTTTATATGCATGATTACTCCACAAAGTTTGTTAAAAGAATGTTCACAACTACACATAAATCTGTATGCACATAGATGTACCTATAAGCTCATCCCCTCTTGAACGTCCAGGAGATTGACTTTGTAATCTTGTTCCGTTTGATGTCCTCTGCTATTAAATTTCAGGGATTTTGTAATATCTTTGTGCTTAGGAAAATAAGATTTTGTAAGCTTTATAGCGTATGTCTCGGGTCTACTCGGTGCCTCGTAATTAATTTATCCTAAATCCGAAACGAAAAAATGATAGTTCTTTACAATTGTTACTTCAAAACCTGCACTGTACGCGTTATCTGACATTTTCCTGTGTCTTTTTTTCCATTGATGACTTTTCAGCTTCCTCTAATCTTACGGCCGATTTCATACCTCTATCCTATCCACATGGTTTCTACCTGGATGAAACATAACGCTGCACAGGTTCACAACTCTTTCTCTTATCGTACCTTTCTAATGTTTTCTCTCTGCAAAAGCTTGGAATTACCAGTTCTCTAATTGCCTCTAGTTTCCCTAGATTAGAAATTCTATGCAATATACCTTCAAAAACTCTATATTCACAGTAGTTTCGCACTTGCTTAAATCTCCTCTTTGTCAAATATTTTTTTTCAGTTCCTAGACATTTGCATTTGCTGTCTTGGGTCGGTCTACTATAAACATTTATTGCTTTATGTTCTTGTCTGTTTCTTCCTTGTTACAATCCAATTGTTCTTTTTACTGGTTTATTTCTCTAGTTCAATCTGTTGTGTAATTATTGTCCTGCCCAGTCGAATGATTTACAGCGGGGGTGGGGGTGATATTTTTTATCAAACCCTATTCACTCTCCTACCCTCCTCTTCACATTTATCCTTCTTATCTGCAATCTGCTTCGTACATCTGACTGACTGGTTCGGTTGGTTGCTTAAGATTGCGAATTGTGAAACTAAAAATTGCATCTTGGTGGTCATAATTTCACTTTTTAGAATGATACTTCCTGACTGACTGGTGCACAAGTTTTATCTTGCCTTCTTTGAAATTTACGTGTACTCGTAAATCTTATCACGAAGTTTATACCTACGTTTTAGTGGTTGGCGATATTGCTTGAATTGTGCACCGAATAATCTTGGACTGTAGTTAGCTATTTGAGCACCCAAATTTCGGTTTGGCTTAACTACAGGGCAGTGCCATCATTTATCATTTACAATTATACCCTTTAGTTCTATTTGAAAAAGTAGTACCAGTTGTAGTAGGCCTAGTTTAGAAGTTTGCTATTCTTATGTGTGTAGGTTGTGCTGTATTAGTTCCCGACTTTTAACTGCGTTTAGTTTTTGCGACTACGGATATATATTATTTCTTTGTGGATTTTAAATTCATTTTATTTTTAAATCATTTTTTTACTTCAGTTTGTGTGTTGTACCACGCGTTAGAAAAATGGGGTACTCATATTTGCTTCTGTATTTCAGGGTGTGGTGACCAACTGGGTGACGGGAAAGCATAACATGGGGATGGCCTTCAACCGCTCCATGTGGGAGTCAGTGAGAGACTGCAGTAAAAAATTTTGTAATTACGATGATTACAATTGGGACTGGACCTTACTCAGCGTATCCGATACTTGTTTAAAATCACCTCTACAAGTTTATTACCCGAAAGCACCTCGCATCTTCCACATTGGGGACTGGTGAGTTGATCACTAAAATGAAATTGCGCTGACATATATGGCCAAATTAGCAGGGTAAATTAACAATAAAATTATTAATTGAATGATTTTATTGTAGTGGTGTCCACCATAAAAAGGCCAACTGTGATCCAGCGTCATCCGCTCAAGCAATAGACAAGGGAGTGAAGACACACCAAGCTCTATTATTTCCTGATAAGTTAGGAGTACAAGTTAGTCATGGGAAGAAGATACGACTAAAGCAAGGAAATGGAGGTTGGGGAGATATTCGGGATCGACAACTGTGCCTCGCTTTCAGTACAATTAATAGTAGTAAACCTCTCGCTATTCGAATCTCTTGATTCAATTAAGAAAAAGTAATAATTCTAATCAAGTCAACAACCACAACACTCAAGTCGAATCTACAATCTAACAATATGGAAAAAGAAGAATACCTGAAAATTTTCTAGTTGAAGAGAACGAAAGCGAACGCAATTTATATATCAATCAGCAAAACTTTGGTTAAAATTATATAATTATATATTGCAAATAGTTACAATTTTGTACCTTGCACTGATTACTTTTACCTGCCATGTAAAATTTGAGTTATGTGGTGCAAGCTGCATAGTTAGTAGAATGTTTTATATTTGAAAATAGCACATTATTCTTCAGACTGTACTTGTTGAAGCTGACAGCATTTATTGAGTTATCATTATTTTGTCTCTTGTTTCTACTTATTGTGGTTCTTACGCAACTGTGTTCACAAAATTCCTGTCTTTACTGACTGCATTTCCTTTGTTAATTTTTTAGCGATGAACTGTATACGAAATTTTTAGGCCTGATTTTTTCGTACTTGTGTGATGTAAAACTTGTGTTTTTATAACGAATTTTCTTCGATATCTTATCTCAGTGGTTTATTTATTGTTTGCCACAAATTCTGCACTGATTTACATATTCCAACATTGATTTGCCTGTGATGATACTCGAAAATCATTCATAATTTTGGAATATTATTGCTATGTGTAAATTAAAAAAAAATAAATCAACCCAAATCTCATCCAGACTCTTTTACAACGTATCGTATATTTTTTAGGTAGAATTTTTTCTGTGTTATATTTGTAACCAATGCGTGATGTTTGTTAATATTTACTGCAATAACTCGTTAGATTTTGGTAAATATTTGCTACACAATGCCATTAATGCGCTACTTCAATTTAAATGTTTTAATCCACAAAGTCTAATAAGTAATAACATGTATACCGAAATGTTCTAATTTTTCATAAAATGAAACTAGTCATTAAGAACAAGTGTTTAATTAAATAACGTTACATGATGTTTTGTTCTTGCAATAACTAAAGGCGAAAAAATAAAATCATGCCTCAACCGTAAGCTCTTGCGTCAATTGAATTGCAATCACTGTACAAATTATTAACATGGAAATAAAGCTAGGGTTGGCACGAGCCCAACTTCCGGAACCATGCGTGTAGTCAGTGGTTGAAGGGGTCCACGTGCTTGTACTCTCTGAAAAGGGGGTGGACACGAGTGGGGTACTGCTACTATTACTACTACTACTCGAGTCAGAGGAAGTAGTGTCAGGAGACGGAGTGGTCGTGGTCGTAGTCGTTGTCGTAGTCGTTGGACTGGTTTGAAGATGTCCTTTGGTTTTCATAGTCAGTTTGTCTACTAGAATTATGTCACCTTCTTCAATGGATTGAAACTGGACAGCGATCTGTAACAATTAAATGGTTGATGATGATTTATCATTTACATATTTTTTCCAGAACGCTTAGCCTTATAATTCTTATTCTTAATGAGATCTATTTACCTTAGTAATTGTAGCGTCTTCTGGAAGGCTAAATTTATTCAGGTAAATGACACATTCCATCCAAAAGTTTTGGATAATTGTGGTGCTGTCGCAAACCTCTGGAATGACATAGGATTGGTGCTCATCGGAGACTGAAGAAGTTGTCACATTGAAGAGAATCATTGGTCGAAGAATCCGCGGAATAGTCTGGACAAAGTAAATCATGGAAAATGATTCCAGTGACAAGGCTTCGTTAGTGTTGGTGGTGAATGAAATGAATGGAAAATCTTTCGTCACGCAGGGTTCCTCAGTTGTAACAGTCGTCGGAATATCAGTAACATCGGTGAGCGCTTCTGTAGCAGTCGTTATCGAGGTTTCGACCGCCGTTGAAGGGGTTTCGACGGTCGTTGACGGGGTTTCCGCAGTTGTTGTCGTAAAGTGGCATTTGTCAGAGGAATGGCGTTCATGGAAAGCAGCCCAAACTCCAGATGCGTTCGTGGCTGTTAAACGCTCCCGCACTCCAAAGGCCTCCAAATACAGTATGGTGTTATCCGGTAAAGCTTCCCTGGAGACGTTGGCGTGGTAGAAAAAATAGAACTCGTGAGTAGCGATGGAAGCACCCCAGGGATGGACGGCATGCTCCTCAACGTCCAGAACCAGTTCATTGTCGTGGTCTTGAGAGTGAGTGCCCGTAAGTGTGATAACTAACAAAATGGAAATCAAAATTCCCAACTTTCCTCGATATGCAAAAGATTGCATTTTTTATTAAAAAAAACGTGTATCAAAAGATGGTAAAGAACGAATAATGTTCTTCTGAGGATTCCTAATTCGTACTGAACGTTGAAGGAAAGGGTGACTGAAAGCTTTTAATTGTCATTTAATATGTAGCAGATTAGACTAAATGAATAAGATGTCATAATAATTGTAAAGATTGACAACTTCAGCTGTTGTCACCCTTAACCGTGGGAACTGGCGTCTGTGAGTGTCAGGAGAGGACCATGAATTGACTGCAGCACTGAATTTATCTCGTTATCAGATGTCTCGAGTGGTCAAGTGCGAGTATTGACAGTCGTAAACGAAGCCTATATTTACATATGTATGTAAGTATTTGTGGATGCTAATCACATGCACGTTTGTTATACTAATTCATGAACATCCGACTCCGGATGATCCACTTCGAGTATGGATTTAACCACTATAAAATCAGTGACAAGAACAAATGTTTTATAAAACATTTAATTACAGAGTGATGCAATTTACTTATGTATTTGTCCTTATGAGATCATCGTGCCATACTGAAATGCTTCACATGACAATGCAATTTCACTTTGCGTCTCAAATGTTATTTCATTCATTATGAACTGCATTTTCGATGCAAAACTTAATTCCCAATAGTGCACCGTAGCACGTAATACTAATTTTTTACATACGTAGTATCTATTTATCACAGATAGCATCTAACTTTGATATTTACATATAAGGGAAAACATTACTAGATCCAAGTGTAAAAAATACATGTGATCCTATTAATTTCATTCACAGCACAAATATATAACTACCACAACGTTTTTCGGACCTAGTTTATGGAGAAAGTTTTATAGCCCTTCTATGACTTATTTTGTAGATAGAATCTCTTTATTATTTAGATTATTAATAGCACGCATAAGTTAGCCCAGTCCATATGTTGTAATACAAACATATTTATTAAATTTTAGAACCACAACGTTCAAACCAGTACCATCAATAGCAATGAGAGCTTAATTGCTGCAATATAGCTTAGCGAATTGAATAATGAAATAGAACCACTTGTCCCAGTAGTTGTGGACCAATTATCGATTGTGGACGGCGAATTATTTTCAGACGCTGTGCTGGATTCAGACGATGTGCTGGATTCAGACGATGTGCTGGATTCAGACAATGTGCTGGATTCAGACGATGTGCTGGATTCAGACGATGTGCTGGATTCAGACGATGTGCTGGATTCAGACGACTGTTGCGTTACCTCCGTTGTTGACTCGGAACTCGAGATCTCAGACGTCGTGGAGTCAGTCTCCAAGACCTCCGTTGTGGGGTCATCACTTGTGCTTTCCGTTAAGTCAGACGTCTTTGTGATACTGCTCGAAGGGGGTCCTGACGAAGTAGTTGGGGAAAGGGTCGTGGTTGAAGTTGTCGACTGTGTGCTTAACCTCGTCGTCGTTGTCATAATCGTTGGACTGGTTTGAAGATGTCCTTTGGTTTTCATGGTCAGTTTATCAACTAGAATTATGTCACCTACGTCAATGGATTGAAACTGGACATCGATCTATAAATAATTAAATGATAATACATTTAATCTCTATAATGCTTACAATTAGCCTAGTAAGTCTTTTTGTGGGTTAGACATATGTATATGTACCTTAGTAATTGTAACATTTGCTGGAAGGCTAAATTTGTCCATGTCAATGACGCACTCGGTCCAAAACCCTAAATTAGCCGTGCTGTCACAAACCTCTGGAATGACGTAGGATTGGTGCCCATCGGAGACTGAAGAAGTTGTCACATTGAAGACGATCATGCGTAGGTCGTCACTAAGATTGGAGCTCTGGGCAAAGTAAACTATAGAAAGTGATTCCAGTGACAAGGCCTCGTCGTTGTTGGTGATGAATGAAATGAATGGAAAATCCTTCGTCAGGCAGGGACCCTCGGTTGTAACAGGCATCGGCCCATCAGTAACACCAGTAGTGAGTGTCTCTGTAGGAGTCGTTATCGAGGCCTCGGCGGTTGTTGTCGTAACGTTGCATTTGTCAGAGGAATGGCGTTCATGGAAAGCAGCCCAAACTCCAGATGCGTTCGTGGCTGTTAAACGATCCAGGACTCCAAAGGTTTCCAAATAGAATATGGTGTGATCCGGTAAAGCCCCCCTGGAGACGTTGGCGTGGTAGAAAAAGTAGAGTTCATGAGTACTCATGGGGACACCCCACGGATACATGGCATCCTCGTCAACGTCTAGAACCAATTCATGGTCGTATTCTTGAGAGTGAGTGCCAGTAAGTGTGATAAGTAGCAAAATGGAAATTAAAATTCCCCACTTTCCTCGCGATGCAAAAGATTGCATTATATTAAAAACAAGGATGCACGCAAAAAAGCTTTTCGGATGACTCTAAATTAGAACTGATGCAGAAGGAACCTTTGGTATCTTTGTATATATGCACATTAATTAACGAGTAAAGGAACAGAACTCATCATCATCCAACATGATAATCGTACAAAAACTATTGGTGAAATTGGTGAGAACTTGCAACTGCTACAAATATCATCAATCAAGATCAAGTTCACCTGGTTTTGCGAACAGTTGAGTTTGTACATATAACAATCATTAAATGACAATGTGGACATGTGGTGTCGTCACACTCGTCACCAATGTCCAATAACTTGACCATTGAATTGAATAGCAGCTGAACGAGACACTTGTCACAAACAGTTACATAACGTAAAGATTTATGATTTTGATTATAATCCAAGTAATATCCATTTAAAAATCAACTAATTGAGCTATAAATATAACAATGATTTAGTAAATGCTAAAACTAAATTGCGAAAGTTTCTTTGTACTTTTATTTTTTAAACTTTAGTTTGATAAGTCTTTATATTGCATTTTACACAGGATTGATTAATCAGGATGAATTTATTCATTATTCCAAAATTTACTATTAGACATTTGTACAATTTATCCGCTAATGAGCAAGCCAATATAAACTCTCGGTAGCATATTATAATAGTATAATTGATGACAGAATAATTTACGGGATACTGACTTTGAAATTTGGAGACTAGGAATTTAAAATGGCTTCATTTTGTTAGAGAAACATGTAGGAGCTTTTCAATACCAGCCGTAAACGTACTGCCACATCGTTGAAAAGACAGTACGCCATGAGAACGGAGGATCATTACGAAAAATTGGGATGAACTTGTGGTCTTGGTTAATTCCAGTACTCTTCAAATTCTCCAAGATTCGTTCGTGAATCGGAACATACAAGTCTGCCCATTCTTGTCCAAAACAGTCCTTCACAAAGTTGATGACAGTGGTCTTGTCAACATACATTGCAGCAATCACTGGAAGCATCGTTCCAAAGAAGGAAACGAAAACAAACACGCGCACAATCAACCGAATGATAGTTGTCACTGAAATAATTAAATTTGATCATCAAATTCTCATTCAATCACATATCCACATATAAAAGTCTGCGTTCATAAACAAAACTCACCAAGTCCAACAAAACCCAAAATTGCTCGAACAAAGCAAGATCTTGGTTTTGAAGCAGCAGCCAGACGAGCCGCCGCGGCATGTTTTCGGCGCAACAATTCTTGCTCCACCTGAAATTAAATTGTGCAATTTGATATTTTCCTAATTCCGTTCTTAACAAAAAATTTGTTTGATGACCAATGACAAAATGAGGATAAGTGCTTACCGGGTGGACGGGTTCACTCTTCACGACCATTTTGACCACCTTTCGAAATCGACGAGAAAATGGGAAAACAACAATATTTCTCGGCAGCAGCAGCAGCAAAAGTCTTCGCGTGCGGATGGGTCGAGGAGAAACGAGAGAGTGAAAACTGAGAAGCAGGTCAACAAATTCTGTGCTTTCTTTCACTTCTCACCCGGCAGATTATTCACAATTTGGGGATTTCGATAATTATGCAAAAACAATTAAATTCTCCGATTGATCACTCCAACATTTCATGGCATTGCATTTCAGTTTTAAGTATAGAATGGTGTTCGTTTAACTTAATTTTACTATTTTATGCATACTATTTGTAAAATTTACACAATTGAGATTAAATAAAATGATGACACATTTAGGAACGAAATACAACAAGTCTTATTGCATGTTAGCCTAAGATTGCTCACAAATTATGAATGTGCATTTATTGGATACGAATAAAATTTTCATTTTCAATTGGGATACATTCTTAAAGTATCTTAATTTTTGATACAATCAAAGTTTGACATTAAATAAAGTAAAAGCAATGCCAACGACTGCACACGACTAAAAAAATGTGTCGGAGCCCCCTGACCGCTATGTCCGGGTGGGGTCGTTTCGTCATCATCGATGAAATCAGTGGTAGGTATTTTTGACGTGGTGGTGCTGCTGCTGGGTTCTGGTGTAGGGTTTGTTGTAATTTCTGACGAAGGTTCTGATGAAGGGGTGGTGACTTCAGGTGGTCTCAGAACTATTCGATCTATCAGAACAAATTCTCCTTCTTGTTGGGGAAGCAATTCAATTGTCTATGTAAAGCAAATATATATGTTTCCATATTTTTTAATGGCACATTCATGATCAAAAAACGTACCAAACTCCCAACACCCTCTTTGTAAAATCTCATCCACTGATCCTCTTGGGTGTCTGTTAATCTCCGTTTCAATACCGTATTACCAATTCTTATGGTGGCATTTTTATGAATGTAGTATAACATCTCCATGTTTCTTAGCAGGTGTGATTTTGGCAATATTATTACTGGATTAGGCTCCTTGAAGTCTGGAGGAATTTGTGAGTAATAAGCAACCCAGACACCATCCACGCCCCCAAAGTTGGAAAGTGTGAAATTTGATGTTTCCGAAACATTTCGGAAAAACTCATCTGCATGCGAAGAACTCGTCACGTCAGTCAAATTGTCAAAGTAAAAGAACCACTTGTCATCTCGTGATGGTGGGCTGACGTACCAACCATATTGTTCCGAATCACAGAAGGTGTCCAAAATCTCAATTGTATTGTGAATTAAAGTTGGATTGATATTTTCTGTGGTACAGTTAGGCAAACCATTTATGGAAAGAATGGTCAAAACCAGGGTAATGATTTGTAAAATTTCCTTCATTTTTTCAAAGCTTTTAGTTATTCATAACCAAATGCGTTTGACACCAAATACTAAGTGAATTAAGTTCTAATGCATTCAAGTAATTATATTCAGACACTTTGTAGCCAGGTGTAATACGAGTTGATAACAAGCGTGAGAACTCGCAAACTGGTAACAAGTTCATCGTCCACATGCAAAACATATTCAACCGTTCGCAAAATTGAAAACCCAATCAACTCCAGATTAAACTGCCAATAACTATTGTCTTATTAAATAATTCAGTTTATTTACAACAAACGTAAAATAATGATTTTAAAAATTCTAAAAAAATCAACATAACCGGATAAAATTATGTATTCAAGGCTGCACTGGTAAAGTTGATGCTTCAGTCGCATCCTGCTCATTTTTGGGAGGCCGAGTCATCCCTTTGAACAAAGTCATAAAAGTGCACGTGTGTACGTGATCTGGGCATAGTTCACCCATGATAGAGTACGGTGTTTCCATTCTGAGACTTGTTGCCCTATCCCAGGACCACAGCATTCGATTCTCCATCGTGTCACTGAAAAAAGATTAGATAGTAAGTAATCTTGTATGTTAGGATTTCCATTTCAAATCCAATCCACACCGATAATTAACTTAAAATTCTTACAAGAAACTAGCCACAGCGTCCATTGGCGTGTCACGAGTTGAATGTCCAGACGCCGTGTTGTAGAATACTTTGTTGTTGATTTGTGGATCCAAAATCATTTGCCAAGGATCTAGATATTGTCAATCATGGACAAATAATTGAAAGAATTTGCTTAATATCATTGATTTACCTTTTGTAATTTTTAAAAATAAGAAGCCTCTAGGAAATATAATCGCCGAATCAGGATTATTCATGTCCATGGGGCATGTAGGTCTGGGTGTACCACCCCTGATGAAGTCGCGCCCCTTAATCCTATACATATTTGCAATTCAGTTAGTCACACATTAATTTTTTTTACGTTGAGATTACATTTCAAATCTTACTTTTCAATAAATAACAGCAGATGTTCCATGCGAATTAAAGGCTTGGCCCGAATTATCAACCTTTCCGGTATTGTGAGAGCCTGTGCAAATTTTTCTGCCATTTCCAGCCTATTGTAAAAAAAATTGCAGAATAACAAGTTAATAATAAGAGAATAGCAACTTGAAAAAAAAATAGATTAATAATTTTTCGTACCTTCGGGTGTAATGCATATTTCGCAAATCCATGCCGCCTAACATTAATGCATCAATAATGTGAAGAACCATGTCGAAATTCTCTACTGGACCCGACCTTTCACGTACTTCGAGCCCAAACTCGCCATAGAAAAGAGTTTTTGACGGCATCATAATCGACAGCGCCTTAGCCTGGGTCGAAGCAGAAGTCCATCCTGTCCCATTGTACTTGAACAATGAATATCCTCCAAGGGCTAAAATAATAACGATTTGAGCATAAGACACTAAAAACGATTTCAAGTCAGGGATAACTTACACAGAAAAAATCCTCGATTTCCTGATACCCTACCCAATGTGGTTGGAACAGCACGCCAATCATATAGTGACTGGAATACTTGCAAGTTTCCAGGAACCACGTCAATATTATGTCGCTTGAGAATCGCTTAATAAATGTAAAAACATAACAATTAATTTGCCTGTATTTAAAAGCAAATAGTAATTTACTGACTTTTAACTTAATTTTAATTTCTCACCACTTTTCAAATCTCCTTGCAAAACTGCATTTGCACCATTTTCAGGCTGTCGTAACATGGCAGGCATAGGAATTTCCGCCGGGATGCACCAATGCTTCATTGCTCGTGTCTTTGCTTTCCACTGCATTGGTTCATTGTCCAAGGATTTATTCAATACAAAAGCAGCCATTCTTTTAAGGGTCGCAATTTGACTGCTAATCAACCTAAATTAGAGAAACAGTGGAATTAATTACGACAATGTAAATATACCAAAACCAAAACAATTATTTTATCGAGTCGAACCTGTTGTTACAATCGAAAAGATAATTATAAAACGGATCGTCCAGATTGGCAAGAACTGAGACAGGGACAAGTTCCAAAATAGCCTCGTTATTGTCAGCAGCATTCTTATGGACCCACATTTTCTCGTGACAATCCTTCAGATACTTCACGATGGGGGATGTCACGTTCTCTGACTTTTTCCATTTACATATCAAATACCGTTCCGAGTTTGCTTGTCGACTTGATACCGGTTTATGAATCGTGACCGTTTCGAAAGAGCAGTACATAAAGTAGATGAGCGCCACTGTGAAGGGTGTCACCGTATCAAAAAGTTTGCATACTACATGCCCCCCTACTCTGACGATAGCGAGTGCCACATAAATTTGTGCCAGGATGATGTGCTGGCTCAATAATTCTTGCATGTTCTCTTGCCCTGTCACGGAGAAGCCCTGGATAAATTTTAAATTAATCATAATTAATAATTATCATTTTATTTCAATTTTAATTAGTTTTCATTTGTCAACGTACCCCATCCGCCATCATGAGATGAACACCTTTATTCCCTGTGTTGGAGAGGACATGCTCGATGAAACCGGTCACGTTGATCGGAATGTAAATATCTCCGGTTCCAGATCTCCCATAAAATGTGTCGAATGTCTCCGTTTCAGCGTGGAGATTTTGAAGATCAAAATCCAACTCCCCCTTTAAAGTCAACCCAAATCCTTTCGCCTCCCATTTCTTCATCCACAAGATGTACCTAAATTATGCATTTAGAGAGATCAATGATTAAATATATTCAACTTATTAATTAATTAATCAATTACTCGGTAAATCCTCCAGGACCAGCGCACACATCAGCGAAGTAGAACAAGTCTGGCAATCCTAGAACAGGATGTCCATCTCGAGTCATTGGACTGGTTAGCTCGTGGTTGAGGAGAGCATCCAGGTTCACCATCTTCATTGCTGATCGACACAAGAAGGGCCCCTTGTCCACTTTTTCGAACATGTTTCCTTTTCCCCGCACAATTCGATAGCCACGTTGGGGCATGATTTCAAACAGGTCCTACACACACATGTCATGTCAGGCATTAGTTGGTTTTGGTTAGTAGTCGTGGTGGCGGGGTAAATATACTAAAATTGAGCAAGATATGTGCGGGTGGAGCCTAATAATGAAAACCCGTAGGCCTCAGGACAAGAGAGTTGGTTGGAGAGAGGAGAAACGTATGGTTTTTAACTATTAGGCTCCACCCGCACAGTACATATCTTGCTCAATTTTAGTATAATTAATTTACCTTGCAACCTATCAACTCGTAATACAGATCAGGGTCAATGAATGCTTTCTCCTCATCAATTTTCACTGAAGTTATCGGAGTCCCAATTTTTCTCCCGTCAATCAACGCATCAAACGTCAGCGCTGGTCTGTCACTCGAAATAATCCACTTGAATAGGAAGTCCCATTGAAGGAAGATATTTCCTTCAATGGGACTTCCTAATAATTACCACAAAACAATCAAGTCATAAATCCACACGGCATACCTTTAACTCTTATCTTACATCGACGTTCTGTAATTTCATGTCGGCTGCACTGATTTCAAGTTTTTTCACGTCTAATTTAAATTGTTGGAGGGAAAATTTAGGACGATTCGTCGTGCAATTCTCATTCCGCACGTTTCTGGTCCTTCCTCCTCGTACCGGTGGCAGTGGGTTTACTTGTGGCGGGGCTGGTGCGACTTCTAATTACAAATATTAAGTTTTAATTTCAACAACATGACTATGAGTCAATTAGGAAACGAGATCGTACCTTGTTCTTCTTCTTCATCTTCATCGTCATCATGATAATTTCCATCGCGCTGTTGCCGCATCCTATACGCCGTGTTGGGCGATGGGGGTCTAAAAGGCCGTCCTACAATAATGCTAGGCGGCGGCTTTGGTTGATTAACCGCTGGCCGTACAACGCCCCCACTACTGGAACCTGCAACCTGATTAGGGCTTGACGTCCCTTTTCGGTCATCATGATCCGAACCTGTGATACACAAGGAACGGCTTAATTAGTAATTAAGTTGATCAATTTTGAAGAACCTTTTCTTCTGAATAATGATTATTAATAATTTATTATCTGTAATAAATATGAAATATCGTACCGATAGACGTGTCCATTTTCCTTCGTTAGTATTAAAATCGTGAAGAATAGATATCAAATATTTGCAGTAATGCAATTGTGGTAGAACACAAGTAATCATATAGAATTTAAGTTTCCAAGTCAACGGCATGGTGTAGGCAGAGGCAATGGAGGAAGAAGACGCTAGCTCCGGTTTCTTCTCGCTGAAAGGGCCACGAGGTGGTGCAGGCGAGACAGATTCCTTTGTTGCACCGCTCAGATTCCCTGCGCCACCTCGAATTGACAGAATCTCTTGAAAAACCATTCTTCTCATATGCATAATTTAATTCTGCATAAATACCTAGTTCATGAATGAGTACATGAATTAACAACAGAGTTATTGTTGGTAGTTTTATTTACGAGTATTTGTCACTGTATTGCATATATACATGCATTACAAAACACTAATATCTAACCATACTACAAATTAGCCAGTCTTACGATGCATTCTTCATACCATGTTTCTATTTACTAACTTGAGTTTGATTTATTGTGTTGGTGGCATTACAGATATTTTGCTTCATCTGCAAAAAGATGCATTACATTGCAAGCTCGTTAAAGTTCAATGATCAAGTGATGACGATGATGATGCCTCCGTCGTCGTATCATTCAGAATACGAGAGTGAACATGGCTCGCAGTTTTCATTTGTTTAAAGATAACGTATCGTATTTTCGTTTTTTGGTGGAGAGAGACAGAGAGTGTTTAACACTTCAGTTCTGCCAGTGACATTGGTTGGCTCTTGTTCAACAGCATCTTTCCTTCCCATTTAGATTTCAACATTTTGTCAGAAACGATAAACACTTTCATGTGCAAATGTGGGTGCACGCACTTTATTTATAAAATTAAGTTTAACAAAATTAGCATGAGCTCTGACAAATCTCGTAGACGAGGGTAATTAAACCTGTTTTAGTTAAATACACCGTCAATTATGGGTCTTGACGCTGTAAACAGGAGACTCTTGTCTCCCAAGTTGCACTACTTTTTGTACTTTGGAGGTATGCAGCTGGATAACCGTACGTATTTAGTAAAAATGGATTCGACAATTTCAATTAAACTACTTTCAGGCATGGCATCCTTCTGGCCGTTCGTTACCGTTTTCGCGAAGCAACTGGGAGTGACCGAAGTTCCCGTGGGCCTGCTCTTCACAATCGCTCCCATCACTGGACTGATTTCAATGCCACTCTTTGGAGCCATTGCTGACCGCTTCAAAATGAAGAAACAGCTCTTTCTCATCTTCAACTTGATCAATTTCGTGGTCGTCATGCTGTTCGCCTTTCTCCCGACGGTAATTCCCACCAGGAACGTGGCCTTCGAGTGTGGCGTGGGTACGTCCTACTTGCTGCAGAACAGGACAGGATTTCAGGCTGGGGTGAAGAACAAGTGCAACGTTTCAGAAATTTTGCTCTCATCCCAGTCTGAACATTCATTGGATTTGTGCAATTTAAAGTGTGACGTGACACATTTGGAGAGACAGGAATTGTGCCAAGTTTTTCTGGGTGGACATAAACCCTCATTTTGCGGGTATATATGTATATTCGTTCATTTCATGAATAAATTCCGAAATTATTTATTACATTTCAATACGAGTTTTTGAACCCAGCAGTTCTGGAGATGAGCACGACAACGAAGATGCGACCAGTTTAATCACGCTGCAAAATTTACAAGTCAAAACTTCCCATGCAATTATTGTGGATGAGATTTTGCACCTCCCTGTCGCCCAAGTTGTCGAGGGGGAAGTGGAGTTTGGCTTCTCGTGCAGCGAAAAGTCCATCTTGGCCTCATGTGAGGTGGACTGCTTCACCAACCAGGCGCTGGACTTCCGCTTACAAAAGATCCCGGAAGCCAGCAACGTGTACACTTCGAGGGTTTTCTGGTCGTACGTGGCTCTCGTGCTTACCACGTGGATTGCCTTTGCAGTAGTGACCTCGGTAGCGGATGCATTATGCTTTCAATCCTTGGGTATATTTCACTACGATGATATTTGGAGAATAAAAAAAGAGCTTCATTTTCAACTCACTACTTTTCAGGAGATCAGCCACACCTTTATGGAGTGCAACGCCAATGGGGGGCAATGGGCTGGGGCTTGTTCTCACTAATGGCAGGGGCTCTGGTCGACTATAGAAGCCAAGGCTCGCTTATTAAGGACTATTCGCCATGCTTCTACATAATTGTGGTCTTGTTGCTGCTAAATTTTCTGGTCTGTTACTATTGGGAAGTAGGTCTTTTTTTCTTTGTTTTTTTAAGTTATTCATGTTTTCGTCTAAATTCATTGTAATATTTATACAGGTTAAAGAGGAGCCGAAACCACACTCCCTGGGGAAAAGTATATGGGAGCTGATAACTAACCCTAAAATTTTCGTATTTATTTTAGCCTGTATCGTTGTGGGGACTTGTACGGGACTTTTGTGGCAGTTCCTGTTTTGGTATGTACACAGTTTTACATTGTATGCATTTTCAATGCATAATTTCAATGTCGATGGTAGGTACACGGAAGATATTGCATCTTGTGAAAACATGAAGTACATCAAAATACTTCAAGGACTCATCAGCATTGTGCAATGTTTCGGGGGCGAGCTTCCATTCTTCTATATTTCCAGTATGTCCAGCAATTCGGATAAAATTCTAAAATCTCCTCATTCATCTTCAATCATCTAATGCAATAATTTGTTTGTCTTAATAAATTACAGGTTGGTTCATCAAGACGCTTGGGCACGTTCACTGCATGACGTTAGTGTTGGGTGCTTTTGGCCTGCGTTTCATAATATATTCACTCTTGACAAATCCTTGGCACATTTTGCCCGTGGAACTGTTACAAGGAGTTACGTATGGAATATTTTATTCAAATATGGCATCTTACGCGTATGGTACGTACTTAATCTTTTCGTTGGTCTCACTCTTTGTAAGGCTGAATCCTCGTGTTGAATTACGTTTTATTGATTATATTATATTGGTATTATTTACTTTAGTTGTGAGTCCCCCAGGCAGCGCTGCCACTGTGCAAGGGTAAAATGAAATACGTAATTTAAAAGAATTTTTTAAGTACTTACCTTTTGTAGGATTGTTGGGGCTGCTTTCGAAGGCATAGGTGTGTTGGTTAATGCATTTAATAAATTAGCAATGTTTGACTGATCTTTATTTGTTACAGGCGTCGGTATAGGAAGTTTTCTTGGTGGATTCCTATATAAAACTATTTCCGGTCGCTTGACATTCAGAGTGTTTGGAGTTGTCACTTTTAGCTTCTGTGTGATTCACCATTTGATAATGAAGCTCATAAACAGGAGATTTACACCGGTGGCTCAAGCAGGCAAGTGATCAGCATTCCGTTCAAAAACTACATCCAGTTCTAATCATTTGTTGCATTCCTTCAGATACCGAAGGTTACAGGAATGGTCACAGTAAGCTCGAGGAAATGAAGGACATGGGTGCGGGCACAAAACTAGACTATGACAGTGATACGTAGGAGTAGCGTTTTATTTATTAGTCAAGTCAGGTCAGTGGTGGTGCCATATATCTCCATGTACAACTCAATTGATAATTATTACTGTGATTAACTGTCGAGTGAGGTATGCTTATTGCTATTTATACGTGTTTAACTATGGTTGATCTTAATAAACGAATTTATCCAAGTATTAATTGGTATTTGCTGTTGCGGACCATGACAACTCAGCGAATCATATACAACAAAGAGAGTAGTGTCTGAATCTATCCGTATGAAATAATGGGACCATGTTCTGAAATCGGTTATACGCTCTATACATATTTCTTGCATATAAAAATATTAATGAGATCTGATCAGTTTAAAGATCTATTCATTCCAGACAACAACATAGAAGTATTCATTTCATTTGAAATGTATGCTCCTGACGAAGGGTCGAGCATTGTTCCGAACGTTGGAGTACAATCAATATCCCAAAAATGACTTCCTTGCACTCCACTCAATTTCAACCGTTCAATTTTTGTTCGACTGCGCCAAAGTTTCTGCCGCATTTCTCTTCGAACTCGTTTGAAACTTTCGTAAAGAGAAAGCCATCATTTGCGTCCGATCTGGCGCACTTGTTGTCGCCGTCACTGTTCGCGTGGCCTTTCCAGTCACCACGAGTTTCTTGAGAGGCCCAGTAATTACTATTTAAAACAATGGATTATACCACACTCACAATTTACATATATCAATAATACACGCAAAGCAATGACTTACTCTTCAAGGAAGGATATTTTTGCTCCAACTGGTTCAGTATTTTCCGTTTGCAGACAAAAATGAAAAATACTCCCGTGCTCTGAAGAATGTTAAACATGTCCAGCACAATCCAATAAAGCATCGTTTCTTCCACGCTTTGAGACCAAGAGATGAATTCGAAAATATGTGTAACTCCCATCACCACGAAGAGTTTGAAGAATAGCTTCGCCCTGCCAGGAAACAAGTCATCGGGAACAATATAGTTTACAAAACAAGACAAAATGGAATGATAACTCACGACAAGCTTTGACTGTTATTGGATCTGGCCGCGTCGACGGCTCGAGTCCCTGCTTTGAAATTGTAAATCGTGGAGAGTGTGAGCCCCATGAAGAGCAAGTTAATTCCCATCAGGACTCCGATATTGTAGTAGAGATAGATCCCTTTCACGCTCGGCTCCAGGAAACAGGTCACACTTCCATAGCCAGGAACTTTCACTTGGCTGAGTGGGTCCCTAAAGTTGAAATCATACGCGTCGGGATCACTTAATACTGTTCCGGTCATATTGATTGATAATATTGCTCTTAATGTTGCTTAATTATTTCAGGGCTTGACTAATAGCACAATAATGGTTTTGCATAAGTGGCACAAGATCATTAAGTGCATGACACCATCATCCGTCAAGATGAGGATGATCCATTTTTTAGAGGATAACGCATGCAGACGAGACTCACGGGTAGACATGTGTCAAGACCAGACCAACCCCCACAATGATGGCGGGCGTCCCCCAGGCGAATAACATGTAGCAAATGAATCGCTTCACTCCTTTCGACCTTCCCGACACTGGAGTCATGGATCTTAACGAGAAAGAAGAAATAACAAACACACTCAACCCATTCGGGATACATAAACAGTGTAAATACGAACTTGAATGTCAACCAAAGGTCAACATTGATGATTGCAAGCCAGCAGAACGTGGCGAGGAAGAAGAAATGAGCAAGGGCTCCTATCAAATTCATCAATATTAGATTCCCGTAATGAAAAACATGCCCATTCTTGTTTTCCTTACCGACGCAACGACAGACGAGCGGCGGTGGTGCAAAGTGAGGGTTTGCATTGGACTTGTGCAGCATAGCCGCAAGGTGAGACCACGCTAGGAAGATGAACATGAAGAACATGGCGAGCACGAAGGACAACACGGTCCACCCGTGAATGTTTTGCTTCTCCCATAGCAAAATGTACACCAGGCCGGTGACAAAGAGGAAAAATGAGTTGATAAAGTGGACCGGGATGTAAAAATGGGGGGCGCCCACCTGAAGGGGAATAATTCAGGAAAAAAGCACTTAGGTACGGAAATTGCGGATATACATCAAGCATCGAACATCTGCCAGCATTAAGTAAAGATTGTTTAACAGGAAAGGAAAGTACACATGCGAGTGACACTTAAAAGTGAAAGTTAATGTGCTCAAGTTTCGTATCGCGTAAGTACAACAACCTCCTCTAGTCATTAATGTGCACCTCTCAAATTACGCACACACACGTATCAATCAAACATAGTGTCAAATTTCAAAGCACAAGGAACAATACCTCGTTACTCGCATAATCCCCGCAAACGTACAGAATCTGATCCTCCTCGCTCCCCGAAAACCGGAGTGAGACTGGTTTCTCTGCATCGGCATTATTATGATTGTCTTCCACTCCATTTTCTGAGGTTGCCAGTCCTGCGAGACAAAAGTTTTGAAATTCCTTCCATTTCCTTTCCAGTGGGAGGAGCAGCTTGACCCGACCATTTGAGAGGACTCGGACACTAAAAATAGAAAACGAGCATGTACTCCTTCTTACCTAAGAGAAGAGTGACGCTAAGAAATCGTCGCTGTACAGATAAACAATTGGATCAACGAGTTTCGAGCAGAGGAGAAAGTGCACACGGAGGAATTATGGAGTGGCAGTTTTGGTCCAATTAGTTTCACTCTCGATATTTATGAGGATTATTCGCTCCCTATTCGCTACACCGTTTCGTTTAGTGTGAACTGGAGAATCTGAGAGATATTCGAGTGTCTTTATTATAATGCTCACGAGGGGGTGAGACATCCAGACGTGCAGCGAGAGAGATGAGACGACGGGGAAAGCGAGATTGAGAGAGTGGACGAGTACAGACAACCGTTGGGCTTATCTGCACTTTCTCGTCCATGTCTTAATGCGGAATTATGATGTCACTTTCTCCACCACTCCCGCTATCCCTGTCTCAATTATGAACTCGTACATACGTCCTTATGGAGCACAACTATATAATTTCCCCCGTCACAGGTTACAGCTTCGCTTTTAATGCCACATCATAAATATGGCATTAAAACAATACATGTTCAACCCGGCAACTTGTAGTGTGCAATATTGACTACATCACACGTGGTGCATGGACGGATTTTCCATACGTCTCTTGGTTCATGCAAGAAACAATAAATTTTCCAGATCAGCTATGCAAGCAAAGTATCGTGTTAAGTGCGTTTCTCCACTGAATAAATAATAATAAAAACTTTGAGAAATCTTATAAATCACTGATATCCTTTAATTTGACACTTTACTCGCTAACCTCTCACACAGCCAAAAAGGTGTCTCGCACGATCAGTCGCATCAAACCTTGCAAGCACTATTACAACTATGTTAACCGACCTTTCTGATAAGCAACAAAACATGCACACACATAAACATGACATGCACGATGTTCCATGCACCTTTATTCCTGGAATTGATAAGCCGTATCCATGAATATAAAATATACGTGGGTGTTTATTTGCAAAGCATTATTTTTCTGGCGTGTTTTTCTATTTCAACGTGTTTTAGATTAAGTATGTGTGTATAAATAGTATGGTTTACTTGCTAAATTTGTACTTTATGCTTACATGGATCCCAGAATGTTGTGGATTCTCCGGAATGGATATGACGTTAAGACTTGACCTTCCGCACAACGGGGCATGTGTTTATAAAAATGCTGCGATATTTGGGCCCCCTCCTCGACACTTAATTTGTGATTAACGTCTCGATAAAGGGTTGGTCGATATTCAAACGTTGTGTTGTCGTCTCCTCCTCCAATTTCGACACATGTCTCCGTAGTCCCATTGTGATAAAGGACTTTGCCCAACGTGCAACAAATTGGGATGCACAGACTTTTCACCGAGTGGCAATTTGGTTGGCAGACTTTCACTCCAATTGTTACACTCGATATGCTGAAAAGACACAGAGAAAGTAATAAATGGAGGATTAATAGAGTGAAAACACTTAATTTTGTTGGACGTCACTCGACTCGGCCATAACCACGCAGGCGAAAAAAAACTGATTATGCCCTCACATTTATCATTCAAGTATTAAGCCTGTGACATGACTTGTCTAACCAAGTGTAAAATTGGAACTGGGACAAGACAAATGAGACAGAATGTGGTCTCACGGACGAGAATATTAAATAGAACAAGAATAATATTTGACATTTGTTTCTTTTTTGTACCTTTGAATGCAATACTCTGATGGTCGAAAGTAGTGTTCATTATCCAAAAAGAGATGACCCGTTGGTGTAAATGTTGCGATAGGCTTATCAACAGCGTGATTTGTGTGGTCTATTGTTTGGTTCAGTTCGGTTGTATCAGATACAAAATATGTCACGTTGTCTGAAGGTTCTTGCCATCCATTCCCATTTTGAATTTCAATTTGAATGTGATGTGAGGTTCCTGCAGGGGAAGCGTCATCAATCTGGATTTGTGGGATTTGTATCTCGAATTCGACAATGTCTTCGCATGTTTGTGCTTGGTTTTCAAATCTGCAGATTTGAAAGAAAAGTTTATTCGTAAAATCTGTATTCCTGCGGCAGACGTGCATAGGTTTCGATTGAAATTTTAGTCAGAAACATATCAGCAGCTTGATTTGGATTGAGGATGAGCATTAAAGTGGTCCATTAAAAAAATAGAATTTCAAGCGATACTGTTTCAGGAGACAAACTTTCTCATTACAGTAATAATATCGCTGTTAATTAACTCACCTGAAGCTGGTGTCCGCTGAGAAATCCGACATTAGCAAACTTGGCACAGTCCACACATCCATTTGTGTTTTTGACATGGATGCAACCGGATCCTGGCATTTGGCAAGATTTATCTCACTGGGCGTCCCTCCCACCACGAAGGTCACCATTACTGTCATCACCACAAGGACCCACTCCAGACTCGTAATGGTCAGCGATACTATTTTAATTGTCCTAATCGTGGCAAGATGCATCCTCCTGCTTAGAGTTTACAGCTGATATAGGAAGATATGCCCGGTGAGAAGTGAAAACTTGGTCAGAAATCCGATCACTAATGTCTAAAATTCCTCCTTATTTGAAATAATTGGAATTTTCTCAACTCCTATTTTGTTATAAACGTACTTAACTTCTGAAACTGGACGTGTCGCAATTTGAAATTAGGTAACCAAATTAGAAATTTCCAGTTAAGCTGAATAAAAATGGGTTGACACTGCACTGCGTGAGAGAGTTTTGAAGTGAAAGTGGCTGTCCGCAAAGTTGGTGTTCATGCACTGGGGACATTTTGCATCGCCTTTATATAGACTCGCCGTGGTGCTTTTCTACTTTTGAGCTCTGATCTACACACAAACTTGTAGTGCTTCGGTGCATGTTTGCCGAATATGTGGTTTCGTGGCAGAGTCTCTGTGGTCTCTTATCCGTGGTAATATTGTCCATAATAATAAAGTGTTTAGGGCTGAATGAGCTTTTAATCCTCTTCTCGCTTTCTATCCTCCTTTCTCCCATTTCACTTACTCCCTTGATCTCATTTCACTCTCAATCGTCTCATTTTTGTAATGAAGTGGCAGTTTTTGGATTCCATTCGATAAATCAGAAGTCCACGGCATGCATACGTTTTTCTTAGGATTTTCATATCCAAATCACGAGAAATAATATTGTCTTGAATATTGTTCTACGTGTTGCGTGCCATGTATGCGTCATTCACTTGTCGATTATGTAATGGAGGAATACCATTGTATTTAACCAGGCATGAAATTGTGCTAGTCGGACATGAGGGTTTAAAGGAAAAACTCACTTAAGTGTAGTCCAATTGGGAATTTCAATTCCGAGAGAAAGTCGCTACAAAGTCAACCTCGTTAACAAGACTTGGAGTGCATTTACTCATGTCCACCTACGAGATCACGATCAACAACAACCCGCACCAAGTTCCCTGCAAATTTTATAATGTGAACTTTACTTATTGCCAGAATGCATACAATTGTCAAGTCCTTATTACTAGCCAAGTTCCTGGCAGGCTTTATGGTCCTGTCCGTTCCGTGGTCCACCCACCAAACATTTGGACGGATATTACACCACCATTGGTGCAGATGCCAAATGATCCTCCGGGCGGTTGCAAAATTTATCTTGAGCAAAACTTTTTATGCAAAAGTTCACTACATATGACTTCAAAATTGTCAATCTGGCCACTAATTTACCCGATTTAAATTTCACTGTGGGGAAAATAGCCCATCTCGTGGGCAGACTTGGAGCATGAGTTAACAGTTATTTTAGTCGTGCCCCATCTGTAAGTTTCATTCAATTACATGGAACGTAATTACCATTCTGAATAATTGTTTTCTTTCCCTCCAACTCTCTATTAATTCGCCACTCGCCATTTGTATGTGCATGTATGCAGAGTATTTATTTATACCATGTCGTGCAAGTCATTCAACTAATTCCACCACGACCAACTTCCAAATCCCTGTGCACATTCACTTCACTTATTTTCTCCGAGATATGTTTTCCACGCTGTGCGAAAAGAAACGAGAAAACTGAAGCACCAACGAGAGCTTTACTACGAATAAATAAATTTGAGCCCCATGTGCTTTGTGGATTTTTTTGACACACGCTTTCTGGCAGTTACGAGCCCACTTGATCACTTTGACTAACTTTTGTTATTCCCCTTCTCAAAACAAAGTTGAAGTTGAAGGCCTGAAACGGAGCCTAAAAACCGTGCTTGATAATTAATATGCAAATTTATTAGTTTAACGACAACCCCACCATTTGTATAACTTGGTGCACAGAGCTGCACGGATTTCATTCCAAAGATCGCAAAAAAATATGAGGAAAAAATAAATGGTATTATTACGAACTTATGCCTCCTACGATGACGAGCTGACATGTGTATGCACATATAATTATAATTATGCATGTATTAGCGATATGCATTCATCCTCCCTCAGATCAGTTCATGATGCAACCTTTTTGTGATAATGGAACCTAAACCTCTCATTCACCACCATCGTCCACAACAATCTCTGACTTTATGAAGTATTAGCACGTACATAAGTGCACTTGATAAAGTAACGTAATACAAGAACCGAACACATACATCGACATGTCATGTTGACGCTAAATAGGTTAAGACTATGTTCTTAAAATCAGATGCAAAAAAACATCAAACAAGGTTGGCCAATTATTTCATATGTAAATACGTACAGACTGTGTACATAATCTTACTCGCAAAAGTGTGACTATTGACTCTTCTAACATGCCTGAAGGTCTTGTCGGGCTTTTTGTGCGAGTAAAGACGTACAGAAGTAATCCAGTCAGAAAGGAATTTTAAAACTTTGCGGAAATCGACAATTATATAACTGATAAAATTGAACTCGAAATTTGATGAATTATGAAACTTGGTGTTCATCATCGTTTTCATATCGTAATGAATGGCTGTGCTGTAAATGGGTGTAATCTCGACGCTCTGAAACAATCGCATAAAATTAATAATAGTACACAATCTTCTGCTTCATACCAGTTGATATAATTGGACTTTGGGGAAACTTGCATGGTTCTATCCAAATGTGACAGAAGCATTAAGAGAAAGAACTAGTTTCCACTGGTAATTGTCGCAGGCACAATTTATTTTGAATAAGCTAAAATGGTCCAACAATATTTAGTACCTGGTTGTGTGCCTACTGTCATCTGATTGCTTGTGGTTAGAGACTTGGATTACCGTGGGTATAATTCGTCCACGACTATGATGACAAGGCGACACCACCCCCACTACACACGCTTATCATGTAAGGTCATTGCAACAGATTTCCGTGAATATTTTCTGACCAACCCTGATTAGGGTCCTATAGTTCCCGATGCCAGGAAAGTAAATAAATCATCTTTCTTCATAAAAAATTGGGAATCGTTCTCCTCAATGTACTTCTTTCGGACGCATCTTATACAATTTTCTTCGCACCAGCAAATGACAATGAGTGTCCAGAACCAGGAGTGTAGCTAATGGTGTACTGTTGTAGACAATAAATAAATAAGCTAGAATAACTGGTGTTACTGTTAGTACACACATGGAGTTAAAAATTTTATCATCTTTTCAGCGTTGTTGCTGGAATCCTCTCTGCAATCATAAAAACCCAGAGCGTTGTTGACAAGTATCGTTATGTTGTATAATAAAATGATAATGCATAAACCAGAAAAAATACATCTGCTTTATTCCTGTTATTTCTGGTAATAAATGTTCGTCATTGTTTCTCACCTATTTGTTTGCTGCTTCAGACCAAAGGTCGCCGTATGTTTTGATTTCGTCATCATTATGCGTCCAAGAGGTGGCGAAAGCGGTTAATTGGCAGAAATATTTGCCGTGAGTGAACTCAATTTTAAATATTGAAATGCACTAATTGTAAAATAACTAAATATGCAATGACAATGACACTGTCCAAATTAGAAATTGGCTGCAAAGCACTTGCCGAAAATGCATGATCATTACTTATTCTTAGCAGAGGAGGTGTGTAATTAGGTGCCATTTGGCTTTGGCTACTGTTATGTATGTTACGCTCCCTCGTTCATCCGGCCAAAAAAAATAATTCAACAATTAGCACCGTCCGTCGGCAGATCATGATGATGGGTCAATTCGCTTCGTGTTTGCAGCGTTTATGTATTTTGTTGACTGCATGGAGATACCACGACTTTCTTGTGTACATAGGAAGGCACAGGTGTACATATGTACATGTATGGGATATTAGCATTTGTTTGTTTGTCAGACGCATCAACAATGCTTTTGAATATGTATTCGTGCAATTGATGCAGGCACAAAATAGAAGAAATGGCACAGGATTATGTCATGTCTCATTTTAGAACTCGGAATACAACACATTATTCACCATCAACTAATTGGATTTGTTATGTAAACTGTTTACATTCGAGGGAGACACGAGGCGAATAACAATTGGAAGTTTGAATGGTCAAAACAATAACTTTTCGCGTATGTTCCCAGAAAATATGTCAGCGGTTTTACCGTTTCGTGAGAAGGTTTTATTTTCGTCACTCGTTCGAAAGTGACGTTGGTGATATCAAAAGGGTTTGACGAGAATGTCGTTGCTGTCTTCTTAGGAATATTGCTCCCAAGTATATTCGACTCGCAATGCCAGATTCTCTCCAAAACAGGAGTAAATCTGACGCCAGTGGTAGAAAAGTTTCATTAAATTGGCTCCAACCGAGGGATATTTCTGTAATGAGACCTCACTTGACGATTTCCATGAACTTATAATTATTTATCCATAAATCTGCTCCATTTAATTGCATCATATTATTATTACGCCGAGTAAATGGGATCTTGGATGTAGCAAAAATTACCTGTCGCCAGCTGCACATCACGATGTACATCAATGAAATTGATGTTAGCGTAAATATGGTTTTTCCAGGTTATGAAGTATCTATGTATTAGTTTTAATTCAATAATGTTCTCGGAAATATGTATGTTTTTAGACTGTTTAGTACTACACGAATTCCAGCATATTTGTACTGCTGAAATTCTTTAGGAACATAATTGGTTTAGAAATACAGAAAATAAAACAAACTCGGCTATTGCAGGTGGGTCAGCTCCAGACCGTCTGCACAGTCTGGTCAAGTTAAACCCTTGATTCTGGACCATAGTTTCCTTTGCGATTCTCTTTTCATGCCATTTTACACAAAGAGATTATGCAGTGATTGATCCAGTAGAATACTTGTCACAAATCCAGCACCCGCAAATTCCTTCGTACTCGTATTCCTTTCTTCGTACTCGTATACTTCGTATTCCATCGAATTGAAATCAGTTCAATTCAGCAAAACAATACAACGATACCATAATAAGTCCTGCACAACCAAAGGCATATACGTTTATGTAACTGGTACATATGTACTACTGTTCTCTACAGAGATTTCGCGAAATTAAGCCATTTTCTCCGAGTATTAATCAATAAAGAGAAAACCCAAATGTGCAATTAGCTCTGAACACTTGGTTCACTAAAGTGGATAACTAAATGAAATGGTGTGTATATCAATTATGAAATGAGCTTGCGACCAAAGCGTCCGATTTGATATGGATTTTCATACGACAAAATCCGGTCACATTGCGTTGCTATCCGCACTCTCCCTCCTGCCTGCTGCCTACATACATACGTTACTTACCACTTTATCTTAATATAAGACCCACGGAGAGGCATAAACACACATAAATTGGGATGAGCACAACAGGTATAAAGGGATGTGATCTGCCTGTAAGCAACAAACAGTAGCAATAAACAGCAGCGTTCTCATTTCGCTTCCACCGTTCCATCAGCTTTACTTGCTTGACTCTCCCGTTAAATAAATGGGTCTACAAATTGGTGTCCAAAAAGAGCATCTGAGTTCAGTCTAATTTCACTTCTCTCAAGATTCGCATTTCTTACGCGAGGATTCAGTTCCATTCCGTCGCATAAGCGTCTCATCTCGTCAGTGGGCCGGATTGGGAAAAGAGAGACTTTTAAGATTTCTTCATTTTACACCCACAACGCCACTACTTATATACGTGCTAAATACAGATACGAGACCAAGTTTGTCAAGGGATTTGCAAATTTATGCAATATTTTGGCAGTGGATTTTCTAAATATTGGAATGTAGAGTGACAGTGTTTCTGACCATGTTAAACCTTGTACTACTTTTTCATGGGATCGCCGTTTTTATCAAATTATGCATATACTTTTCTACTTGGTTGTAATTTAAACAAAGTTTACGGTAAATGAAGTGATCATCAACACTAAAAATCAAAAAAAATTAACGAGGTAAGGAATTTTTATTCATTTTTTTTACTTAATTCCATGAAAAAGTTCGCCGACGAGAAATTCAACTTGTTGCATGATTCCTGTTGTTCGTATGTAGTATGGAATAATTCAGCCCTTTATTGAGTACGAGGAGGAGTGAATGAGCATGTAATTATCAAATGACAACCTACTTTTCTCATTTCTGAACATTGTGGTTGGCCACGTACGGAATAAAGTTACATGGTTCGGCAACGTGACTTCCTTGTCCTCCTATTCTCACTCCAGATCCGACTAATTGGACCACGTGTGCTTTATTGAAAACTCATCCGTACTACGTTTCCTACACGTTTCATTAAATTTGAACAAATGAGGATTTATGAGCCGATTTACCGTGAGAGATAACACCCCAGAGAGTGAGACTGAGAAACATGCGTATTTCATGGTGGTTTATATACATATGTGAAAATACGTACACTGTAGGTGACACTTTGCAGAGCAATACAGGCGAATTTAAGGAACAGCATGCACAGTTATGTAAAATGTTTTCGAATCTTAAACCAACCTACTCACCCGTAGGAAAATCCGTGTTAATTACATATGTATAGCACCCCATTTTTATTATTGTGGGGACATTTGAGTAAAATCTGTCATTTAAGTGACTAGATGACAAAGGTGACGATTTCTGGTGACCAACAGCATTCACAAATAGATGCACATCGAAAAACTTGCCATGATTATGATGATCCGTCCCATCACTAATTGCTCGAGACCGTATAATAAGCGCTCCACGTGCTAAACACAAGTCCAAGTTGAAGGTCTCGAACCAAGGATAAAATAATATGCACTGGGTAGATTCATAAGCATGAAATGTAAGGAAATCTCTCACACCAAGTGACTGCGTTCTGCGACTCATTAATCACCCTTTACTCCTGATGGATGGAAACTCTTGGGATTAACTCTTACTTTGCGACACGGGAGAAGATACATTGCTCGTTTTTTAATTTTCTCACCCACCCAGTAGCAAAAGTTTCTTATGAGGATTGACACCCGAAACGGAGGATGAGAAAGAAGGGATTTAGACAGGAGAAACAGCAGGACACTTAATTTTTAGGTAGGTGATCTTAACGTCACTTTGGATTGTCGTCACATTTTAAGCCCTGGAACATATTGGCATCCTTTCTAGATAAATAGGCAACCGAGTTGAAAAATCTTCATTTTCCATCCTTTTATAACCTTTTAAAAGTGGTGGATAAATCTCGTTCAAGTCCTTAATCTGATAATTACAGTTGAACTTCATCCTCTTGTAGGGAAAGAGTTACTTAAAAGTTATCTCAAATTTTAGAAATTTAGTCAGGTGTGTTAAGCTTAAAGTAGCTAAATATCATGCGTGAACTCCTATTTTTAGCTGTGTTTCACTCCTATGTTAATCAACAAAAAGGCATGATTATTTAGATACTCAGAGATAGTTTTAAGGTTTGAATTGCTAACTATTTTTGCACACAAGTCAGTCTGGCTGTGACTGTACGATTAACAGCAGCACGCATAATTAAGAATGGAGATATTATACATAGATTTTTTAGCTCATTTTTGTCACACGTAGATAAATACGTAGTGTGTACAATCCTCTGCCGTTTGTCGGCAATTCAGACGCATGTAACATGCTTGTTGGTAAAGAAGGCTGTGAGAGATGCAGACGTGGTGGATGGAAAATAATGGCAATGACCAAAATGAACCTGACTTTGACACTGAACGAGAGTTTCATGGAAATGTGATGTATGTACGTGGGTGTTTTATTATTAATTTTCAAAATGTATGTTCCACACTGTTTCTGACCAAACTTTTGATGAAATAACAAACTTCAAATACTTTTAGAATGCTGTGATTTTTTTCAGTTCTGTAGGTTAACATTAACACTAGCAATAACTCATTAAAATTTACCTCGAAAATATGCCAAAATTTACGACTTGATTTCATTATCATCCGAAAACCGTTTTCCCCTGATGTTTTTCTTTAAGTTTCGAAACGAATAATAATCACTAAGGGTCAAGTCTGGACTGCACGGGGCGTGGTTTGTGCAGGTAAAGCGATTTTCGTCTGCACTAACCCTCGCAAAAAGCCAGGTATTAGGTGGCGCGTTGTCGTCTAAAAAAAGGCCAACTCTTTATTTTGACCCCACGTTTCTTTTCAACCGGAGGACGCAGCTCCTTCGGGGTTCCTGCATACACGGCCCCATTTATTGTAGTATTTACAGCAATAAATTTTATAAGGAGGGGACCTTTGGTATCCTTGAAAGTGGTCATCATCATTTTTTTGTCAGATTTTTGCACTTTTCAATTCACGGGCGGTGGCAACCCCTCGTGCTTCCATTGAGGGAATTATTATTTGGTCACCGGGTCATAATAGTAAACCCAAGTACCATATGCAACTAATAAAATATTGAGCAGGTTCAAGTCTTCATTTAATAGGTTAAAATTGGCATTGCAAAAGTCGACTCGATCCTGTTTTTGAGATGCTGAAAGCAATTTTGGTACCCAACGGGCGGAAACCATTTTCATACCTAAGTCTTCAGTTAACATGGAACAAATTGCTGGTTTTGAAACACCCATCTCATCTGCTAAATAGGACAGTTTCAATCGCGGATCTCTCATTATTTGTTCCTCTAGTTTCCGGAGCCTTTCTGTGGAAGAAACGGATTTTGAGCGTCGTGGCGACTTTTTGCCCGAGACATCGTTTCGCCATCATTTAAAATTATTGACCCAATTGATTTTGTGTTGGGCAGTCTTCATCGTAAATTTTAAGGATTCAACCATAAATCTGCGACACGTATTGCCGATCCAGCATTAAAAATTAAATCACACTACGATATTTAATTTGCAAATCTAGCATTTTTTCCGTCGAGGTAAAGTTTGCCGATTTATTGCTAGTGTTTATGTTAACCCACAGAGCTGAAAAAAATCACAGCCTCCTAAATGTATTTGAAGTTTGTTATTTCATCAAAATTTTGGTCAGAAACAGTGCGGAACATACCTTTTGAAAATTAATAATAAAACACCTACGTACCTCGGGGTCTGCATGTGTCAACAATAACAATTTGACCAAGAAATTTCAACTCTAAAAAGAACAATAGTGAAAACTGTATTTGTTATGCATCAACTTCATGCCTAACAGATTAAAATATTTAGATGATTGGTAATTTGAGACAAATTTGCGATTTTTGTTACCGGATGTTCAAAGTATTTTACCAAGAATCCTAATTAGCACGCATATTACGGGAAACGTAACGAGTTAAATTGTAGATACTGGACTGACTGGACTGTGCATTTTCATATCTTAACGTAAACAACAATTATGTATTTCTGTACAACGTTGTGATGCAAAGGATTTACAATTTTCTCTTGAACTTGACATATTTAATTAACCCACGGTATGAATAATCCTGAATTATTGCCGTGTTGGAGAAACATGAGGGCGTTTCGTGATTTCTTCTTCAGACACAACATTGCCAACCACATTTTGTCGCTGGTGGTAGTGGGATCCTAAAATATTCCGTGTGTTTGTTTTCTCAACTTGTTGCTAAACTCCTAATAAAATGGAATCTAGATGTTCCAAGTTTAATTAGATTTCTACGTTAGCTATTTTGACATTTCCATTCGGGTTAATGCCAAATGTCGACCGATAAATAATGGATTTGAACCAAAAATAACTTTATCATCCGTTTCACAGTTTCAGTGAATCCGAAATGTGTGGCATTATTACTTACACGACTTTGTACATGTTCAATAATCTCGTCTTAAATGATCCTTTGCATACCGCATGCACACACAAAACCCACACTTTTCTAATAATTTCGCCTCGTTGACATTTATACGATTTTGAAAATTGGGTGGACTATTTACGGCCAATCTTCTTCACCGGCATAAACAAATGCCAATAATAACTGCACTCCGGCTTGCTGAAGGATTTCGAAAAAGTATTATTAACTTCTTCTGAGCTAAAATTAGGACATTTTCATGTTCTGCCCAACACAGGAAATGTTGAGGTATAGCAAATTGAGTGGATTTTGTGAGAGTGCGTTTATTCGGGGGATTTTTTTTTATTTGAGTTTACAGTTAAGATTTTATGTCAAATCTGATTTTTTTCAGCGGAATGCAGCGTGTCCAAGTTAAATATTCCATGAACGTATTTAAGCATATTTAAGCATATTTAAATTGGCACTTTGAAGGAGTTACGTAGAGTGAACATGTTTGAGGGAATGTGATAGCGTCGATATGATTGACGTTGGTGGTTGGTGTGACAGTGGCTGTGACTGAGGATGAGAGCAATTAATTTGGACACGCAAACCACCCAGATTAATTGGAGTAGTAAGAGTGGACACTTTAATTAATTGTGAGATAGGTGCATATTAGCTTAATTATACTGGAATAAGTGGCCACGCAGTCTGGCGTAAGTATGACCATTCTATCCACACTCTGCTCATTAATAAATGGGTGTAATTCTGATCCATCACTTGCGCACTTGTGAATCGGGAAGGTTTTCGCTTATTTGTGGGCTTGGATAATGTATTTGTAAGTCCCTTCGTATATGATGCATTGAACATCCACGTTGTCCAGGATTGTTAATTAGCATGCTTCTAGAATACCTAAGATTCGGACGTAGGCGAGCTAAGTTAATTATAAGCACAATTTGTAGAAATTGACGTTTTATATACGAATCAGTGTAGCAGATTAATTTGTTAACTGGGAAACACCACAGATTCTGAAATTACTCTTGTTTGGGATAGCGTGAGCAGTGTTTGTGAGGCATTGGTTTTGAAGTGAGAAAGATTCATGCTGAGGAAGAATGTGTGTACTGTGTATAACCTTTTTCCTAAAAAATGGTGCAAATGACAAGTTGTTAACCAAGTTACGCGTCACTTCATTTTTGACACTTCCTAGTTTTCCGAACGGACAAAAGAAAAGTGCAATTATCAAAATTAAAGAGTTTATCGGTTCGTTTATTAGTGGATCATTTTAAGCAGATGACATAACTTGGGAAATCCAAAAACTTCTTAATTAAGAAGAACAAGGTAGACTAGATGAGCACCTTTAGTCCTTATGTTTGCACTGATTTATATCCTGAGTGAATAACGATGGATTACATATTTCGTTGTATTTATTTATTTAGATGAGGGGGTAATAGCATCATAACGCAATAAAGTATGGACGAATTGCGTTCAGTTTTCTACGTACTTCTCATTATGCTAAAAACATGCAATTATAAGATATGCGTATTTCCAACAAAAAATAAAGAAGCACTTTATTGTCCTCCTACCCAACCAATTATCCTGTTTATGCAGAATACTCGTCGTTACTTACGTGTAACAACATCTCGATCACTGTAATAAATACCCAATTCCAAATGTGTCCACACCATTTGAATGGCGAGAATGCAAACGGAAAGTTTCATTCAAAACGAGGTAGCCAAGAATTGAAGTGACTTTACTGGAACTCTGATCCATATTAAGAAGAGTCTCTGCTGCCTTGTCACCATTCCTTTCTTGGCGTCTGAGATTTAACCATCCACTTTTGGTCGTCTCCTTATAGTCACAACTTAAGGTTGACAACCACATAATTGCCCCATTCATTGCACTGGCAGTAACTACTTAAAAGTTAATTGAAGTCGTCCCAATTAAAGCCATTACCAACCAACTGTTGCACAACAAAGGCTACGGATTGGGAACCAAGTAAGATATTTCTGCATTCCTACATGGAAAATCAATCCTATTTAACTAACCAGTCAAGGTTCCTGTGATACTTGTTCGCCCAAGAAGTGTAACATTTTTGTTGCTGCTGGAAAACAGAATATTTCTACATTGTCATTGACACGTACATGGTTTAGGGTAAAACAAAGTGAGATCATCAAATTGCCAACGTTTAATTAGATAATTTAGTCATTGTATTTGTAACCCTTGAGTTCGCAGCATCAGCACCATATTTCGCGATGACAAATGAATTGTCCAATGTCATCGTTAGTCTGCAGCCTCGTGTCAATGCACTGATTCTTTCCTCTAACGTGACATTAATGGTACTAATTATGGATCCAAGAACACTAAGCAGTTGTAGTTACGAAACATATGGTTACTGGATTATAATCATGCAAGTTGTCATCTGGGGTATTTTTTTAATTGGTCGTAGTTAAATTCCGTTCTAGAGTAGACAAATGTGAATTTTCACTGATTGCAATAAGTATTATATACTTACTTATAGTTGCTTCATAAGTATTAGTTTAATGAATCAGCAATAGAAATAAAATGTTCAGGTAGTACATAAATCTGTTGAAAAGCTTGCATACGTTTCACCAGGTATTGGGGACAAAGTGCACAAATTTCATTCAAATTTAGCCGACATTTCGTAAAGATATGATATAGTACATACACTACCAAATAATAAATCCTCGTCTGTAAAAATGTGGGCGAGTTTGGCAATGGTATATAATATTTCATTGCAAGGAATCGTGATTTCCTATACAAATAAGACTGAAAATCAGCTTAAAGTTAAGTTAAAGCCGGTTCAGATGAGTCAGAATTTTTTACAATGCACGCCATGTTTTGTTATTCTGGTTTCAGGATTTTTAAGAAACTGTTTGGTGGGCGTGCGAAAAAGACCGACTTTAAGCAAACGAAGTTAAATGTTGTTTATTTGTCCAGGATAAAACTACGTTGTTCTTCGTAAAACTGTGTTAATCGTGCTCCATCATCTGTGCCTTATCTCCCACGCAGTCCGTCTCATCTTTGGAGCTTTCTTGGTACCTTTTAGCTTCTACAGAATTATTTATGAGAATGTGCCTACGAAGCAAAGCTTGTCGACAAATTTTGGAAGGTAGGGAAAAGTAGGGAAATTCCTTAACTAAAACTTTGAGAGTTTTGCTCCGACAATTCTTCAATAGATTTAATTATCAAGTCTGCACGAGTCCTCAACCTGTAAGCTTTTTGGAGGAAGACTTAATATAAAGCACCCGTTATTAAGCTATGTGTGAATGTGTGTGGGGTTAATGACACGATATAATTTAGAATGGTACACGAAGTGAATCTAATTAAAGAGACAATAATTATGCAGTTCTTCACAAGTAAATGAGAGTGTACTTTATATTATTGCTTGCATATTTTGCAGGAACTCTGAGCTCTATACTAAAGTGAGAACGGACTTGAACGGAGGCAACATGAGACGTCAATACTTCTCTAAGATTGCGATGATGTTGTTCTCATTTTGAGGAGTGAAGTGTTCCTTATTGTTCTCAAAACTTTAGTTGTTCGTCGTCGGTGGAGGGTGGGCCGTAGAGTGGTCACACTCTTCTTGACCAGGACGAATGGTGCATGTAATGTACGAGGAGAAAATACCTACCGGTCGGCGACATCCGGTTGCCTCCTTGCCCACAATGACTTCAGATCTCTGGAACAAGCCGTACACGTTTTGGGAGGGGGCGTGGGGTCTCCTCCTTCTCGTTTGCATTTTTGCCATCAACATTGCCGTTTTATGGGTGGTCAGCAGGTAAAGAGTCGGATTACTTGGTCGAAAAGCTTGTTTGGAATGTATACCAGTTCTAATTTGCGGATCCTGTAGGTCTCGAGAACTGTGGAAACCACGCCACTTGTGGATGGCGTGCCTCTGTATTACCGATCTTTTCGTAGGAGGTCACAAAGCATTAGAGCTGCTCCTGCTGGTTTGGCCGCAACATGAATTGTGTGTCTTACAAAGGGCAACACTTGGAATTCCTTACGGTATGATTTACTATAATTAAATGCGAGCATAGTAATGTTTTTTATACGTATAATTTCTTCTTTCCGACAGTGGTCAACATGCTTTTACTCACCTTGTTGTCGCTGGACCGTTTCGTCGCTGTCCGCCACCCCTTTTTCTACTCTTCCTCAGTATCAAACAAACATGTATGTCGTTTTCAGCACAGCGTGTAATCTTCTAAAATAGAGACGAAATTTATACAAATTCATTCCTTGTCAATTCAGGTTGGAATCGGTTTCATCATTGTTCTAGTAGCTGGCACGTCTCTCGCCGCGGCCTCCGTCACCTTGGGCCTTCAAGACCCCATTTGTCGGTCGCAAAGTTTGCAACTGGTGTATCTCACCATCGTTCTTGCGATCTGCTCCGTTCTCACCCTGCTCTTCAACAGCGCCGTTCTTCGTATCGCGAAAAAACAGTTGAACGCCATTTACGCCCATGAACCTTCATTTCGTGGCGCCGGGAGACGAAAGCTGTCCGTCGTCTGTTCCAACTGTGGCTACCGGAATGAAACATTTGTAAACACGCTGGGTCCAATTACCGGAAGTCAGGGCGCTCTCAACATGATGACTGCGAGCGGGGCGACGGGAGTTACGGCGACAAGCATTTTGCCCCTCACCGACGCCGTCGTACTTGGTCCACTAGATTTGGAACAGGGTGAGGAATAACTGCAGAGAGTTGGTAGCTCATAGTTGATCAGTGAGACAATGGTGTAAATTAGTCATACTTTTCATTCCAGTCTGTGAGTACCACAACCAAGGGGGTGGTATTTCTGGGGCCAATGGTGCTGGTGGTTGCATTGACCACCTCGGGGATGGTTGCGATACAGTAGCTGAAGCCCACTTGTTGGACATGGAGGCAACCTCACCTCTCGTGAAGACGGTGTCGCTCCCTGCAATTTCGGACATGGTGATGAACGTTCCAATTTCAATGGTGGTCCAACCAGACCCTGCAATCCCGCCTGCTGTTCTTATTGGAAGTATTCCCACCGACGTCATTGGAGGAGGAGGAGGAAGAGTGACGTCCATGTCGCAGTTGAACGATGCAGCGTCATCCACCATGATACATCACAACGAGTTCAAACTAGCTGGAGCTGGGGGTGGACTCCAAACCTTTCAAACTCTACCCAGAAGCAGATCTCTTGTGAGTTGCCAAACTCATAAAATCATGTCGGGCTCCTCAGCCGCGGCGGCGGCAGGTCCACGGCTGCAACTTTTTAGAAATTTGCATCTCGCCAGGGCGCATATGTTCCATGTACGTGTTCTTATTCAAGTGTGGTGCTGAGCTACTAATACTTTTGTGAAGATGATGTTATGACATTATTGTTTTCCAGGTGGGTCGTCTCTTCCCCTCGATCCGATTTGCTCGAACAGTTCTACTCATCATGATCCCGATGTGGGTTTTCATCCTCCCAATCGTCATCATTATTCCGTTGCATCGAGGCTGTGAAGATGGGAATGAGTCCGATCTGAACTGTGAACTTGTCGGGACTCTGTGGCGATACTTGATTATTCACATGCGATCAATTCTCCCCCTTCAGGCCATACTAGATACTCTAATTTATGCCTTTGGCTCAAAGGAATTTAGATCCGCTTTAGTGAAACTGGTTAAGAAATACAGAACGACAAAGTGACACAGGGCATGCAAACCTAAATTTGTGACTTTTAGGCTTTCTCATGATTTCCCTTCCCTATAATGAGATTACATAGATGGAGAGAGAGGAGGTCAAACCCAACAGTATTGAATTACATAAATATTTAAAAGAACCCAAATCAGAATTGAGCTAACACAATGCCAACTCCTTAAATACTTTACAACATATTGTTAACTTGGAAGGAGGAGGAGATTGAACGAACCCCGTATACACACACATATGTACAATGATTTGTAAGTAGTGTAATTTTATTAATAAAACTGTATACCTTAATGTATTTAGAAGTATGTACATAAATGTATTACTCTTAAATTTTGTGAAGTATACTCTCATCGTAATCAGCAAATACTATAATTTTTGTGTCCAAATAGAAAATCCACCTAAAACTAAACACCACTTTTGTTCATGAGTTAACCTAGGAATCAACCTTACATATTGCTAATCTACAGATGAACAAAGATGTTTATTAATGATTACAAACAACTTTAATACTTACATTAAGTTTAAGTTGTTTCTAAGTTTTATATGATTTGTATAGAGTTCAGAGAAATGGGTTTGTCTGTGATCTCAAGGAAATGTAGACAATCGATCTCAATCCATAAGTCTGCTTATGTTTACTGTATAATAAAAACAAAAGTACTCCATGTTGAGTTTGTTTGTGTGTGAATGCTTTCTTCAGATTCTGATCACTCGGGATCCTGTTGGGGCACCGTCTTCGCGAAGAACGGTGACGTCTCTGTGATAAACTTTCACCTGCATTCAAAAAGTGTAGTTAGCATGGTGTAACCAAGAACAAAAGCTTATAATATAATTATATTATAATATAATTATAATATTTCTGATATTTTAGAAAATACCTCCTTCGCTATCATGTTAGGGTAAGGTTTAATAAACTCGGCCACAGATACAGGTGCGACATTAGTGTTTGCAACGGGTGCAGGGAGTCGGTCGAATGGAAAACCTATGTAACAATTTGGTCACATGTTATTATTTGAAGTCATACTCATTACTAAATCAATGGTTCTCAGTATTTTGACTATTTTGTGATTTCTTATATCAATCTACTCACCCATTGCCTTAGCGTCGGGGACTTTTCGTCCCATCGTTCCGCACAGTATGGCTGCATCAACACAGCCAGCTTTCTGCGACTCTGTCAACCCAACCGCTCTTGGATCATTGACACGATCCACTTCCCAATCCGTGATCATTACGAAAAAATCCAAGGAAAGCCCTCCATGTTTTCCTTTGGGGACCAGGAGATTTTGAGGCTATGAATTTCGAATTTAGTTTTAGGATAAACAGTTTTTGAAGACTAATTATATACAAGTCTTGCTTGAATTATACCCATCCACATCCACAGAATGCTTCAACTCCAGTCGGACTTGAGACGCTGCGTTCCAACTGTCTAAAAGTTTGGGACCACGGAATGGTTAAAGCAGATTCAATGGATTTTCTTTGAACCAAGTTTTCCCCATGTTTCACTAAATCACATCAAGTAAAACTAAGGTATCACTGGTGACAGATTTTTTTTTGGTATTGTGATGCTTACAAGTCGTGGTAAACTTATCCATTTGGAAGAATAAGGTACGCTGTTCATCAAATGGAAGTGGATCTCCTTGTTCGTCAAATTTAGGCGCAGCAAAAATTCGTACTGTTCCAGTCACGTTTTTCGCATTTGAATTCCTCACCTTCAGAATGCGTATAAATAAATAATCTTATACGCTCTTTTACATATAATAATAGGCAATGCACTCTTACGATAATATGATATTCAAAATCTCGATGTTGCAAATGTGTCAATCTTGCCCAAATTGGACCTAAATTGTTGATATCCGTCTTCAAAAAGTCCAGTCCCCTGGATAGATCAACATCACTCTGCATCCAAAATGTGAGCAAAGTGTTGATGTCCAAAGAAGGGGTGTGGACTTCCAAGCCGGATACACTGACGCCGTTTAACAGCAACTGCAAAACACCAATGTTTCAAGTAGGTACATATGCATATGTACATCAACTATCAAATAATAAACCCAGTTGCATGCATATAATATAATTTTATATAATTAATTATTTGATTCATTGTGCTTACATCAGTAGCCGTGTACGGCGGCATAAAAGCCTTTTGACGTTGCAATATCAGGTCGACGTTTGTATGCCATCGCCAAAATATGGTATCCCTGCAAGCCGTGTTGGTAGATCCAATGACTCCTATTTCTTCCTAATCGTCATAAAAGATAGTAAATATTGGCCAAGGATTTATTGCAAAAGGAAATAGTTCTAGATATAGTTTTATCTTGCTTTGTATCGAAAATCAGGATCATGAGAATATCCAAGGAGCAAATGTCCACTGTTGTGCATGGCACCATAGTATGGCCTGTTCACCGAGTTGCTTGAAGGTTCCATCATCTGGCACAAGATTCATTATATGAAAATTCACCGTAATTTTTAAATGTCAAAAACTGCTTACTCCGCCCACAATGTCGATTGCATTGTCATTCCTTAAACTAACTTTCTTTCCATCTAACTGAAAATGAATAATAATGTGTATTGGATTTATCGGACGACATGGTTGTTGTGATAATGCAGATATTTATTCCTTAAATAATAATAATAATAATAATTCCTTGAATAATAATGATTTGATGTGATAATTCAATTCAATTACAAAAAAATACCATTGCCCAAATAAGAAAATATTTATTACCGAAAGTGCAAACCCTGCATCAATGGCCTCTTTAATTCGATCCGACCAAAGCCTGACGTCAGTAACGTACGTTGGGGTTGGAAAGAGGGGATCTTTGATGCGAACAATGTCCTATAACAAAAGTCACAAATGTGTCAATGTTCTTTATACGTACGTTTTTTGCACGTGTAATGTGAATGCTGGACTAACTCTGATTGGGGTATTTTCTTGTCGTACACCCCAATTCCGGCCACCACTTTGTACAGTCAACTTTGAAAAGTATGCTTCCTCTACGATGGAACCCTCTTGAAGATATATCGGTGTCACACGATTTAGTCCATTCGATATTCTCTCGGTGTTGTATCTTTGAATTTCAAACATGTGACATTTGCAAAGATTTTGAATACTTAAGGGTATTCAAAATCTTTGCAAAGGTTCATTTTCCACAAGTTATATTTGCGAGTATTTAGTTTGTGAATACCCACATGAGAAATAAACCTCATGACAAATTACATTTCTTTGAACCATCTCACCTTCCAAGCATTTCATGATGGGCGGAATAGAACAGCTCGCCCTGTCGATCTATTGACCCTCTCGGAGCAGTAAATGGGTTGACCAAATGCCAGTGCCAGTGACTGAGAAAAGTTAAAAAAATTGAATAATTTCGTAACAAGAAATTCAGTAAAAACTATAAACTTACAATGAATTCACACCAACATCTTCTCTCCAATATGCTACTTTATGCTCCGGATTGGTGTCAAATCCTGTAAAGACCAGAGGGACTTCCACCACAGCCTATAAATTCGATACTATATTGTAGTCTTCCACTTTCTTATGCAACTGCTAAAAACTGCAAGTACTCACTCTATCCTCCACGGGAAGTGCCGATTGTTTATGAGCCTCACGCAGAAACCTTGCTTCGAAAAACAAGTCAGGAGTAATTTCCCACAAATGCGGAATGATGAAGCCCTTCATGTCTTCGCGACGAATGGCTGTGCTAAGGAAAGCGTGAACCCACAAATGTGGGTTTACAGCATCTCTGCACAGGGTACAGGCATTGAAATAATCCTCCAAATTTGGCTGACCTACAATAATAACGTGACATTTCTTAGTTAATATTACCATGCAATTTTGCAGATTTGAGAACACTTGCTTGACAAAATTTTGATGAGAGCATCCGCCGCTTTTTGATGCACAGGGCTGAAGTAGCTAAAAACGGCAGTTCGTGGGATGACCTGAACTGGGGTCAAATCATAAGGCGTTGCCGTCTTGTTCACCGTTATCACGCTGACGTCACTGCCTGAAGGAATAGTTTTCCTCAGATATGCCATTGCATTGGCTTCATAGTCTTCCTATACAGAATATTTGCAAATAAAGTTGTTAACCTAATCATGTTTTAACCTTATGTGTAGCATAATCTAACCAGTGCATCTTGAGGGATGCTGTAGACCACTTGGGACTTCCCTTGGCCCCTTGGACTGACATACAACGGCTCACCAATTCTCTCCAACAAGTACATGAACTGTTTTTGACGCGTTCTTGAATCCATTTTCGTCCTTTCTCAATTAAAAAATACTGTTAATTCGATTCGAAATCAAGCTGAAATCATACAGAAAGCTTGGAAATTGCAAAATTGCAAATGAAAACGGTTTGAAGTTTAATGCTTTCGATTTTATTGATTTCTTATCTTTACCAGTGGTCGAAAGCTGTAAAAATTTGCACCACCCATCCTCTTCAGTTTATTAATTAATTGCATCCGTTCTTGCTGCATTTTTTAAGTGGTTATCTTTTTCAGTTACATCCTCGGGCATTATCTGCATGCTGTGGGTGACTAAAAATAAAAGGCAATTGCAATTACCACGTGCTCAATTTAGGTCCATGCTAAAACTTGACTTAATTTACTTACCATGCTACAATTGAGATGTGCATCTTAATATAAATTTCTAGTCACACCAAAGGTGATCCTTGTCTACTGTTAATTGTTAAGTTAAAACACTCATTCATGACAAATAAATTAATTAACGAAATGATCATAACAAAGAAAAATTGTTCTCATAATACATACATATACTTGCAACCATATGAAATGATGCCAAAAATTATACATTTCATCGTTATTTCCTACTTAATTACGAATAATGAGCGACTTGTGGGCTAATGCATGGATGCACGAAAAACCGCAAGTTCAGTTCAACCGGTGATTATCATATATAATTCGCATGACAATTTGTAGCTGCCTTATTCCCTACATAAAAATGACACATGTTATCAACCAACAATACATCCTGCCAGTTAATTTTAGCGAATAAATTCTACTTTATAAAAATTTGGAGGTTTCCTTAATTAGCCGAATTGTTGCAAATTGATGGTTATGGTTAAGGCTTAAACTAGAGATGATTAACCTTTCAAAGTTCTGAAAGCTCCATAATTAGAAGCTTAAACAGCAACAACCGACATGAAACTAACTACACTGAATGCCGAACTTAACGATGCTTCATTAATTAATTAATATTATAAAAAGACAAATTATTTAAGAGCTGACAGACTGGAATTTAATAGTTTCTTAAATAAAATTTGAGGTTAACAAAAAAATTTCTTTTTTTATTATTAAAACTTAATGAATCTAAATTAAAAGGAACTAAATAGCTACCCTCGTTTATAGTTGTCAATATAATCTACTAATTCGATTTCGAAGTCCGCTCCAAACTGTCAAATTTCTTTTGCAGTTCGTTCAAACGACGAATCCCTTGGATGAAGGCCGACTCTCGATAAGCGCTCTTGCACCAATATCCTCCAGTGGTGTAACCCAGCTTCTCGTGCCCCTTGAAGATCTATTATTTTAAAAATATAATTTATTAGTCATTGTTAAATGTGGTTGGATTAAGTCAAATCAAATAGGAAATTAACTCACCCTGATCTCCAGCCGATATATGGCGACTCCATACTGAAATCGTTCACTCTCGGAATATTTGACCCGTAGGCCCATCTCCTTCAGTTTCTTATTGAAGAGTTGCTCGTTTGACATATTCACCGATGACATGTTTTCGGCCCTTTTACAATTTTTAAAGACACTACTTTTTGGATCAACCCCTACCTAGTGAATATGACGTGTATAGAAATAGAAGATAAGGCACTTGTCTTGTCGTGACGGGCGAGACTTTGCAAGTTGTCCTGTAGTAGTTTCGAGAAAAGGAAGACAAGTGGAAGAGAGAAGGCTGCCGTTGTCCGTTGGTGGTGGCTTGAGTGAGAGAAGAAAGGCGGAAGAGCGGGCTGTGAGCGGGGACGCGGAGGAAGAAATAGCCAATCGCAGAGGCCGGTACACGACGGCGGCGGCGGCGGCGTGCGTGGACTGTGCTGCAACGTGCCCACTTCACTTTCTCACACTTCTCCGACTACACACTCGTCGCTCTGTCTCTCAAATATAGAACTGGTGAGTTTTGTCCGTTTACTTTTTTTGAAGAAATAATATACTTTTCGCTCACATGTTTTAATTAATACTTATCTCTTGTTCTTATCATTGAAAACTATTCATACAGGTTGTTATCTGCTGCTGTATCCTGTTGTAAGATAAGTTAGCAGAGTTTATATTATAATGTCCGCCCAAAAAATGAGCATTATAAAGACCCGGTTTTTGGCTTCGGATACCCTGCCCCCTTCTCCATCAACTACAGCACCAACAAACCCCTGTGGCCTTTACTCGCTTGTGCTAACGTTGCCAAAGAAGAAGACGAACTCAACAAGTGAAACATTGCAAGTATGTACATAGTTATTTCACCATAACGCATGATAAGATAAAATATCAAAGCCGTCAATTGCAGTGATTAATAGTGAAACATTTGGTACCTATTTTTACAGGGAGATCGTTTCGTTGAAGGGCATGATGCCGTGTGCCATAACTGCGGCACTCGATCACGGGACCTGCACTTCTGCGATCACTGCAAGTTCAAAATTTCGCCTGCCGTCGGGCCAGACTCCGACACAGATGATGAACCAATGGTAAGAATGGCACATAATGCCATCATGATTATAAATATGTACCGTTATCGCAATCTTGTATCTTAATGTCATTTTAAAAAAATAGGTGACGAAGGTCCGACCACCAGGAATGCAAAAAATGCGAATTGTTTTGACCGAATCGTTCTTTCTCCCTGAACCCGCACTTCATAGTGTAGAAGACGACTACGCGAAACGTAGGTCACATTAGGCTTATTCCATATTTGATAAGAAGTAATAATATGACCAAATATTTTACCCCAAAAATAATGTTTGTTAAAACTTGGTGCTATAAAATAAAACTATTAAGTTTGAATATCAAATCCTCATACTGTAAATCAATCATAATTAATTTGACCCCTAATGTTTTCAGTAATTAACGAAATTCAAGAATTCAATGCATCCGCAAAGGAGACAGTGGTCAAAGTTGAATGCTGTGAGAGTTGGCGGCTACAAATGTTCCTCGCCCTGTGTCGTGTATGAAGTCCTCTTTTCAGAGAAAGGAATCGTCTTCACCTTACCACACGCTCAAATTAGTACGACTCATTTAATCTTATACATTTCAAAGTTGATTGATATTCTCTCTTCTTCCTCTCTGAATTTTCTATACTTTTGCCAAAAATATTTTCGTTTTGAAAACCTCGGAACCAATTCCAAAAAGTCGTGTACATTTTTAGCAAGTTTTTTTCTAATGATTGTAAGATGTCACTTTGTCTTCATATTGAAGACAGGGTATCAATTTGCTTTGATATTTATTTGCATAAAAACGTTTATTTAGAGCACACGATGACGATGATAACATGCGTCGTACCTATGGACACTATACTGACAGTTGATGGCCATTTCAAGAAGAATTTCGCTGTCCTATTTGTTAAGACCGAAGAAGAAGTTGCTAGTAGCCTGCGAAAATCACTGGGATTTAGCGAAGATCCGAAAGGCCCGGGATACTATTATGGACCACAGAATGGAGGTTCGTGAAATTTTTCTTGGCTCTCTTTGTTTTTTTAGTATACAAAATTTATTAAATGTAATCTAATAATTTAGCCGGGTGCCAGAAACGGATCGTCTTTCTCTTTACGGACATAACAGAACAAGCATCTGGAAAAATTGTCAACATGTTTGGAAGCTCGCTTTCTGAAATTGATGATTCGAAAGCAAATAGAATGTTTTGAGATAAAAGACAATGAGTCGTGGGTTTTTATTAGCATAAGTAAAGTTTAATAAAGCTAGCTGATACGCTTATTATGATACCAGATGTTAAGTACTATGAATTTTAGTTATAGTATAGAATAGTTTAAAACTTAAGAGAATTGGCTCTTAATAAGTTTGCTTATAAGTTATTTTATATAGGTAGTAAAGTAGTAACCTCTAGTTATTGTTATTTAATTATTTAAAGTAAGTTATTTCTGTTTGTAAGCTCACGAAAATAGGCTAGTGTGCTATGCTAATTTTTACTAAATTGTGCATTCCCTAGTACTAGTAAATGAGGGTAATAAAGGCTATTATTATTATTAACTTCATTGAAGGTGTCTTGATCTGAAAAGCAGTGTGTTCTGATGATTTGCAACACTTGAATAAACTTCTGTAAACAGTTACTTTTCTTCTGTTTTCTTGGTCATATTTGGCAAAATTAGAACTAATCAATTAAAACCAAAATTTGCAATTTTAAGAGGTGATGCATATTGCTGCAAACTGCATACTTTGCTCATGAAGTAACAAAGACGCAGTCCGGATTGCCCTGACATGATGAGCGGTATCCCGTATCCCATTATTCCCTCAAGAAGTTTTGCAGTTTTGTCCAGATTTATCCGATTTACCATTTTTAATTTTTCCACGTGTTTCTTGCAATGTCTGGAAATTATAGCAGATTTGTAGAACTTGGGAGAAAGATTGTGGCCGTGGGAAGGAATTACAGGTGGGTTTTCCTTCCTTATCTATGTATTTCCCTGCGTGTAAACTTTGTACAAACTTTGCATAAATTTCAAAATATAATGATTTATTATTTTTTTAGGGATCATGCAGCCGAGTTGGGAAATGCCATTCCTGATAAGCCTCTAATTTTTATGAAACCAGCCACTGCTTATATTACGGAAGGGTCGCCGATTAAGGTGAAATAATGAGCTAGAGTCAAGAAGTTTGGCTATTATAAAATTGAATTGAATTGCCAATTGTTTGAAATTGTCTGAGTGCTAAATATGTAGCGATTTCTTTAAATTAGACTCATTTTAACCAGATTCCTAAAGGATGCACCAGCCTCCATCATGAAATTGAGCTTGGAATTGTAATTGGGAAGAAGGCGACCGATATTACTGAAGCAAATGCCATGGACTACGTCGCAGGTTACGTGCTAGCTCTTGACATGACTGCGAGAGACCTCCAGGTGATCATCAGTTTAACATAATATTGATGTACCTGTGCCTGTGACATCAAATAATCCAATAATCTGTTGTGATAGAATATCGCCAAACAGAAAGGCCATCCTTGGGAGATGGCGAAAAGCTTCGACACATCCTGTCCTGTGAGTGCTTTTATCCCGAAATCATCAATCCCAGATCCGCACAATGTGAATGTGTGGTGCAAAGTTAACGGCAACATGAAACAGGATGGGAATACGAAGGACATGATATTCACTGTGCCATACTTGCTCTCGTACATCTCCCAATTTTTCACTCTCGAACCAAACGACATCGTCCTAACGGGAACTCCGGCTGGCGTAAGTGCCGTCAAATCTGGCGACGTCATTCAAGGCGGACTTGACCAGTTAATCAAAATTGAGTTTAGGGTGGAAAGTAGCAACTGATTGGTACAAGGCTTTATGGTGGGTTACCTAAGGGAACTTACCGTACCTGCCGGATTAATTATGTCCACTTCTTTATGCTTTACTTAGAAAATCTAAATGGTTGTGACGTGACCAATTTTAATCTACTATAATTATCTGTATGATCAGAAAATCTTATCTTGCTTAATGGGTGCTATTTGACTAGAATTAGTAAGAACTGTTCCGAGTACTCTTTAAAGAATGGAGTGATTAAATAAAGTCTATATATTTCATCTATATACGTAGTTCGGTCAATTTTTTGTCACGTTAAAGTATTTTTGACAGTTTTCTTTCTCCACTTGTGTATATGTTAGAAGAGAAAGTAGGTGTTTTTTTAAGAATGTCTTCAACTGTTAATTTGGGAACTGGGGAAATCCTGGAGGCTGGAACCAATTGACGCCATTATTTATCATGACGTCGAGAAAAAAGTTGCCCAAAACTTAATATGAAAACTTTGTGTTGCATTATCTGCATCCTCCGGTCCCTAATTGAACTACTAATTGTCTTACATCTTCAAGGTCAGAATGAACAAGTAATTGATGACAACGTAAAGACGCTTAGCGATACCGTGGTAAGTATTTAGAGACTTGTCTCGTGGTAATAATTCAGTGCTCATGAGATTAGTTTCATTTCATATTTCTTTGTTTAATCTCGCCTTCAAACCTTCAAATCCCAAGCTAGCCATGCAACCTGATTTACACGCATGGACCATGCAGTCACCCAAATGTCCCTTTATTTATGGCATTGGTGAAAGTTTGCAAATTACTGAGAAACGATAATCCCATAACCGAAATCTCTTGTGAGCAGTTTGCTCTGTACTTCTCATACTTTCTCTGCACGTAATCTTCTCTGATCAAGACTCTCGATTGAAACCAACTGAAAACTGAAAGCATCACATCTCAGATAAGAAGAAGGTCATTAGAAATTTAAAGAAATTACTAGCCAAACTCACCAAGAAATTTTATAGGGAAGAAAAATTAAAGAGTTTTTTTTGTAAATAATCAGTTTATATACGTAATGGCAAAATTCATCCATTTACTGCCTAAAGTACAAACTCCTGCTTGATTTTCAACTACTCTGTTATATATGAATGATGAGAAAGTCTTCCCCTCAAGTTGAACAAAGTTTTAATATTGTTTCACTTCCAAGAAACAACGTGCCGTTTGAGCGATATTCGTCCCATGGACATTTGTTAAGACTTCTTGCAAGTCGACCTTATGTCTCATAACGATGGGTTTATGTAACTGCAACTACTTGCAATTGACTTTCTTTTTCTCCTTCAGCATCGTAATTCATTAGACTACATCAAGATTAAAATCATACAGTATGGAATGCCGACCAGGTAGGTGATCTGTATATGTATGTACATTATGGCTCCACGGTTTAGTGGTAGAGGAAAATAGCATGATCCAGACTGAGAATGAGAACCAGATACCGTTTTGGTTCGTGTATGTAATATGCTGCAAACTTTCTCCTGGGTAATCTGCCCTTCTCTTACAAATTACTTATTGATGGGAGATATCAGTTCCAAGCCCCAATCAAATCCCATATTGCATAGGGTTTCACAACTGAAACACTATTTTACACTGTATCAAATGGACTTGCTGGACTTAATTAACTACGCACAGGAACAAAGGGCGACGACTGTCAACTTGTCGTAGACATTATATTCAGTATCTTACATATATGTACATATGTACATGTGCTATAGTTTGGAATCAAGTTGCATACATTTCTCTCTCGACACAAATCATTCTTATTGGAGAATGACTGAAATACCATTAAGTTTAGGGAGCTAAATGTGAAGCTATATAGCATCTAATCTGATCCAATAAGATATCCCACATTCGTACATATTACTTTTCTCGTAAGAAGTCTCGAAAGAATATGTTACAGGAGTTCCTGGCTGGCGAATAATGGTCAGGCAATCGTGCATATTTCTCCCTTATCAGCCCCCTCTTTCATCCCATTTCCTTTATGTGGTGCCAATAGGATGTGGACGAAAAAGAGACGAAAAAGTTACAAACTCCTCAGTCACCCACTCGCATTCTCGCATTGTCTCTCACAATTGATGTCAGACGAACCCAGAGGAAAAAATAAACTTGGAAATGCTATGACTCAAGTAACTTCTTCCGGATGAAGGTTAGACCCTACTTTGAGACTTGACTCCTGCAACTCTTGTAGCAGTGCAGCCAGCAATTTACTTACGCGAACTTGAGATCAAGTGTGCCTGCCTTTTCCTCCTCTCGACTTGTTTGTGAGATGCTGCGATTTCCTGGAGTGAAAACACAACATTCTCATCAAATTCGCTCAGTCGTTGATTCGCGGACATTGTGACCAGAACATAGCATAATTTCCCTACATTTCTTTTCGTCACAACTTTCACTTTCACTGCATCCAAGTCCATCTGTTTTGATTCACCATTTTTGCACGACTGGGTGCAGTTATTCGTCCAGAATTTTAATACTTGCTCGTTTTCATCTCATTCTCATCTTTCCCTTCGTAAGTATGACATACAGCGACGACTTTCTCGTCCAGAAATTGCGAGACATTCTCCTCCGACTCTACCCAACTCCACAAACGAGTCCTTTCATCATTTCTGAGAACGGGTCCAATTCCAAATTTCCTAAACTCTACTTCTCCAATCCGGACGAGGACAGGTTTGGAGAAAATGAGAACATTGCCAAGACTGAGTTCGCCATAGGACCTCAAAGTGGTGGTGGTGAAAGGATAGGCCGAGAATTTGAGACTGGACGTCTTGGCGAAAACGAAACACTTTTCTCGGACGTGGTACAAAAACAGGATGCGAATCTCTTCGCAGTTGTGCACAACATATCCAACTTTGATCATCTCGGGGTTGACGAGTCCTCCATAATTTTGGGGAACGTGACGACCAATCCGGAACAAAGAGACGACCTGTACGACACCACGCTCACGCGACACCTCCACGAGTTTATTCAAGTTTTAAAAATGTCGCTCAGTTCGGGTGGGACTTTTCATAGTGCGGGGGGTGAAATTGACGTCAATGCTCGTGTGGGGGGTGTTGACAGTGGTCACCACTTGGACCATATTAGCACCAGGATTAGCACTTCTGGGGCAGGATTGAGCCCCAATGACCTAGAATTCAATCTCACTCTGGATGATATCCTCGATCTAAACATGTTATTGGACGGGTCAGAAAGTGCGATCCAGTTTAAACACGTGTTAATCATTGTTCTCTATTTCCTCATTGCTGTCATTTCAATTGTCGGAAACTTGTTGGTGGTCCAGGTAATTAATTAATAACTCGTCTTAACGTGATTATCATGAACGATCTCATTTTTTCATAAATCCCAAGTTAGTAATCCGAAGTCGAAGACTGCACACCCTGACGCACGCTCTTCTAGCAAATCTCGCAGTGGCTGACCTTTTCATGGCCACCCTGAACATTCCCTTCAGTGCGGCCAGGGTCATCCTAGCTGAGTGGCCCTTTGGTCCTGTCCTTTGCAAAATGGTGCCCATGGTGCAGGTTGTGTCCGTCTACGTCACCTCCATCACGATGGCCGTTATTGCGATCGACAGATATTCTGTAAGCATACATTTCAAGGGGAAAATGATGACCTAGTTTTTAAGAATCTAAATAGAAAATCTTCTTTCGTCATTTTGGTTGAAGTGAAAAGAATGCGATGTAATTATTTTTTGTGTGCAATTTGGAAGGTCATAATGAATCCGCTCGGGACGCGGATGAAAAGTTCTCACGGGGTCCTACTCGTTCTCGCCATTTGGTTAGTGTCTGGGCTGCTCTCACTTCCCTACGCTATCTACCACAAGGTACACACACAGATAATTTCCCCAACAAATATAAAAGTTACGTTTAGAAATGTGGTGAAATCAATGCGAAAGTAATTGGACGTTACGAGACTCTAATTTGTTTGGAATAGCCGAGCAGAGTGCATGGTATCGAGAGATAGAGGTTGTTAACGTCATCCGCAGAAATATTACAGATAAAACTAATTGCTGAGGCTGCATTTTGTTCTCCTCCGCGTATAAAATTAGATGGAGTTGAATCGCTTGCTACACATTTTCAAAGATTATGCATGAACGCGAGCAAATGACAATTTAAGTCATTTATTGTCCTTATTTGCGTTTCCTTCTTGGAACAAGTCCAGCACATTCTTCTCTCTGCAATAAGACCACATGTGAATCTCGAAGAAGAATTTCAACTTTCCCTTTGAGAAACACACATTTGAGAAAGTCTCATGACATGCTCTCTCTCCTATCTCGTTTTACAACATCCCAAATTTATGACTGGGATCATATTCCACAAGCGAATATGTATTATTTTACTCAAGTTATCTTACCATCCAGGACAATTGTGCATGAAGGTTTATTCAAATTCGGGCAGGGTTAGAGTACTTTACAACTCTTATTCATTCTGTATTTTATGACGTCCTGTTTATTCGGAACTGGAGACGCTGCAAAATATCAGGCAAAATAGTAGCGTTACAGCCACCGTGTATTGTTTGATTCAGGTATCTCGTGTCCTCACTCTTGGGGTCGTGACGCGATGTCAAGCCGAGTTTGGGACATACCGACGATGGCTGACCGTGGGAACGTTTCTCGCCCAATACTTAATTCCTCTCGGGGTCACCACAGTCTCCTACATCTCCATTATGCAGAGGCTGAGACAACGCTCGGACGCCATGGGTATGACTAGTCAACAGTTCGTAGTGGTGAATATGCGGAAACTTATGCTAATTAATGATGTTTCCTAATTGCTGTATGATTGCTCATTTTCTGCCCTTTGTGTTAACCCTACATTTTTTTACTTTTGTTTAAATCAGAAACAAAAATATAGCTTTCCATTAAAAGTATTAATTGGCGGATTATTTACCAATTCGATTAGTAGGCACTCGATTTTATTAACCTACAGCTAAAAACAAACTAGTTACTTTCACTTTATGAGGTCATACTTTTTTTTGGATTTGACTCTGTACTTACTGAATCTTAAAATGAATCTTAAAATTAACGAGTTCTGATTTTTCTATCAAAGTTCCTCCATACACATACAACATTTACGGTAATCTCGCATATTTCTTAGAAATATCCAGAACAGTGTCACAAACGTGCTCCACATTTTCCCCACAAAACCAATAATTCATTCTCCACTTTACATTCAAGGGACCCATTAATTGATACCTTACACCCACATCGATGTCCATATATGCAAACTCATGTAAACATATATTAACTCTTCGTAATCTTATTTCTCTCAGGATCCACAACTCCACGTCAATTAGCAGCACAATCTCGAGCTAAAAAGAAGACTATAAAAATGCTCGCTCTGACCGTTTTATTTTTTGCCGTATCCTGGGCCCCCATCAACATTTACCACCTGCTCACACATTTCTCCGTCGTGCGACACAATTCGACTGCAATTCTTGTCTGTCATCTCATCGCCATGTCGTCCTGCACCGTCAACCCTTTCATTTACTGCTGGTTTAACGACCACTTTAGAAGAGAGGCCCTCAAGTGGCTGCGCTGCTTCCGGACGAGGCGGTGTCCAATTGTGCATCCGGGGATGGAAATTAATGGAGTTTTGACCCCAGCGGATATCGCGTGTGCTAGGACGCAATCTACAACGTTTGCCAGCACGAGTTTGAGAAGCCCGAGATTACCGCAGTCGCACAGTTATCAGAGTCGATTGGTTGGACGGTATTAAAATAATTTTGAACATCACTTAACTACAATTAAATAGATGAATAAACAGATTTTGTTTACAGAACTCTACAAGAAACCTCGTTCTTCGAGTCATCCTTAAGTCACGGGACTGGCCAAGGCCTCCGAAATGGGGACACATATCCAGCCCCATTCTCCCCACTGCACCCCACGATGAAATCCCGACCCTTTCTGAACCACTCACTTTCGCAGTACTATCCCATCCCTCACCAAAAACATCCTCATCTTGCCGACATCGACGCGGAAGTCGGGTGCAAGAGTGAGCGGTCAGAGTCGCAGTTTTTGGAGAGCAGTCAGTCATACGAGGACATCTTTAGGGCCACATCCCCCACGTCTACGAAAATAAGGACGACGCAAAACGTGGGCGGAGAGGAGTTGGAGGGTGTGGTGAGTTCTAGTGATGATGAGGAGGATGACCTTCACGTCTATTTTGAAACGGTGGCAAATTTTGAGGCGGAGAAAACTAAACAAGCACAGCAACAGGGTTTGGAAGTCAATGATGAAGATGTCACAAAGAATTAGAGAAGTGAAGTGATGATTTATTGAGATAAATAAGACATTTTTCATGTTTCTGCAACACGTAGGTACGTGTACAAATATACGTGCATAGTCTAAGCAGCAAGTTTATGCCTGTTATTTATTGAGAACATTGCGAAGTTGCTTGAAACAGAGTTATTACTTATTTATTATACCCAATTGATGAAGTTATTACAATGTGGCACCCCTGTAATGGGACTTTACACCTCAAGGCAAATTCGCGTCATGCATTATTACAGAGTGTAAAAAATGTGGTATGTGTACTTAGGATTTCAAAAACCATAGGATTCAAATACATAAATTAGTTCAAGTTCAAACAACTCATACATCCTGCTTGTATTTTGGTGATTTAATAAATATCTCTTGACAACATCCCTAAAGAACGATACACTCATTACTTATCATTCTTATCTTTTATGTATGTACACTGTTAAAAATCTGGTAGAGTCACATATATACTCATCCTTAGTACTGGCATTGATTTGGTAATAACTTCCTACCAGATAGGTAGTAATTTGTTTCTGAGTAGTAAATTTTTCATTACCACAACATCATTAAACGGGAATTATTCCCGTGCCGGTAGAGCCATGTATGTACTCCGGTCAGTAATGATTTAATACCAGCTTTCTAATAGTGTAATCAGGATGATTTAACCATGCTACTGACGCCATACATTTCAACGATTTACTTGGCAGTGTTATTGTTTATATTAAAGTGGATTAATATTACAGGTATTTCTATAGTTGACATTTATATTTGGTATATAATTTTGAAAGTACTTTGGACCTAGTCCATTCAACATTTTGTTTGTGTGGCGTTGTACATAGTTCACTTTGAACAAGATTTTCACCAACCAACCAACCACTCCAGATCGGCAATTATATTATTGATTCGTACTTATTTTTGGTGAATATAAATCGACCAAATCAATTTATGTGTGTATATAATTGTATATGTCAAGTTAGAGCAAACGTTGATTTGATTGGCAATAAATTACCGTAGTTGTAAATAAATCACTGCAAAGTTCGTACAGTTTATGGCAGTTAGAAAGTTGCATATTAAGTTACATAGATACTTACATATTGAGTTACATATTATCCTATTGATTCCAAAGTTGCATACTTCTGCATGAAATGTCGAAGTACAAAATAATAAGCACAAGTTATACCGAAGTATTTATCAGTTTGTGAAATGCAACACTTTTTTGTTACACGGTCAGAAATGTTAGCTAAATTCCAGTCCGTGTGCATCTTGATGGTTAACGGTACATTTATTTTGTGGCGTTATTAAAAGTCAACTCGTAATAATTTCGTTTCTTGGAAACAATTTAAACTCGCGATTGTCCAGTCTTAGTCTGACGTAGAGATCAAAAATAGCTTCCAGATTAGACTGAAGTCCTTCCACGAAGACCTTCACCTTTTTCATCACGTCCTCGTGGTTAAGATCGATTTCAGAAGAGGAGTAATTCGTCATAGATTTGAGCAGTTCTTGTCGCGTGGGTGCAGCACGACTTAGGATCTGTGGATAAATAACGTCATAATCGGTTTTTATTTTACTAAATGCATTAATTATAATTAATAATTACCAAGAATAGTTTTTGCAGCATCCAATTGTGATAAGGTTTCAGCGAGAGTTCGTAACTGACTCGCATATTGTCAAGAAGACTCTCACTCGTCACTTTTCTCTGATGATCCATCACCAAGGCGTGCAGAAATAGGCAGATAAAGTGCAGCCCCCTTTAAAAATTTCGAAATTTCTATTATTATTACAATAATTTTGGTCAATTGCTTTATTTTTTGAATTACAGAGCACCTTTTTAGCCAGAGGAGTGACTCTGCAGCATAATTTGACCCACTGGAAACCTCGTGTTCAATCATATCCTGGATGTACGCAAACCGTACTGGATCTTCCAAATACTTTTCATTCAGTTTCTGTATGCACAAAGGAACGACATGCTTAAATTGTGAATATACAATTTCGAACCATGCTTACCGCAATATTGCCTTCGACATCGTGTTTCACGGGAATGTACAATTTGCCCAAGTTGTCTGAAACGAGGAAAAATATAGCCTTGTACTTATCGATTAATTTGCATGGTTCGTCTTACCGAAAAATTTTAGTATGACTTTCGACGCTTCGAGAAACTCTTTGGTAGAAACTCGACCATTTTCGAGTCGGGGCCAGGAAAAGTGAGACGTTAATTTGACAAAGCTTACTTGTTCCATTATTGTCTTATCTCTTAACTTGTAGTCACTCACCATTAAGAAATAGCATCACAGTACTTATATTTCAATTAAATTTGTGCATAGCCCAACAAAAAAGTCACAAAAGTCGCACTTCTGAAAGAAAGTTTCTTCACAACTGGTGTCGTGACCACTGCAGCACATTAAGTGCATAATATGTAGAAATGCATTGTAAAAAAACGTAAACTATTATAAAACAAGGACAAACAAAACACATAGACTGACACGAAGAGCAGGTGGTGCTTACTTAACTTGAGTACTCATGTAATAAAACCACAAAATCCACTACCCCGTCCAGCCAGATACCACTTATCGATTTCTTATCAATCGACACAGGGCGGATCAACGTGCACTAATACAAACACAGGAACCATTACAAACGCACACAAACGAAGTGTGAAACCTAGCGCGGCTGGAAGCTGGACACAGAATTGAGCGCTGTGGGCGCTGCAACGCTTTAGGTCAAAATGACCTACGGATATTCCATATGCCTTGAGAAAATCTGTAAATTTTATTCCTCATAAGACCTCTTTGTCATTCAAAGTATTCTGACCTGTGACCTGCAGCCGTGAATTTTTGACCTCAAATTTTAGACAGATCTGCCCCTGAGCACAATGACTTGTGCGCCAGGTTTCAATAGGTTTCTCTGGTCATGAGTTGTCGCACAAACGGACAGACGGACACAACGATCTTACAAAAGTGATTTTACCCCTGAAACTTTCACACATATTATAGGACGACGTTTACATTATGTTTTGTCTTCTCATGGTGATTAAATGATGTCTCGTTCGTGGTCCATGAACCTTGTGATGATGTAAATAATGATTTCCAGTCATATTTGCTCAAATTTGGACGCATTTTGGCCAAAAGTTAAATAGAATCACTGCTACTGACTACTTATCTCGTAAAAATTACGCAACGTTTGAGGTCTCACGACACATCAAAATCTTTAGAACACAAAAATTTCACTGTATGATTGTGTTAATAAAGAAATACTCTGCTTGAGACACTTGGAAGATGCACAATGAAATGGGACTTATTTATCCATCTAATTTTGCAAAATAAAAAAAAACTGTTGTATGGAAATCTAATTAGTTTCAGTTATTATTTTCCTTTTAACATCATGTGCAAAGTTGAAATTATGGATTCCGTTATTTGAATGACAGATGATGGACATTGCCCCCGTGCCGATGCTTAGCTACAGTGGATCAGTTCAACAATAACTAGAATATCAACTAATGTGATGCGCTGATACATAGGTAAATAGATACAAATACTTGTGTGCACATGTATACACTCAAATACATATGTACATACGTATAATGTACTTATTGCAGATCTATGAATTATGGAAGTTGTGTGTGCAACGCAAATATTGGTGTTTGAAAAGTAAATACCCAACAGAGTTTGCAAAATTACTGCAACATTACAAATGTGACGATTATTAGTTTTGCACATAAACTGTAACGCATTAACGTGCTAATTGACATTTAATACAATTCTAGACGCATATTTTTTTTTTCAATTCGTGACTGAATTTTCAAGCCTCAAGTAATCGATATTCCCAAATTTCCGTACTCAGAATTTAGCTGGACTTGATCGAGAAACCTTTCGTCGAAACCTCAGGTAGATAGATAGCTTATCATCTATGTGAACAGGATATACCCGTGGATCAGAGCCTCAGCCCAGAGCGAATTATTTATAAGCATTGCAAACGGACTTGTAACTGCAGGTTTTATCGGAAACATGCAAAGTCTGTTTAATGGATGGATGGCGTCATCACTTGGTCGGAATGACGGCATGTTTTAAGCCCATCACGATTGCCAAAGTCTGACTCATTTTGTTCCAAATGCAACAAAATACGTAGAATTGAAAAAAATAGAATACAATGATGAATTTTGTGAAGATTAGGGAAATTGACTAACTTCAGGAAAATTAAAACCTATTTATTTAAGACGAATGCTGTATCGCTCCAAAATCATTGCAATCAAAATAAAATCAATACAATTCTTAGAATTCATGCAACGAATCAAACACAGTTTAATCAGAGTCTTACATGTAAGTTAATTTTCTGATGAAATATTTTTTAATTCAATAACCTACACAATAGGACAAACTTGACTTGACTCATTTACATGTTCAAGCAAGTATTTTGTAGCATAATACTCCAAACACCACACATCAATTTTTTTGCTAATACATACCTGCCTTTGTCTATCAAATATGGACCATGCTATTCGTTTTTTTTCATGCAAAGCCGGCACGTTACTCATCAGCTTGCTTGCTTGCAGCACATTATCATTTTAGCAAGTTGCAACTTGCATGCCACTCCATTCGTACGAATAACGTCGAGTTTCGCGAACGTTGCGAATTGCTTACTTATTTTCATTGAACTTGCTCCGACACAATAATATTCTCCTTCTGCATGCTAAAGCAAGTGCTAAAGCAAACGTTGCCTGTTCTGTATAAAAGTTGACGCAATGCAACCTCAAGGCATTAGTTGGCCGCTTGGCGCACAGTTAAACACATCAATAAACAACAACAGGATAAGAATATACAAAAAAACGATAATTTCTTAACCGAAGGTCACCATGCAGTTTTCCAGTGAATCTGGAGACCTCCCCCAAATCTCAGTGGGTGGTGTCTCCTCACATTGCAGCTTTGATGATACAGAGCGAGACGAAGTCTGTTCCAAAATGGTCTCAAATTCCTCATTTCCTCATAAATCGTCCTCATTGTCTCACGAGCAGTTGGCAGCTCCATCATCAGTATTACCACTTTTAGTCTCATTTCTCACGACCCACTGGGTGCTCCTCATTTCAATCAGTTTAATAGCATTTTTACTATGGAGGAGCCTCAACTTTTTGACAGATAAGGGTTTCCGGTTCTTTAGAAAATTTGTAACGGTAAGTTATTTTTTTTGTTTAATGAGGATAATAAAGCCATCGAATGTATTACTAAATTTCACTACTTTTCCCCAGATATCCGTCCAATTCACCGGTGGGATCAGCAACTCCGGGTCAAATGCTGATGCCGGATACCACTCCCTCATTCTCTGGCTGGCCAAGCACACGAAAGGGAGTCACAGCCAGAAAATAGCCCCCAAAACAGTAACCTCAAAACGGAACGAGGATGGCGAAGATTCCGACTCTGACGACGAGAACTATCGTCCCTCCCCCGACTACGAGTACGTTTATCGCCACACGCCCACCGTGGGTTACGGCGTGAACGACGCTTTCTACAAGGGGCGATGGATTCGTCTCAGCCGGAGCGTGATCTCACCCACGACGAAGGTGTGCTCCACCTCTCAGGAAATCCTCATCATCACCACGTTCTTCTGGAATAAGAGCCTTCTCTCAGAAATTATGGAGCTGTCCAAACCCAAACCTAAGAAGAAGGACAATTCCAAACTAGTCATTTACAAGGCCATGGTGGAGGAGTTGTACTGGGCACGGATGGGGGGACCCAAGAAGAAGCGACCACTCAAAACCTTGATCCTTGACGAACAAACGGTGACCCGAGTGGTGTCCGATGTTCACAAATTCCTCGACATGGAATCCTGGTACTTGGAACGAGGCATCCCATACCGGCGTGGCTATCTTCTCTACGGTCCACCCGGTTGTGGCAAGTCCTCCATCGTCAAAGCAATCGCTGGAGAGCTCAACTATGACATTTGCATCTTCTCTCTCTCCCAAAAACTTACGGACAACGCTCTCACCGAACTGTTTAATTCAGCCCCGGAAAAGAGTATCATTCTTCTCGAGGATATCGACGCGGCCTTCAAAAGTCGAGATACTGATGGGGCCACGGCACGAGAGACGAATTTGGCCTTTGAAGGGTGTTCTCAGTCCGCATTGACGTTTATGGGTTTATTGAACGCTTTGGATGGTGTAGCTTCAGCCGACGATGGGCAGCTGGTCTTTATGACGACAAACTACCCGGAACGACTCGACCCTGCTCTCGTCCGTCCTGGAAGAGTTGATCTCAAGATTTGCGTCGATTATCCAAGCGATGCCCAGATTGAAGGAATGTTCAAAAAGTTTTACCCCGAAGTTGACCCCGAGTCTGAGATGGTGGGTCAGTTTTTAAAGGCGATTCGAGGGCTAGACCTCGGGGGGCAGAAGGTTTCGATGGCTATGCTCCAAGGCCTCATGGTTGTTTATCGGGAGGATCCCAAGGATGCCATTGATAAGTGTGAGGAACACTTCAAAGAACAATTCGCTAATTGTAGGCTTGCCAGAGATAAATGTGGATTATTATATTCATAAACTATTTAATTTATATAATTTATTGATGGTTTTTTATTGATGTTAAGAAAAAAGAGAAATAAAACTTAATTAATGTGATAATATCCAAACCATATTTCTTATTTTGTTGTTTCTGATAAGATACTTATGTATATATTTTTGGTATTATCCATGCATCAAATAATTTGCAGTAGATTCAATCAATGTATTAATTTGTTCAAACGACGGCCGCAGCCGATATCGCGACAAGAATTTGTGGAAATTTGAAAATGATTCACTGAATAAAGCAGTCTGCATTGCATTGCATGTACACATTTCATATTGCATAATGAATATGTAGTAAAAACTACTACAAACACGGGCTTTGCGTGTATATTACAATCTCCAGTAAAAGCAACCAAAAACCTTAACAGCGAATAATTTGTGTTACTAATTGTGCACTATTCCCAAAGGCTCAAAAGACTTTTCAGAGGTCATTGGCGATGCTTTTCTGGCGAGGATAAAACCGATCTACAATGTTTCAAAAGTCAAAAGTTTGATACTTGGTGGATTACGGAGATTTTGTCAATGTTCACGAAAAAGTTTTAGTGTTATAGAAACTTGAAACTAATCAACTCTGATGACATACGTAGTTCATGTTGCATTAAATCGTTATGAATTATGTTATGGATGCTAAGGTTCCGAATGAGATTCCTGAAGCAACCACGCCGTGCTACTCAATGGAACTAGATCCATATTCAGCGGACCCGAGCCGGCTTCCTTCGGATGAAATTACCAAGGGACATTGGTGGAGCTGGTCATGGAAAAAGATCTGGAATGTTATATTAGTCATGCAAATTTTATGGATGAGGTTGATCCCCGAGAGATTCAAAAGTAAGATAATGAAGTAGAGATTTTTAATTATTTGAAATGTGCTGTTTTATTTTAAGCTTTATATACATTCGTCTCTCTCCACCAGGTGTGTGGTGACCCTCATCTCAGAAGAAGAAGGAAAGCCACTTTGTAATTATTTTAAAGTTCCGAAGCAACACTTTGTACAAAGTACAATGCACGGACGGGGACACATTTCCAATGATCGACCAGGATCTTGCGAAAGAATTATTTTGTGCTCCTTCAGTTCGATATAAAGGAGTTGTATCTTTCATAGAAAATTATGATTCGATTTGCATTCAGCTAGAAGGTGACGACCATCGAGCCGATAAACTAAGGAAGTAAAGAAGTGACACAATTGTACAATAACTGGAAAAATGCCTCAGCTGGATCCTTCGTCTCTGGTCAATGGAACTTACAACCAGACAAAACATTGGAGATGATTTACGCTACTATAGAGCTAAAATTTCCTGACAAAGACGGGTACAAAGTCGTTTTTCTGGATTGTGGAAATTATGATGTGGTACCTTCTGCAATTATAAAACCCCTCGCGTCTTACTTTTGCAAAAACAAAGCCCTTACTCTTAAAGTCTCAATCCGAATGGGCTTCTGCCAGGTGCAAATGAAGACGACGTGTATTCCTAAATTGAAAAGTTTACAGAGGAACACGAGCTTACGGGGTTTCTCAAAACTGTGGATAACTCAGTTTACGCTTGGGCCATCCATCCATATGGATAAGATGTTCACAACTTGTTTGATGGAAAAGAACCCCTTCGTCGTGAAGCTCATCCTCCCAACTCCAAAGAAAATTATACTACAACGGGAACAAGTGTGCATCAATACCTTGAATAATAAGGTGCACATTTTTACCCATAATTAATAAAGTAATTAAATTAATGTTTATGTATGGAATTTGTATCATACCCATCTTATGTTAATCTTATGTTATTATTACGTATGGCAATAGTCTAATTAAGAATTGTATATCGTACTATCATGTTTTTTTAAGTTCGTCACATTATTTACTCTTGCTTCTCATTCAAGTTTGTACTAATTTCAAGTAATACTTTGTACATGACCCATCAGGGGTTTGGAAGATGGAAGAACAACATTGTGGTGCGTATCATGCACTAGATTGGCCCTCATACAGATAAGCATTCAGCACCGTTAGAGTAATTACATCATGGGGCAGGAACAATTGGTAATTAGTTGGTTGGCTGATTTCCTCGCCTTCACTTTTCAACAACTGCACAGATGCAACAGCAACTCTGACGAAAAGATGCACGCGATAAATCTCTGCACCGCACATATGTGCAAATAAGTCCAATACTTTTGAGTGATGAGACGTACAGCGATAACCCTCGTGGGAGCGAGCAAATTCAAAAGGATGCATAGCTAATTTCTGCAGAAAATTAGCTCCAACTTTGTAAACTGGTCAAAAATTGTGGTAAATACTTGTTGCAAAAATCGGCCCATAGTTTCACAAAGGTTCGAAGGAGGAACGACTTTACTTTGACACCCACAATGAAATTTAGGCATTCCTGCAGATCTCCACGATACTGAGCCAACTGCAAATCATATTTATATGCATATGTGAATATATATATACGTATTAAATCTGACTTTAGCTCTTCATTTCTGCAAAATGTATGTGCATAATAAGGATTCTGGTAATAAGAGTGAGTTTGCAGGCTTAAATGCATGGTGATACTTGGCCCAATCTCCAGATAACCATCATCACTTCTTTTTCTCCTTGCTTTGTTCCTACAAAAGTGCAAAATGGGCAAGAATTCACCACCAGCGAGACGTTGCTCACGTTATAAAAATTGGGATTATCATTCCACTTACTTGTTGTAAAAGCCAACCTTGCACTACAGGACGAGCTCAACGAGACGTTACTTTATTTTGCAAAAAGCAATTTCCATTGTTTTCAGAGGCGAGGAGAAGACGATATTGTTGTTTCGTTGGAGAGATGCGTCACATCGTATGAAATATGCTTAACAATGTCCAAGATCACTGCAACCCTAAACAACCACAAGCAGACGAACGGCGAGAGGGAGGAGGATCGAAGGAATTATGTGCATGAAGCACTCAAAGGCAAATCGTTATACGTGGCGTCCTGTCACTCCGTCAGTGGTTTCTTTGTACTTGGAGAGAAACAAGGCAGAAAAGATAAGCTAGAAATTGGAGTGGAAGAAGGCACACCAAGCTCCTTAGTAGTGACCAGTGGGACCCTTGAGAAGTATTTTGTGGAAAGTGTAACGTTGACTGTGACCCGATCGGTTTCAATTGTTTTGAACCAAAGCTAATCATGGTAAGGTTATTGAAAATCATACTTTGTTCGTATTTTATCTCATTTTAAGATTAATTTGACAAATCGAAAAGCAAGCTTATCAACTTATTAGACACATTTCGGACGAAGGAATATCAGTCTTAACGATTATGTTACAGCAGAGATTGCATTATCTGTTTTTTGCGTGCAGAGAAATGACAACGTCACCACCATCAGCATGCCACCCTAGCAAATGTGTCTCTATAATCAGTTTCGCTTATGGTTTTTTCCATGCGCAATTTTCCATTTTGTCGTTGCAAAAAAGAATTTAGGATTTGCACTCCTCAAATATGAGCACACGCGACAATAATTTGAGATCGAATTGAAGTTTCTGGCAGTAAAGTTGAAGAAGAGGAAGGATGCATGTCTAACTGAATTTAATGGTGGAGGATAAATGATGGACAAGTAAAGGACAGTTTAAAGTAGGTTCAGTCCAGTCGTAATTACGAGACTGCTCACTTTCTGCGAAAATTTATGCACAAGGGAATTCTCTTTACGGTCAATTAAATGAGTTGAACTTGGGACTTATAACGCTCACCTTGGACAAAAAGTGTGAGATCCGTACCTAAATTTAACATTTGTCTGTCTGTATATTATCCATTGTACGTACGTACGTAAATATGTACCTTTGTTGCGGTTAATGAAATGAGGATAATATGTATACTACCGTTATACTTAAATTAAATGAAATTCATGGAAATAAATGCTAACTGGGCTACGTCTTCAAACAAGTTAATGAAAAATTTGTCGAAATCATTCCAGAATGTGTGCATGATCTAAGCAAAATTACTCATGCAAATTAATTTAGAATTTCCAAGATTTCTGTAATGATAGTGCGACCATTTTTTGTCGAAATGGTACAAAAGATAGGAATTTGTCACGCACGCAGTCCGGCTTTGTTGAAAATCTGGACTGGACTGGACCACATTTTATAGGAAAAAAACGTGTGCAATATACATAAATACACAATGTACCATTTTTACGTAGGCGTCGACTACCTTACGACAAGCTCATGTCATCAACACGACCCACATCCCCGCCCTGCTCCTCCTCACCACGGTTTTCGCCATCCTGCTCGGACTGATTGATTGCGAACGGTTTCCACAATCTCCAGCCCGCCCGGCGAAACCTGACCCGATCGATCCCACCGGGAGAAACAGTCCCGGCATCGTCATCGTCTACAAGAAGGGTGGAAGTGGAGGTGGAGGTGGCAACGGTACAGAAAAACTAAAAATCAGCATTATTCGTATCTTGACTGTATTTTAAAATGCATTCTTTTTAACAGAACGACAGCAAAATTCGTACGAAGATTCTCGCGGATATCCCGACCACGGTGGTCACAGCACGCATCGGGACAGGCCACCAAATTACCAAGCCCCTGCCTGGGGTGGGAACAAGCATCGACCAAATTGCGCTGGTGGGGACGAGTCGTATTGTCTCTACGACAGAGATTACCCAATGTGCGTGCATAAAGAAAAATATTAATATATTGAGACTAACATATTGCATTTCGTACATTTTTTCCATTAATCAGGGACAAAGTGTCCAACATTGCGAACCACTACCAGCACTATTTGTCCTCGCTGTACGAAGAGATGAACCACTACTCTGTCCATGATTACATCAATCACGACAATGCCACCCATAACTATCGGTTAGCATACAAATATTCGATCAATGAATATGAATTGTATGCAATCCTGTATCGATTAATGTAATGTGTCATTTTCCTTTCCTGATGTCTTTTTTTTAGGCACAAGGGACACTTCATTTGCGAATCGGACGTTTCTTATGTGCGCCCAGGCTGGGCCAAGAACTGGAAAGGGGAATGGATCGCTGTCCTCAACACGGACGTGTTCCCACAAAGCGTGCGAATTGAGACGTGCAAGTATGAAAATATCTCCAGTAAAACTTGCTAAATTAATACGATTATCGAAATGCAATGGTTACAATATTTTCTCAGGTACCCGAAAAAGAAGTGCGAGTACATGCCCCCTTGCTACAAATCGTACTGTGTACAACGGTACACTTACGTAAAACTTATTTGTTTGGACCCCTACAATCCGAACAAACGGCCGACGACGGACGTTTTCGAAATTCCATCCGCTTGCTCCTGTTTCGTAGAAAACTTTCCACTCTACTAAATTTTATTTCTGCTAAACCTCCGCATTGTCTTTCTCTCTATTTTTTTCTGTTCGTACATACATACGTCTCATCATTGTCTTCGTCCGTCCACCGATTTTGGAAAGTAGTGCTAAAGCTGAATCATCTTTAAAAACACAAGTAATAGAGTAATAAATAAATAAATGTATGACAAGCTGTTGTCGTGTTTCGAAGTGGTAATAAAGTATTGTTGCAGTAATAAATTGTTAATAGTAAGGAATGTAATGTCGGCTTGAATTTATTATTGTATTCGTGCAAAAAAGATGATGACCGATGCAACGGAACGGCATACATTGCTTAGTCAACACACATATTTATGTATGCGTATTAAATTCGTCCTGCCAATTGCTTTAATTGTTACAAATAAGCATTAAGGACAATTATGTAGATGATACAAAATGTCAGCAGTATTATAACGCTGTTTTCACTATCACTAAATAGCACATCTCATTCTTGACAAAGATATTTATTACTGCCCAACTAAAAATGCGACACTTGCAGTTTTGCACATCAATGATACAAGATCATTTGGATACACACGGAATCTATCACCCTCATTGCAGAATGTTAAATTGTAATTATATTGATAAGTGACTAAACATTCTTATGTTTGTACAAACATGCGTTCAAAAGAATTTAGGAGCAAGGGAGTGAAGAAGATATAAATATGACCATTCGTTGTACGTGCATTCGATCAGTCTATTCAATTGTCTAAATTTCTGCTCCATTTCTGTGATACTTCAAAAATGGGAAGATTTTCTACTTCCGTTGATTATGGAAAATGCATTATCGTCACCGTCGTAATTGTGGCGTGCTGTGGTGGTACGGTACTTGGAAGTTTACGCAAACTTGCTTACGAAGGGAACTGTGTCCAACCCGCAGGGAAATTGGCGAGCAACTTGGACTTGAATTGGGTAGGATTATGATTAAAGTAAATAGTTATCGATTCTATTGATGTCAATAACCCAAAGATTCCAGGAGAACGGTAAACGCATTTATAACAAAGTGATTACAGTCAAGTACTTGTTTTGTCGAAGAACAAACTAACTAACCAAGTATTAATGTCTCTTGATGTTTATTCATAAGAACAAAAATCTGCATCCCGAAATTTGGGCTTTCTAAATCGATATTCTTAGCAGAAAACTCTGAAAAAATTGGCAGATTTTTTCAGATCAAAAGTTTCCTATGAATCATTCTAACTTGTTGTTCCTTTCAGATCACAACCATCCCGAAGCTTCATATCAACTACGGGTCTTTGCAATATTGGGTACAAAATGCACAAGCCTGCCTCGGGATGGAACCCCTGACCCTCGCCGTCCTCTCCAACATGGACCTCAAAACCAAGTGGGACCTCAACACCACGATGACCTGCTTCGGACGATCAATTTCACAGGAATGTTCCCTCAACAAGAACAATGGAAATCCCTTCGCGAGCTGCACCGTAACTTCGAGTGATCCAGGAACAAATGCTAAAATCTTGTGTGAGCACCTACCTCCCTCTTTTTGTATATAATTGTCTGTCATTTTTGACTTGGTCATGAAAAACTTGCTGTATTTTCAGCCGACTACAAGAAACGTGTCGTTCTCACGGATAACAAAACTTTCGCCCTCTTTGTGAGATGCACCAACAACTTGCGGTCCTACTACATTGCCTCCCCATTCCCCACCATCAGCCAGGTCGCCATTCTTCAGAGTGTCTACAAGGTCATGGAACTGGGCTTCGACGTCGCCCTCTTTACCAAAATCTCCTCCCATGATTGCGACTAAAATGAGTATTTGGGTTGTGCAATCAATTAATTTCAGCCATCATGAAATTTGTATTGTCCACTTAATAATTTCGTTTTGATTCTCCATTAAAAATACCTACGTCACTTCATATGGATATATTTTTCAATATGTTTTGAATAAATTAGGAACAACACGGCTCTATCGTGTCGAGTTGATTAGCTAATATCTTCGCAACTTACCATCTCATATCAGTCCTAAAATTGCACAATGTCATTTACCGGATAATGACTTACCTACATACAAAAGTCTACATACATATTGGCCCTGTTCCCGTTGTCATATCCATCGAGCGCATTACTTATCTTACTTCCATTTGGCGTATCACACTCTTCCTCCCTGATCGCCATACGGGAAGTTGGAGTTTGAACGGTTGAGTTCCGTCATCAAATCAAAGTACATATTCGCCTTCCAGTAAAAAAAAAGTAATCTACTTTTTTATTTTTTGTCCACTTACCCACCGCATGGCATGGCACACTGCATACATCATTTCACATGGCAGAGCAATATTGCATAACCATGTCATGTCATCATAAACTTGCTTCTTAAAATATCTCGGAGATAAATTTGCTATATCATCGCCATCATAACTGCTCAGGTTGGTTTTCAAGTTCAAGTCCAATATTACAGATATTCCAACACTTCATAGGTATGGCTTCTTCGGTGTATTTATGAATGACGGGAATGACGTCTTTCTGTGTGCATCATTATTGTCTTACATACGCAAATGTTTCCCGGTGTAATTGCATAGAGATACAGCTCTAATAACTTTTTCTAACTAATTCCAAAAATATGTTGGAATTTGGTTATTTTTTTTGCTAATTTTGACCACTAAAAATCAGGGGTGACACGCACCATCAGTCGATCCAATCTTTTATAAGTAGTTAGTTGATTTCAAAATCAAAGCAATGCAAAAAGCAGGTAAAACTGGAACACAACTCCTCCGAGAGGGATCCTGTGCTGCATGCAAAAACGAGAGCATGGCAGCGTTCGGTTTTATCCATTTGGCAAAATGAGATCTGAGATTCGCATAGTTTGGGAGTTCTACCCGAGCAGATTCTCATTTTGAGCTGCAGTTGTGTGGCTGAGCTCCACTCGGCAGGAAAGAATCAGCAGCTCCAGCTACTCAATAAGACGTCTGATCTGATGAATCATAATAAGTTTACACTTCTTTTTTTACAACAATAAAAAAACAAATGAATAATAAACAAATCAATCAATAAGTGTCCTGACTGTTGCGCCATCATTGTAACAAAAATGTGTTCGTCTCCGACCCCTTCATATTAAGGAATTTGCAAGCAGTCGATTTATTTAAACTGAAACGCAAGATTTTGACAAACTTATTTAATTTGTAAGCAATAAATAATTGTCACTGATTTCGACCTAGCTACATTTACAAGTATCGACTGGTGGGCAAAGCCTAAATTAATTCAGACGTCAATTAGCACATCGCGGTGGTGTTAATTAATTACCATAAGAAGTATCGAACCATCCAAGATAAGAAAATAAGTAAAAGGGTAAGTTAAAGCTAAAAATTGAAGTGTAATCATGTCTTCTTGTTATTTATTTATTACAGTTTATTTTCATTGTTAAAAATTGCGTGTTTGTGTTGTTCTCTCATAAAGAATTACGTTTCATAAACTTATGCGTATTAAATTCATAAACAACAATAATTTTATCGCTTTACGAATCCAAAGTCTAAAACTTGTGTTCTCCTTGTACTTCATTCTTCCTTTGTTTAGCTTTACTGAGTACAAACAAAATTTGTACGCGTTAGTTTAAATCGCATTTAAATATTACAAATATATATTTGTTCCTGGGAATTGTTATCATTTTCTGTTGCCGACATTATAGGTCCATTTCATTGTGTTTCAAAGTAATTGTGTGACTTTGCTTGCTTCTTTAATAGCAAGGCGAGTATTATTTGCAATGATTGGTTGATTGATTATACGTAAACTAATTGTATAAAAATATGCTTTCAGCCGAGTGACACGTACGACCCCGATACTGTACTTCTCTAGTCGACCCGAGATTATTGATGTGACATTGTCGTAACTCGTTCCAATTGAAGAAGAACTCTCGTTTGTTGCCATTTCGTCACCATGTCGTCAGTCCTGACCAGGCGTGGGCTGGCCGTTCAAGGGTCGGCAAAGCGATTCAATCTTGTCGCCAACTATTCGTCACGGCCAAACCGAAATCGGCTCGAGTACTCGAATGACTGTGGGGCTAGTGCGAGTCAGCAGAGGGAGCGGTCCCAGACGGTGACCTCCTACTACAACCAGAGCGCCATTGACGCCGCGGCTGCAAAGGTGGGTATGGAAGATGGTGTAAGTTACTAGAAGTTTGCATGCACATTCTAACATAGACAAAATAGTGAATATATTGAGTGTGCTTGCTATCCAAAAGTAGTGACCACGCGGTGAAATGAGCTTGAGGGGAAAGTCCTCTGGACAGTTCGGGCATTGTTATTAGAAATCCTGATCGAATTTGAAGTCTTTGTGGTCGTGAGAGTGAAGTAGTAAAAGCCCGAACGTTGATAGGAAGGGAACGCGGGGTGGCCTACATTTGGTTGGAGTGTGCTATGCTGTGTACTATGTCTGGTCTCGTACTATTGATCCGGCTTCTTCTTCTATATGCATCTGTAGTGTCAAAAGCGAGGCAACTACCCGGGTGGATACATAGACAGGAAGGCATCGTTTCATAGAAGTATAACCGCACATCGCAACCAGGCCACTCTCTGTTCACGTGAAAGGCACATGCACGGTAGTTGACGTGAAGTAGGAAGCGATGGATGGAAAGAAGTGATGAACTGATTACTCTCGGTTCGGTTATGCAGTTTCTCGAGAAAGGTTTATTCTGCTTCTTTGGCTAAAACGTTCGAGAAAAGATGGGCGACACACCAAACTTGCATGTTTCGTAACTATTACAAAGAAATGTGACAAGGATTGCTTTAATTTCATGGTTTCGCATTTCATCCCAGCAATCCTAGCAGATGAGCTGCTATAAAATTATTATCTCCAGTTTCATCACACATTTAAGAATGACAACCACGAATAATGCTCGAATGTTTTCATTATTTGCTCTGCTAGTTGGGAATTAGATCGAGTGTCGCATTTCTATTTCTAGCAATCTTCTGTTTTTATAGCTGGAGGGACAAGGGTATTCCCAAATTGAATTACTTTAATGCTATACATGTACCTTTATAACCAAAACCTCAGCTCAATGTGTTGGTTAAACTTAACTATGCGCATAGTTGAATATTCTGTAAATATTTAATATTTCTGCACTTTTCTTAAGTTCGAATCAGACCGAAAGTAGCAATTTGGTTCTCTCTTAAAATGCTTTTATTAATAATTCATACCATCCTCATTTGTTGGAGGGCAAACCTTGTTATTCACTTGAGGGGACAAGGTCCTCCAGCTTGCTCTGCTGAGGTAATTTGTGGGACGAGTGAATCATTAATGCCGTTACATGATTATGAATTGTCCTTTGTGCGCCAGTAAGTTTGCTAAAATGTACTTACCGACCGCACACCACTTACATGGTGTCCTTAGTTTGCGTGGGTGATAATAATGAATGCATGAATGTTGAATGTTTACTTTTTGGAACAAAGCTCTAAAGAAACCACTCGATTTAGCAGAGTACAAATGCAAAATGGCGGAGTGAGTGCAGTTGTTTTACTTAAATGCAAAAACAACCAATATGGTTTCATGTTGTTAGTATTCGCACATTGGGATGAAATAATGAGTCACTTTGCAAATAATAAATAAAAGAAAGAAACATGAAACGCTTTTGTTTTTGTTGTTGTGTGTCCTCGTCCTGTCGTGAAATAGAAACTATTTTGTTTAGAATGAGTCAAGGGGGCAATGATTCTTGAAATATGCTTTCCTATTTATATTTAACATCCCCTTTTAATATGACGATGTGGCTGTGTATTTTATTTATTTCAGCCCTCCGTACGACTGACTCCGGCAACCATAATGTACGCTGGACGAAGCAATGATCACAGTCACATTTTGGTAAAATGCTCAATTAGCAACAATAGACTAGATTAACAGAGTTAACTCTTTGCCACTAATTGAAATGAACAAAGTAAATGAATGCTTGTTCTTTCTTGTTTCTAGAAAAGTGCGCAATACCTACACAAAGAACTTCCAGTAAGAATTGCCCATAGGATTGCTGGTTTCCGCAAATTACCATTCATCGTGGGATGCAACCCAACCATTCTCTCCGTGGTGAGGAAATATAAATATACATGCGCTAGACCACGTGCATGTAACATGCTAGGGATAGCTTTATCATCATTATTAATATAGTTAGTGCAGTTAGACGATTCTTTACTCCGTTTGCGATATAAGAAATAATTTGCCAATAATAATCATGATCACCAAGTTGAAGATGAACGAACCAAGAGCGGCGACTCGTCGATGAGTGCACCAAACAAAGTCCAAACTCCAATGAGCGCCATGTGGAGGGAGACTGGTTGCATTAGGAAACCGAAATTATTATGTGTGTGCACGTTTGACTCGAAAGTGGAATGAGTGCCAAAAATTCTGTGAGCAGTCTCGCATCGTGGTGAAACTGCATTGCCACTGATGGAATATGTATATGACTGTTCGAATCGGTCGAATGAAAGAATTCCATACTTTACTACTGTCAAATATATTCTCGTCCCTCCACCACCACTTTCCTGTCCTTATGCTGGCTGGTGGTGGTATATTTTGTAAAGGTTAACGATAGGATGAAAGAAGGACACTTGCTCTTCCTGTCATTTTGTAGGGTTTTATTTATTTTTTAAAGAATCAGATACAATTTGGTAAATTCACAATGATGTCAAACGAAACACGATAGATAGATGATTGGGATTTGAGCATTATGCTTGCTTTATTATAGATGAACGCAGTTTCTAAAAGTTGTACAAGTCAAGTTAGTAACTGGATGCATTTTTAATTTTCAGCACGAAATGTATATCCGAGCATTCCACATTTTGAACGACTTTCCGAACATTCAAGACATGAAGGATGAAGCAGCTTTCAGCGAAATTTTGAAAGGACTTCTCGAGGACTTTTCCCAAGTTGTTACCCAACTTGCGGAAGGATTTAAAGCGTGCAGGAAACATTTACCGGTAAAGGAAATGAGAGAAACGGAACATCCTTTACTTGATGAAATATTAAAAATTGGTTTCATTTCCTTTGCTCTATTAGCAACAGGACGATCTTGTTCGTCTCTTTCTTGATCGAACTCTTACATCTCGGCTGGGCATTCGAATGCTGGCAACGCATCACTTGGCGTTAAGTGAGGACAAGGTCAGTTCATGGTGTATTTAGTTGGGTTGGACGTGAACAAGATGTAGTTTAGTAGGTCATCGTGTTGCAGCGCGATTCAATGTTTACATGTATGCATTTATATATAACTTTATTGCAGCCTGACCATGTCGGTATAATCAACCGTCACCTCCGGCTCCAGGATATGATCGAACGGTGGGCCGATTTTGTGATACGGTTGGCTCAGAACAAATACGGGAAAGCACCACGGATCAAGCTATCGGGTCACATTAATGCCACCTTCCCTTATATTCAACTCCCCCTCGACTACATGATCCCAGAACTGTTGAAAAATGCAGTCAGGGCCACGTTGGAAGCACATGTGAATGTGAGTGAGAGTGAACTCCCTCCAATTCAAATTACCATTGCAAACAATGATATCGACTTCATTATAAGGTAAACCCATTGACATTGAAGACATTGTCCATCATTTCTTTCTTAACTTATTATACTATTTGTAACGTGTTATCTTTGCAGACTGTCAGACCGTGGAGGTGGAATTAGTCACCAACTCATGCCCAAAATTATGCAGTATACTTTCAGTACGGCTGAACTTTCTACTGAAATTGGAATGGGTCAGAATGGACTTTTCAGCAACATGTTGGACGTCGCCAACAGCACCACTAGTGGTCCAATGCACGGATACGGATTTGGGCTTCCAACATCACGTGCCTATGCTGACTATTTGGGAGGAGGACTTACTATCCAGTCCCTTCAAGGGATTGGGACCGATGTTTACCTTCGACTTAAACATATTGACTCTAAATCTGAGTCTTTCCGCATTTAGATTGTGACAGGGTGCAGTTCTTCCAACCTTCCTGGGAAAATCCATCGCAAAAGAAAATGTTAAAGTATGCATTTTAGGGGCAAAAGGGCCGAGTTTTAAATTTTATACCAAACTATAAAAATTCAATTCCCATGTTTATAACAACAACAACAACAACACGAGGAAGTATTGAACCTCGATTTACAATTTGTGATATATTCCTTGGTTAAAAAGCACCACCACCTTCTACCCTTTGATCCACTTACCAACTAAACTATACCATTTTTTACATGTAACGTGTAAAAAAAGCTGAACAAAATTAATGCAGCCTGTCATTGATGATGATGATTGAATTCGTGTGACAAGATTTTATACTTATGTAAACCGTTTCCTCATTTTGAGGAGGAGACGAGATTGCAAGTATTCTCTAAAAACTTAATTAAAGAACCAAACGTAAACTAAAGTACTATTTAATCAAGACTGCTGATGTTTTTCTCGTACTTTCTTGATTGTGCGATTGATAGAAAAAAATTACTAAATATCTTCCAAGTCGTAAATGTGAGATGAATCTTTGTTTTTACTTGTCGCAAATGATATCCTAACATAAAAAGGATTTCTTTGTACTTAATTTTTGACTTATTAGTTTGTGCCAATCAATTTAAATTAAATTAATGCGTATTATTACAACTATTGTTACCCAATGTATCTCAGCTAAACTGCAATCGCAACGCTTTTTACGTAACCGTATTTTACTTTTGTTGACTAATGCTGTTATAACAGTGAAAGCCGTGATCTAATTGTAGGGGCAGGAGGTAAGATTTGATGAAGCGTCCGCCGGAGTAGTATTACAACAAATAGTTACGCCATAGTATTTTAGTAATGATTCAGTTTGTATATATATTTAAATTGTCAAGTAACTGGTTTTTATGTACATGTCAGTCGCGGTAATGATGTAGACTATAATTAATTTGTATGACCAATTCTGGTTATGAAAAGTTAGAGAGTAAAATATAAAAGTATCCTATGTGCTGTAGTTGCATGACTTGTGAGGAAAGTCAAGCAGAGCACCTGCGATGATCTGTATGTACGAAAATGTTGCGCATCTCCCAAATATTTCAATTATATAATTATATATTATAAATATTAATTAGTAAACTGTTTGGATAACTTGTTTGTTGAATAGTAATTTAGAATAGTTTATGACAAAGCATATAAGTAAACTTTTAGTCTGGTTGTCTCCAAACACTGCATGGCAAATGGTTTATCCGAAAAGGGAAAATATTTGATTCTAGGTTAGCTGTCAGTATGAAAAGTAACGATGTGTAGTTTAACTGTAAATATGAACTGGCTGAATTTTATTTGGAATCTCTGTCATTATTTTTGTAAGTTTTGGATTTCTATGAGAGAAAACATTAGCGTCGAGATCATCAGACTACACTATGAAATACCTCCTAAAATTTACTTGTTTGCACATACATACAGGTGGTTATAGTTATAAAACATAATTATATCTATCTTTTATTGCCGAATGAATGAACTACAAATATGAAAAGAAAGCTTTAACAAAAATCCGTAAAATCAAACTACAATAATATAAATACAGTCTTTGTCATGACACATGACAGTTAAGCAATTTTATAGTCGATCATAACCAATGTCAACTAAAATATAAATAGTTTACTAGATTATAGTTATTTACAAAAAAAAACTTTGTATAGTTGAATGAATTAGCAAATATATTAAAAAATAAGATTGCTTAATAACAACACTCAAGTTTGACAATCATTAATTAATCAATCAATTTGCAAATCATCCATGATTCTCGCTCTCTCATGCATCCATACATCCATCAAGTTAACAATGCTATGTTAGGATTTGTTCATATTTGCAAACCTAATTCCTTCCTCGGAAAGGGATCACAATAACCCTCGCAATGGAAAATTTCGCCGAGTGATGAGTTTGTGCAAAAATTGTCAGCTCAATGTGGCATTGCGAAAAAAAATGCGGAAAATAATGTGATGGCACGCTGTACATGAAGCCATCATGGCTCTGTACTTCTTCACTTGTGTATAAATACTGTTGCACACACGGGATCCTCCTGGACAAAATCCGGACAAGTGGTGAATCTCGCACTCACTCCGCGTTCACCTTTCCTCCCTTCATCACCATCCTCTCATTATCATGGTCAACCTCCAGCAGTAGTCACTTTTTCGTCTCACTTTGTCTCACCTCCAGTTTCACTTCGCATTTCAACAACCATAATTTTATCCAAGCTTTCGTTTTCTTGCTATAACTGAGACTCGTAAATATTACCCTTTAAAAATCTCATTAAAAAATATTTAGCTCTTTCTTTATGCGACCCACGAGTCGGTCGGTGTTGTAAGCCACCTTACATTCCAGGACGACATTACTCAAGATCCGGTTCTAAAGAAACAATAGGATTGTTATATAATCGATTACAAGACATGTTACATATCCACGAGTTTGATTAATAGGACAATTAAAAAGAACAAGAACAATTAAAAAGTTGAGAATAAAAGTATTTACTTAGTATTATGTATGCGGCAAGAAAATAGTGAATGAGAAGGTGACGTCGGTATAAAACAAGGGAAAAAGTGAGACCTAGACGAGGAAAAGATTGATTGATTATCTGGACGACAACTTGAGATTCTGGGTTTTTTTAAGAAAAGTCTCAATTTCTTGAGATCATCAAAATGGATCAATTAATTTCTTCTTCGTCCTCCACGGACCTCGAAGCACCGTCGAATCATCTCAACTGGGTGGATTTCGCCGTCATTGCGGTCTACTTCATATTCGTTTTGGGGGTCGGACTTTACGTAAGTTGGGAACATTTTATTCTTTGAATTGCTTGGAAATAAATGCACGCAATTATATTTACGTAAAGTGCAAGGCGTGAGGTAGTATAAACCAAATATAGCCTACATTTGGCCGTTTGTGCTGTGTGCATCTAAATTCGATTCATTACTTGGAAGAGTCATTCTTAGAAAGGTGAACCTGTCCTGAAACGTGTAATGAGACGCCTACGTATAAATAAACACAAACAAAAGCCATGAAGCAAGTTATCGAGATGAAAGTAAGTAAGTAGACCAGGCAGGTAGAATATATTCATTCTACGTCTTTCTCCCACGATTTGAGCATATTTGTTCTAAGAGAAGCAAGGAACCACACAGCACATATTTGCAATCCAAACGAAGATAATGGAGTGACTACGTACGTATGTACGTACGTAAGAGTTAAGTGGCAATCCATCAGCAAAATTAGAAAAAATGTGTTCTATGGAGGTGTATAAATTCATATTTTATAGGGCGATAGATCAGAAATGTCGAAACTAGTACACGTCGGCTGCATGTTCGTCTTTAGGAATCATCATTGACGTGTAATCTTTAAAACAAACAGCGGCGGTTTACTCCTTGTGTCGACATCACAATAGAAAATTAGAATGCATGCAAGAAATGGGCAGTTTCAAGTCAATCAGTTTCCACTTGCTTTGGGAAACTGAGACAGATCATGAATATTCAATCTTCATTCAGCAATCCGAAATCTAACGAAACGCGACAGTGCTTGGGATAGGTTTTTACGTTTCATACATGTCATACCGTCTTCATTCTAAAAAATATAATGCAAAATTTTAGCACCAACTTTTTAGTAGCTCTTTACGTTCTTCGTAAATTGTTTTGTTTTGAAAGGAATGTTGTGGAATGCATTATGTGTGCATACTGATATGTACATACGTATTTATGTACGTATAATGTGGCTGATTAGTTATTATACATATGCGAGGTGTCCACTATTATTACTTCTGGTCACCTTGTTTCTAATTCCACTCCGCACCTGCTCACAATTAGTCAAGGTGGATATTAGACAGTCCGGTGTGTGTAATTTGTGCCATAAACAAACAAACAGATAATGCCCCAGTGGCGCAAGGTACTTATTGCTTTTAATGAACCGAGTGTGCGAATTAGGAGCAATTAGTTCCGTTCCATCATGTATGCACATTAATAATGCGGATAAATTCTCAAGTGAAATTGGATAAAGGCGATGAAAAAGTACGTATTCGATGCATCTCCGAGTGTCGCCTCTCTCCAATTCCCTCAGTCATTTGAGAATATGGATTGCGTCCATTAAAAAAGCGACTACTCGAAACCATGTAAATTGCAGGGTATACTGACGCAACCTTGAAATCTGATAAGTTAGAAATCATCTTATTATTTGAAATGCAGTAATTTTCCATCGCGTCATACAAATCTCTTGTTATTTGTGCAATTTATCTAAACAACTTGCCAAATGCTTCGTCCCCCCTGGAATTTAAACCACTCAAATTGAAGCTCATCGTGACAAACCCATACGAGTCGGCCACAATGCAATAATACATATTTAAGATCATCATCGCACCGGAATGCAAAGTCCTTTATGACATTGAAACAATTAGCCGGGATTATTCCCTGATTCTTGATATGAAAAAGGGAGATTAGATTAGGCCGATGATTATTAGGATAGCCGTCCCGTGGGGTTATCTTTGTCACACAATTTCACATTCGCGTATGTCTCTCGAGGTGTGGTGTTATCAGATTTAAATCAGCCATGCAAACTCATAAATGATGGTTGTGCAGTGGCATTTGTACAAAGCTAACAATTAGTTCGGATTACAACGATTCCATGATGTATGTGCAATGCAAGTCGAGTCAATAAATCAATAATAAAGTGTTGTTGAAGTGTCTAATCCTCAAACACACGAGATGATATTGTTATTGCTCATTGTTCAATGTATTTGTTCAGTTTATGGATTCATCAATCGAGATGTGCGATGAATTTGAGACGGATGACAATGAGCTCAATTCAAAACTAATTATTTGTCTTGTACACGCAATTTTACGACTTTTTTTATTATTTGCAAAAATAAACGATTTGCAATTTATCTTTGGCACGTTCTTTTTTTTACCGACATCCGCAGTATTATTTTTCGACTAAAAATATATCAATCAATCAATCAATCAAATCGGTACATTATTTTACGGTGGGAGATTTTCCTGAATTTTTATTAAATCACGACGCAAACTTGTGCACGGCAAGTTTTTTAAAAGAACAATGTGATCTTGCCATTGAATTGCCAATGTCACGTTGTGACGTGACATCGGCATTTCTTTTTATTTTTGAGGAATTTATTCTTTGTAATGAAGGGATCAATGATTGACGTATGTATTCAGGTCAAACTAGGAATTGTAATTTTGTAATTTAGAAATGCAAATTGCTTTAAACTTGCAAGTGTCTTTTAATTAACTCGCAATTATGTGTGTGTGCGTATGTCCGGAAATAAGGTGCAAGTACTTCCTCGTCATAAATATGTGCACATATAAAGTCGTAAAATTATATAAGCTTTACGTATGTGCATTATGCAACGAATTATGGAACGGTTTATCTGTGAGGTGCTATATGTTTTGTGCACAATGCGTAACATGTTAACATACATTCACCAGCATTTAATGTCCTTTTGTCAACGAAGGGAATATACATGTGCAATACACATTGTGCATTCATTCTTTCATCCCTGCCCATGACATTAGTTTGCTAAATATTTAAACAACCATGCAAAGTTTATGTATGTAAATAAATGCATGCCAATTTTATGATGTCAACAATGTGAAGTGATTTCATGACGTGTCTTTGATCTGTCCGCAGTCCTCCTTCCGAAGTAAACGGTCCAGTGTGCAAGGCTACTTTTTGGCATCGCGTAGCATGCATTGGCTTCCCGTGGGGGCATCTCTTTTCGCCTCCAACATTGGAAGTGGCCACTTCATCGGACTTGCTGGCTCGGGGGCAGCTTCTGGAATTGGCATTGCGTCCTTTGAACTCAATGTGAGTGCTTAATGCGTTATTTTAGGACCAAACTAATTATTTCCTCTGTCACCATGCATGCAGGCCATATTTGTGATATTGATTCTTGGCTGGATATTCGTCCCGGTGTACATGGCTGCTGGAGTTTACACGATGCCGGAATATCTTCGACTGAGGTTTGGAGGACAACGGATCCGCGTCTATCTCGCAGTGTTGGCCCTGATTCTCTACGTCTTCACTAAAATCTCGGTAAGAATCGAATGACAAGCAAGCAAACTACTGAGAGAAACTGAATAGGACATTGAATCAACATATTCAACCCAAGAATCAAAGTCTTTTTGAGTGAGTGAGCAAACATGTGGGAATGATTGATGCAAGTTTTAATAGAATCTCTATTCATTTTGCACATTACAATTTTCACAAGTTGTGCAAACAAATTGTGTAGAAAATTTGATGCATCAAGTCTAGTTTCAAATTTCCGATATGACATGAATAAAGAAACTTAAATTAGTTTTCGTGGAAAGACTCTGAGTTTTAGTTTAGAAAGGGTAATCGATTGATAAGCTGAGGCTTCATTTGTGTTACGTGCGTTTTGAGAAACTTTTCTAAATCCTCACTTTCCTCAGTTCAATCTTCAAGTATGATTTGTATCAGGACAAGTAGGCTTTTTGGTTCGGGAGGCCGGATTACTTGATATATTTGCTCTGCAATTAGCCAACGTAATGACAAAAGTTTGACATGTTGTTGTCGCATCAAAATCTGAAAGCGTACCTCAAGTAATCGTGACTCTTTAGGCGGATCTGTATGCGGGAGCACTGTTCATCCAGCTGGCCCTCGGATTTGGGGGGGACGAAGGTCTCTACATTTCGATTCTCATCCTCCTCGCGATTGCTGCCCTCTTCACGATCGCTGGTGGTTTGACGGCCGTCATGTGGACCGATTTCGTGCAGACCATTCTCATGATTATTGGAGCAATGATTCTCATGGTTCTCTGTATGTTGACATTACATTTTGTGCAAAATATTGTGCTTATTGCGAAATTCAAATATTCCCAAAAAATCTCCACCCACACTGTTTTTTCCTTTACTGTCAGACTGACACTAATGAGCTGTTCAGTCTGCGGAACGGGATTGATTATACAGATGCTATTTTCTCACGATTTTCTATTTCTCTCCGAATTGGGGTGACGCTACAAGTGGTGGTGGTGATGATGGGCGTCATGCCACTCTATTAAACCCTGCTTATCCTGTCACATCATCCTTACATAATATCTGGTTCAACTGGTTCACATATTTCGGAGTTGCTTCTTAATAACATTTACTGCATTTGGGTACAAAAGAATCGCCCGAATTATTAACGTACATATATTCTCGTTATGCAAGAATCGATAGTGACGCAAGAGACGTCATGCATTACTCGCATGATGAAGGAAACCAATGCATCTTTTCACCCGTCGTATATTTTTAACTCGCAGCCTTCAACGCTGTCGGCGGATATCAAGAACTGATTCGAAAGTACATGGATGAATCTGAACCTTCGCCGAATGCCACGCTGTATGACGAGTTCAACAAAAGCTGCGGTGCTGTACCTCGAGACGCGATGTATGTGACCCACACAACTAAGCATCCGATTTATTATTGAGAACTAATTTCAGTGAAATTAATCAGGAATCTGTTTCGCTCCGTTCACCCTGGCGAGTCTGACCTTCCCTGGACCGGAGTTATTTTTGGAATGACGATCTCCTCCATTTGGTACTGGTGTTCGGATCAGGTTTGAACTTACTCCTGACACAGAAACTGATAAGGTGTCGACAGAATGGAATGAACGTCATTCGTTTTTCAGGTCATCGTGCAGCGCGTCCTCGCCTCGAAGAACATGATAAATGCGAAGGGAGGTTGTCTCCTGGCTGGCATGCTGAAACTGCTGCCCCTCTACCTCCTCGTATTTCCAGGCATGGCTGCCCGAGTGCTGTACACGGATCGAGTGGCCTGTGCAGACCCAGAAGTTTGTCAAGATGTCTGCGGATCCACGACGGGATGCACGAACATTGCATATGCCGAATTGGTCATTAAGCTGATGCCTACGGGTAGGGATAATTGGATGATGAAATACACAAAAAAAGTATCATTGGGGGAATTTGCTAAGAAATATCTCTGCGAAAAACCTCCTTAGGCTTATCTGGAATGATGTTGGCCGTCATGATGGCTGCTCTGATGAGTTCTCTCACTTCCATCTTCAACTCGAGCTCCACCATTTTCACCATCGATATTTGGACGCGTCTCAGGAAAAACCCGTCAGACACGGAACTCGTCATCGTGGGCAGGTATGTGTGCCAACTCTGTTTGAAACCGTAGTAGTAAATCCACTAATTATGACGAGTCAGTCGTTAGATATGTAAATAAATTAGTAGGAACATGTTTAACACCTCACAGGTGATGTGATTATGTCATAATAATGACCTGACATCGAGTAGTTGTGTGGGCAAATATTTGGCAATTTTTTTTGCGTTTTTATTTGATTTAGCGTTTCTTTTTTGGTTACTAATTTTGTTTAATAATTTGGCATTTATTATTATTATTTATTATCATTTGCTTCTCTTTCTGCTCATCCGAAACCTTGAAGGACGAGTGTTTTAGCCCTCCTGGCAATTTCTGTGGTGTGGGTTCCCATTCTGAAGGAGTTGAAGGCGTCTCAACTTTTCGTCTACATTCAACAAGTCTCCAACTTTCTCTCGCCCCCAGTCACGGCCGTTTTCCTACTCGCGTTCTTCTACGGGAGGACGAACGAAGCGGTATTTGCCTCATTTTTTTGTTAAAATTACTACTTTATTTTGTGCTTATCATTTCATTCGTGCTTTTTCTCAACCGCTTTAAAACACTTATGAATTACTATATGTATGAATGAATAACCATTGAGGAAGAAGGTCATCTCACATGCAGACCATCTCACCGCAAGGGTTATGTTGTGGTTGTTCAGGTTGTTCGTTCTCGTCCTCGTGGTCATCAGCATAGTTTGGATCCCCATAATTTTGGCGTATCGAGAGTCGCAGTTGTTCAAGTACATTCAAAGCATCACGTCATACCTGGCTCCCCCGGTTTGCGCAGTTTTCTGCAGTGCCGCCTTCATCACGAGGGCGAATGAACAGGTCGGTCAAACTAAAGGACAGAGAGGTTTTTCGTCCTATTTATTTATATGTCACACTGTGTAATGTTCAGAAGGTATGGCTTATTTGCTTAATTCGTGATATATACAAAGTGTATTTGCATCAATCGAGCTGTCGCATGACGCATTGTGTTACGTTTCACAAGAATATTCCGCATGACACTTGGAGATATTCTACCACCAAGCAAAGCAATTCATAAACTCCTCTTAATACTTTGCACCACCAGCCAGCAAATCTTTTGTTATTAGTATTGACACCATTTTGTTCTTTCTACAATTCCGCAGTTTGAACACGTAGTGTCTCAAAGGACGCAAAAAATAGTTTTGAAAGCAAATATTTACCATTTCTTTGACCAAGGTTGGAAGAAGAAAGTGCATTAAGTCGTCCTCGTCGACAACTCATTCAGCCAGCCAGCCAGCCAGCAAAGAACGCTCGAGGAACATCACGTAGTTGGACTTTCTCTACAATAAGTTAAACATCCTTCATTTCCTCTGCATAAATGTGTCCACTTGAGGACAAACGTATATCCACGTACACATTGTAAGTGTATGCAATGCGGTTAAGCTGCTCTGCTCACTCCAACTCGTGCTCAAGATCACAGGGAAACGTGCTCAATCGAGGACGGAGACATTAAATTGGATGACGACGACGTATTGGTTTTCTTGGACAAAATTGTTTTCTTGTTTGCTGGCAGATTTGCTTTCTTACTTTGTGGAAGTGGTCGAAGGAGTGAAATGTTTGGTAAATAAGGCAATAATTTTCTGGTCGGAACTACGCGATTACATTATTTCATGCCTTGAATGAAACTTTGCAGTAGAATATTCTTCTAAATATGCGACGTGATTGACATGGTGGATCTTTTTTGGAGACGTGATTCAATTTTTTTTTTCTTCCGGATTGTTTTTGAATACATAAATTATGACGGTGGTTGGTTGGTGGTGGATTCTTCGGGGGTTAGCATTGGTCCAGATGAGACGATAAAGTGTGTCGTAAAATTCGGTTTTACAGAGATCCTGGAGACAACAAGCAATTACAAAATTTCTTGACAATTCTGAATTGAACAGCAAAGGTGTTTACAGGAAATGGACAAATTTAGTAAATCAGTTTGTTTCTTTGCTTGCAAGGATTTTGTAGCACATTATAAAAATACTTCTCATTTTTAATTGTTTCACTGTATTTAGTATGGAAGTGACGAGACAATTATGTGTGTGACCAGTGACCACGTACTTAGAATTTGACCAGATTTTATGCAAATATTATTCAGCTGAATACAAGAAATATAGACATGTTTGAAAATCAAGAATGGCTACGTACATATATTTGCATTCATTTACTTCGCAAATACTTCCAACGCAGAGAAATAATTTTACAGATTTCAATTAAAGAAGTGAATGTCCATCAATTTTCTCTCGAATTCCTAACAGTGATAGTTACAAAATAAAATATACCAAAATCCAGTCCTGAATTGGGTGGACGGAAAAATAAGGAGGAATCAGGACAGGACAGGAGAGGCCATGAATTGCAACAGCTTAATACATATGCATGTGCCAAATTTACTTTCTCCCAAAAAGTGTGTTGGTCGGCAGTGTCACGTCCACGTCACTCTGATTTTTTGTTCATCATTTAATTCCTCCATTGATCATAAGCAAACACAAGTAAAAAAAACTGTGGAACATCGCAATCTTGAACTAACCACTTGTTCGTTAACTCCATCAAGTCGAGTTTATGAAATGAATGGATGATGAGAAATATATAACTGGATGTAAGTCAACGAAATGCAGATACTGAAATGCAAAGTGTGCCAATAATACAAACGGACAAATATATATTCTCCTAAAGTCCAAAGAATGTAAGCAAAGTTGCTCTTCTGGAAATTAACTGGAAAGCAGAAAGGAGGAGAGAGTTCGTAGAAAGTTAAACTTTTTGAATAGAGTACGCTCATATTATTTTCTTTATTTACAAGCATATTGTATGCATGTATGGATTATGGTACTCGTGTGCCCACGTGTGCACGAGTAATACTAATCGAGATGTAGTCTGAAAAATTGAGTTGTTTTCTAATGATGCACATACTTAGGATTAGTTAAAGACGGTGGATAATGAAGCTGCTTGTGGTTTGTGCGATCAATTATTTTAATTTTCGCTAATATCTCCCTTTTTTGGGGTGGTTGAAACGCATTAAAAAAGATATTAGTATTATGATTATGAACAAAATGACTTCATTTTAAGCTCCTGCACCCACTCATCGTTTTCCACTCAGCATAAAAGCCGACTTTGTGTAAGTGAAAAGTGGGAGAAAGTCGATGTGACGGTTTCACGCCTCATCTTGGCGTGGGCGAGATTTATTAGTTGTCAAGTGACGCTTGTTGGCAGGTCTCTGTTCTTTTCCTTTGTCCTTTCAACGAGTCCTTTCTTTGATGCATGTGCCCCTCTCAAGCCAACGCTTCTTTTCTCAGTAATAAACCACCACCAGCGTTGGAATTTGCACTTTTGAAGACAAGCTCGTTCGTGACATTTCTTTCTTTTATTATTTTCATTATTCCCTGACCTTGTCACATTCACGCTGTCTTTCCATTTCGGATTTGTATTATCCACATTTAGACAAAAGCATGTCCTCTTACCCAATAAGTTCTTCTCCTGGAGGCATTTGTATATTTTTGAGCTACTCATCCGACCTATGACCTATGACCTATGTTGCTGGATATGGGAAGACTCCATGATGCTCGCTTTCACCCGTTAGTTTGAAGAAATTCGTAATATGGATATAAAAAAGATAGGGAAAACAAGCCAAGGTCAGGTTCATATGCATTTATGTAATGTGTATCACCTTGAATAAATTTAGGTTGGGTTCTCCATCGTGCTTTATGTGGCGTTGATTAGTTCCGCTTATCGTATCTAGTTAGTAGTGGTCTAGGCTGGAGTGCATTAAGTGAAGACAAATTGAAGTGGTTTCGGTCTGGTCGGGTACTGGGTTGAGAGCCGTCTACGTACGTACGTACTTTCCCCGGCAAGTGAGACTGTTAACGAAATTACTAGCTTTGTTATATAGTATCCCACACCGTTACGGGCTGTATGAAACACAAACTGCTTCCTTATCCATCGACGCGAGTCAATATTGTGAGATGTATTTTATGTGGTGAAATTCATGCCTTTTTTGCCTAAAATCTTGCACATACGTTCATTAGGAAGTGCTACTACCACACCACCGTAAAAACTAACTGTGACCTCTAATCCATGTAAATAACAAAAACGCTTTTTTTAAACTAACAACGAAACATGCCACAGAGTTGGAATGCAGAAAGAAATGTTTCCAACTAAATGTTTCCAAACAATTTCTGCTTGTTAAAGTTAGCAGTTGGCAGTAGAGTTTTAGGGTCGTGAGGAAAGTCGAATTCCTCTGGTAACAAAGATCCTTCAACTCATGAGCACATGCCTTCGTTCTGGTCAATTGATGGTGGAAGATGCTTTTACGGAGATCCTTCGAGGTCATGAATCCGACTCTGGACAATAGTAATCTAAATTTGGCCCTATTGTGTGCTTGTCTTGGTCGGTTTCATCACTGGATCTCTTTTCTCTGTGACTGTTACATAAGTTTTCAATTATTTGATGCATTGCAAAAAAATCAATGCATTGCATGGTGTCATTAACACACAGGACCAACCAACGGATAATTCGCTTTTAAGAGTGACTAGCTATTGGAATAGATAGTTATCGACATAACCATAAATGCATTTTCGGAGTCTAATAATAAAGGACGAGAGTTGTGACATAGTAGTCGATTTAACAGTATTTAATGTCACATCAATTGTCACCTTGAGTGTTATCAAATACCGATACATTTCGCCAGAGAACGATAAGATGAGTTTACATGAATATGTCTAAATATATGTACCTAACCTTTATCGATACTGACCGAGTACGTGTATACATATGCGCTGCCATTAACTGCCCACAATAGCTAAATTCCCATCACATTGTATTGACTTGTGTAAAGCCCCTCCTGAGCTTAATCTTCATTTTTATCACTCTGCATCAAACCTCTGACAAACTAAATCACGATTTAATGCACATAAACTTCCACCTTGAACGTTCTCACTCTCATCGTGCTTAAAATGTGGGAGAAATGCTTAGTGTATGATAAATGCACCCACGTTCCAATCTTGAATGGGATGTAGTATTCACTCGCAGGGCTTATGTGCAAAACTAATGCTGAGAATGATCATTTAATCCCCAACGAAAGTGGGGTCGCGTCCCATCGACGAGGAAGATCGCCCATGTGCCTGGACTGATAACGATCAGATTTGCGGTAGGTCGGTTAGAACCAACAGCGTGGATAACCCGTTCAGACAGTTGTATGAGAACCAGTGAACCAGTTACAAAGAAGATGATGGAATCCTATTCCTTCACTTTCGTCCAGAACGATATTACATCATCATAAGTAAGATTGATCCGAAAATACGCCCCGTTTTCTCAGCATCTCAGCGGTCTTACAAAACTATACGAGAACCAGTAATGCTACTTGTTCCATAAAGTTTGGTAGGAATGAACATTCCGACGATGCATGCACTAATCCTCTCTTTGATGTTTGCAATTTGTGCTCAATGTTGAATTTTTCGCTTAAGTTGTGCACGTATGTAAGTCGTATTATGCGATCCTCACTTACTTGCATGCGCCACTTCCACTTTGCTGCCAAGCATTGTTATGCATGGAATCATCATGAATGAACTGAATTATTGCCTTGTAAAGTGTGTCAAATTGTAAAATATGATTTTACGAACAGGGAGCATTTTGGGGACTCATGACCGGCTTGGCACTTGGACTTTTCCGTTTTGTGATGGAATTCTCATTTCAATCTCCAACTTGTGGATCTGGTATGACACATAAATAAGTAACGATGTAGATTATTATTACTCATCACCCTGTAAATTCTGAAGGTGAGGTTGACAGCCGTCCAGAATGGGTTCGGGCATTTGTGGACGATATTCACTACCTGCACTATGGCTGCATCATATTCATAGTGACGCTGGTCATCACCTACGTCGTCAGCATCCTGACACCTCCAATCGATCCGGAAAAGGTACAACACGTCAACTTTATTCATTAAGACACATACATTTAATACATATACACCTTGATATATACGTAGTTACATCGTCTCACCTTCTGGACGAGACATAGTCAGCAAGTACGAAAGCCAATTGATGATTATGACGAGAAGAAGAAATCGGACGCTGGCTCGGATTCAACACCAAGATATGGTCAGTTTTTGTTCGAAAATTACCCTAAACATCGGTCAAAACTCATGATTTAACTTCTAATGTTAAGATGCGGATTCCATGAAGGAAGGCTCCTGCTCCAAATTTATGCACTGTATTTGTGGTGTGGATTCGAAAGCGGCTGCTCTTGCTGAATCACTGGAGCAAGGACCCAAACTGACTCCGGAGGAGGAGGCAGTCGCAGCATCTAAATTCCTCGATGAGGAACAATTCTGGAAAAGGTTTGAGTTCGATAAGATAAAATAACTCTTTAAAAATTAAATTATGTTATGAAAAAATAACTGAACATGATTTTTTTCTCAGGTTTGTCAACTCCACGGCAATCCTGCTGATGACGGCAGCCGTCTTTATGTGGTCGTTCTATGCTTAAGCTTTTACTTTTTACAATTATTTTTTCATTTACCGGAATTTTCACTGGAATTTTAATATCTCTGTTTTGTTAATTCGATATTATGACGAAAGATCTTTTAGCATTGTGCTTCATAGTGCAGCTCATACGAGTTATTTATGAGTGGCTATTATACCTTAGTTTCAACATTATGTAGCAGTCTGCTAGACAAATAGGGCTTAGGAATTATGGTCAATACTTGTTACTTGTGATAAATGTAAGTACTGTTAAAATTGCCAATGTATCTGTATCTGTACCTGCAGAAGAGTAGCGTAGATTACTCACACACACATATTTCGGAACCTGACTGTACAGAAAAAAATACAAAATATTTATTTATTGTTCTCCAACCGTATACGTATCACACACAAACCTGGTCTTATTTTACTGTCCGATCAAAATAAATCGATCAATTACAATCAATATTAAGCACAATCTACGTATAATTAACAGATTAGTCGTGCTGTTCGTTGTGCTTAAAAATTGGGTAGCATGAAAAAATCTCAACTTTCTCAACCCAGCAGAAGTAGTCAATATTTATTATTGTATACATATTGTGTATTTCCAGGATTTAATTTTATTGAATATTTGGTGTTAATAAAAATGTAGTTTTTGTTAATAAAATGAAAATTTCATGGAAATTTCAGCGATTAAAGTTATTTCAAGTATAAAAAGCAGCAACAGGCTCATACCTACATATGCATTTATAAATGTAAAGATGCAGTTTCAAATTTTTCTTATGACTTTAAAAAAATAGTGCAACATGAGAATTTGTTATTTTCACGCTTTTTATCGTTCACACATCATTTTATTTAATTGATTTTGAAATATAATTTAGCCCAAGTATTAGAACACTATTATCACAAAGTTATATCCTAACAAATGGGCGTCTTCTATATCTACGTTTTTTTTAAATTTGATAATAACCAGATCTCGCATCAAGATTTTGAGAAGGTAAAAGGTACGACGTTTTTTTAAGAGTAACATCTCATCAGGATACACGTAATCTGTAACACGTTATCAACGTTGCTAATTAAGTACTTCTACTTCTACAACCTATGTGTTTTAATAATATGGATAAGTATCGGCATCCTTTTTGGTTATCATAAAATATTTACATACAAAAGATACAAATTAGTCAGTACATAATAATCGTCGTCACATCATAATAAATAAATAACGAGTTTCTCTTAATTTCTGGACAAGTTGAATTTCCTCGCTTCGATAATAATTGCATTGTTAATAATTCGTCAAGAATTAAACAAAAATATAACGTTATTACAACTAATTAGCTGCTCCTCCTCTTTCCGTCTGCATTGCTCACTCCTCTCTGTTCACTTTAGTTATAATTGCACCATTGATCATAATATTTTTCTAATTGGCGAAACGAAAAACCTGAGAATTTTCCATCATGGCGTTTTGTCATCACTTCTCTCGAGTTTAAATGCGATTTGAATAATAAATAAATTGTACAAATGTCAAGATAAAAAACATAAAATAATTATAAAAATCTGCAAGTTTGCTCCATAAAAATTCGCTATTGGTTTCAGTTTCGTTAGGGTAAGGTAAAAAATAAAGACGAAAATAAGAATAAATGCAAATGCTTTTAAACGATAAATGTTGTGATAGTTTTTGGCTGTGTTTCGAGTATCGTTTGTTAAAATTCCTAGTAGTTATAAATAAGAAATATTTTAACAGACTTGGCAAATGTTGGACAAACTTGATTCATAAAATTTTACATTTTTTGTCATAGATATCCTGTTTCTAAGTATGGAATTAAAATCTATAAAAATTGTTACAAAATTTGAAATCTGCAACAAATACCTTCACATTACGGTTGGAATAATACCGTGGTTGGTACAAATTTCAAAGTTAAGGGTACAAGTTTTAAGAATTAAATTCTTAACAATTTCTCAGGAGAGTTGTTTGTTAAATTTTGTTTTGTTGAGCAGGTAGAAAATATGTTAGAATCTGAGGGAAGTCCACACTCCTACGAAATTTAAGGAATTCTAAACACTCTTGATTACATAGTTTTGTGAAACATACACCACTTACAACACACTACTAACTTATACAACAATGTATTTTCCGCAAACGTTCATAGTAATTACTGTTAAATACTCACTAACTACCACCACTTGTACCACGGTAATAATGGGGAAAATAATATAATCAACATGATCAGTTCTTATGAATGAATAACCACTTTTGTAAAAAGTAGTTCAAATCTTATAATAGATAGTCATTTAGCTCTTGGATTTTCTTATTGGTCATTTTTTCGTTGATTAAATATCAATACTTGATTGTTCTTTTAAGGAGAAGAGACGGAAGAACACTTTAATCCTCCATCATGACACAATAAATTAATAAATAATTAGTTGGGTAATCAATCAATCAATCATAATGACTTAATGTCGTTCATTCCAATGGGTTACATAGTTACATTCATTAATGACAAATACTAGGGCTATAATTTTATATGATTTTGACCACCTCATAATAAATCTACTCGCATAATGTTATATTGATTGTATGATAGTTAAAACAAAAATTTACAAACTAATTTTACAGAGATTGCAGGACATAATGTGCGAAGCACTTTAACAATTTGATAAATTTAATTACATTACACCAGTGTTTGCTTCGAAGATGAAGATGACTCAATATTTTTTAAGGTAATGATTAGAATACGAATGATGAAATTACTGTGTTGACGGAGTTGGCAACGTACCATTTGTATTAGTAAACAACCCGTGTTCTAAGAAAACGACTTGGATGATGTGACCATCCGGGACGCCGAGATCTCGAACCTTTGTCTTGTCTTCAACAAGTTTTCCGCCGTAAAACCACCGTTGCCGTAGATTGGTACTGATCTTTACCCCCAACTTGGCCTTGCATGATGAAACTGACTCAGCTCGTCTCACCGGCAAGTCGACATCCTTCCCTGACGAAGATAGTCGAAGTTTTATCCAATGTTTATCCTCTTCGGCCGCCTCGTCATTCGTAAATTCTAATAAAGAGCAACTCAAATTAGTCACATCTAAGGATCTATGTGTGTGTGTACATAGTTTTATGATTGATGGAGTAATTTATTTAGTGATATACCTTCTATCGGTGAGTTTTCATCAAAATCCTCGCAGAGAATGTTAACGGGTCGTGACAAACAATACAACGGGACTTTGTACTGGTTTCCTAGCTCATCATATGCTTCCATCAAAGTACCTGAAATCATACAAAATAAAAAAATTATTAAAAATATAATCCAGATATCATATTCAGAATAAATTACTTCTGTCCTTACCATGTGGGATGAAAATGTTTGCGCCATCCAAAATGGCCTGGGCCATGGGATAGTCGCTATTCTCGATGGCGTTAACAGCACCCTTAATGGCATCCCAAATTTCACGCCGACCCTCAAACATGGGAGCCGTTTCCCAAAACTCGTCTCGCTTGCTGTTCAGCTGACCCATCGTGATGGGATTTTCACTCTTCCATTTGATAACATCTTTCTTAAGTGGTTGGGTTTTTACTGTTGGTATATCAGGCATACATCCATGAGTTACGTAATGGTAAATAACATGCGGGGTGTACTCGCCGGTACAGGATCTAAATACTCGGATATCGTTTTCAGCATAGGGCAATCGGTGGTTGTGAGTAGCACTAGAAAAGCGACAATCGCCACTTGGAAGGAATAGTTCATCGGAGATTTCAGCAGGCAAAGATGCGTTCGGCACGAGTGTAGGCAAGGCATAAGCATGTCCTGCTACTGAAGGTTAGGAAACCAGGTTTTGATAAAGATAAAAACAGGAAATGGTAATCAAGAACTTGGAGGAAGGGAGAAGGAATGTTAGAAATGCAAGAGGTAGGAAGGAAGGCAAACTACTAGACTACAAAACAAATTGCAATAGTGCCCTAGAAATAGATTCAGCAAAATGAGCAAAATTATGACTCAGCACCGTCGGAAAAGTCGGAACTATTGAGTATCAAAAAGTCCCCCCCTCCCCCTCCACTTTTCCAGCTACTACTACTCAATAAATAACCACTAAACGACACACAAAGCCATAAGCAAATGAGGAGATCTTCCCTCTCCCCCTTCCTTCCAACCAAGCAAAACAAACCAAAACATACCTCCGGGGTCGCGCTGCGGTCGTACCACTTCCTCCGGTTGGCCCCGACCATTCGTGGCAAGTCTTCCGTAACAAGCACCCATCTTGTCCAAAGGTTTCAAAAACTGATAAGGAAAACGAGTATGACGAGAAGAGTTTCACTTGGAATTTGGAGAGTGATGGAGAGTGAACTAAAATTTATTACTTTTCTGCCGGCCAGTCGAGTCTGGAGTTGACGGGGAGCCTAATACTACTGACTACTAGCAAAATGCAGAAATGCCGACCAACACTTCACCACGCCAACCAACTTTTTTTCTCAATGTCAAAGGTCATTACTAGCAATAGTGGAAAACGATTGAATTTGCAATTTTGGGGTAGATTACTCAAGAAATGGCACAATATTTACTTCACTTGCTAATATCTGCATAGATAAGAAACCTATCTTGTACGTTAGCCAACGGAATTGAATCACTAAAATTAAATCACAATTAATAAATCGCCATTGTTATCACGGGTAAAAATGTACGAAAAATGACCACACTCTTGTATTCTCAATGTAATGATTCGATGCAAAGTTTAAAAACTTTTACGATCCCCAGTTCACTTTCATTGCTCGAAAATGTTAATAAATGTCAACTCAAGGCGACGGCCTTCTTGCTGGATACGAATAAATTTAAAACTTGGTTTGCGATGATATCTCTTCTTCTTACTTGACGCCAATCTTTATTCCAATCTGCTCTGTCATTTCCCATTCAATGAATTAAACTGCTGTTTCAAATCCAGTCCGAGTACAATACATAAATATTTATTTTACAACTTTCGCAATCAGTGCACTGGATCATTTTTATGGGTTATAGTGTTCGTGTCATGCTTTGTGGTTGGCCTGTTTTGCTGAAATTATAAGAAATATATGGATGTCAGCTGAACTATCTGACCACAGCACGGGGACCACAATTAGCAGGAGGAGAGGTCAAGGCCCCATCCCGTTGTTGTCTCCTCCACTCTAATACTTCCATCCAGTCCAACGGGGTCACATTTTGTTTGCAGAATTCTGCTAATGACGGTGGCTCTGGTTTAATAATAATTTGACGAGACTGTGATCTCTTCTTCGGAGACAGAGGAGAAGACAGAGAACTTTAAACGTGATGTATTTATTTGTAGCTCATCTTATACTTGGTTTCGATTTGGAGAGAAGCTCCAAATTGAGGATTCCTCCAATGGGAGGTTGGTAAACCGTTCTAACGTTTAAGGCAACTTGGGGTATCTCGAACTCGTGTTGATCATGGTACAAAGGATTTCGTCTGGTTTAGAGAGAGTGAAAATGTTGTGGCTCAAAAGGGGGACCAAGTATGCAGTTTTCTGTGCCTCTAGTTCTGCTTCATTTGATGAGTTAGAGAACGGTACAAGATAGTCGATAGGAATAAAATAATAGAAATATACATTAATTGAGGGCTTTGGTAACTCATCTTATGAGAAATATCTCCCCAGAACTTAGAAATGTGACATATTTTGATGATGAATGTATTGATAACAGTTCTGATAAGCTTTATGTTAGCAGTGGCGAATTAATTCTGAAAATTGGCTGTCTCTACCTACACCGCTTTATGCATGTCTATTACAAATCTTACCAAAATATTTTACTCATTTCTCAAAATAAAACCAACCTGATTTATCCAGAAGCTTCTGAAACTTTGCTGCAACTTTTCTCAACTTAAGAAATCCAATAAAGACATTAAGAAAACACGGTTGTTAAAAGTATAAAAATATGCATTCTCTACTTTATGGAGCAAAGTTAATAAAATGTAATAACAAGTGTACATGTAAAATCGTTCTAAACCCCGAAACCCTTAATAGAATGGAAAATGAACAAAAGCGGAGAGGAGAAAATGGTTCTCAAATTACGCTTTGTTTCGTCTGACATAATAATAACATCGGAATAGGATTACATTATATGTACACACACATACATCAAATAAATAATGTCATTCATTCCACACCACCACTGCCAAACCGTAATCACGGCATAGTTGCACGAGTATTTTTAAGCAAACCTAATAATAAAACATGCCTCAGTCTTATTACATAAATCGCATTATAATTAGCAGGCTTGCCATTAAGCAACGTACCACAATCACACCACCACATTCCCATGAAATTCTATGCAAAGACGTAGTAAAAGAAATTCCAATGCTTCGTTATTTTTTCACGTTAGGCTTTTTAGGTGCGACTCAGACGAAATGTAGTAGTATGCGGAAGCATAGTAAATAAATACTGTATAATTCCAGGAAACACAGCAAGAAGCTTAAAAAAGTTGACATCGACACATGAATGTGATTTCGTAACTCTTCTATCAATGCATTTCGTGCTCGAACCAATTATCGCAAATTTGAAGTGTGATGTTACTTAACTAATTTAGTTCTTAACTGATAGCTATTTCATTATCATTTCGTAATTTCAGCTCGAGAAATCGCACTGGGATAAGTGTATTTATAAGCATTAATGAGTGCATGCATTGTTTATGCAAAGTCCTGAAAAATTACACGTGTCTCCGATTGTATAAACGTACATCATTCTAGGTGTATAACTGGAGAGTCTACTTGTGGGAATGTGAGACAAAAATTTGCCACTGTACCTCCCGAGTTGCACTGTTTTTACTTTTGACACATTACTTACACCCTGTTTTATAAGAGCGGGGATGCGGAGAAAGGAAATGGGGGTTTGGTAATGGGGTTCAAAAATTGTCTTAGGTGATCGTCTAGACAATTTTTGAAAACTTTGAACTCAAATATCTTAAAATGACGTAGCTAAAATCAACTCGGGTTTTCACAATCGTAAACTAAAGACTCTGGCTCTATGTATCTTTTAATTGAACTATATCTTATTAGTGCCCCCCACCCTCCTCCCATTTCCATTTTCCGCACCACCACACTTATAAAACAATGTGCATTCCATTGCTGTTGGGAAATTGGGAGCGAGCAAACCTTGTGACACTGAACAGTGAATCTCCCTTTCTTCCTTTTTATCTAGTAACAAATTGCCCCTCGTGTGAAATCATCCTTATCCTTAACCAGTGCACCGTATTGGGTTGAACATTTATGCACTCAATCTTAATTCCCAACTTAATGTGACACCGATTACAGCACAGACAATTATGTCACGATATGAATAAAATTAATAAAATAGTCATCAACTGTAAGAATGATGATGAAGAGTAATTTTTTCATTTCCAAGTCGTGTTCCAACTTAATCACATTTTTCCTTCCTTCATTCCTTCCTTCTCATCCCTTGCTAGTAATCTACCCCAATGTCATTCCGGTTCAAGTTTTGAGTGAAATATCTTGAACTTTCTGCTCCCGAATAATTCAGCCCCCTTGCTCCTGTTGCCTCCATGCATATCTCACTCAGCCGCTGGTGTGACATTTCTTTTAAATTTTGAACCCTTTTGGAAAAAATATGATTCCCTTCACACATAATTGGAGGTGTTTTGCATAGCTGAGCCAGACAGGGGGAAGGCATATGTACATATGTGCATTCAATATTCCGTGTTGTTCTGCTGCTGTAATTGAGTCAGCCAGCCAGCCAGTCAGTCAGTAATATATACGGCTTTCTTTTTAACCACCAAGCAGTTTACCATAGGCTCGTCGTCGTCGTGTCTCCTTATCACACGCCAACTTTATATTACGCTTTTAACGGGAGGAAATAAAGAGATTTTTCACAATTCAGCCTTTTTCCCATTTCTTTGGAAATATCTGGCGGATTGATGAGGATAAGTATTTAATGATGACACGAAGAAAGTTGATGATTGGGGTGTAAAATTGGTTCAGGCCAAGCCCGGCCACTCCATACCACACTTTGGCACCTGAATAATTTCCGAGTCGTTTTTTAGTAATCAGTTTTCCAGAGTGGACGACGACGATGATGATGATGATGATACAGTGGGATAATCATTCTCCATTTTTAAAGACCTCTTCCACTCCTCCATTCCGCACACCACGACGACGACATGGTCTCCCCGATAATTGAACCACTTATGGGTGGTGACGACAACGACGCGACATGGATCCTCTGTGCAGCAGGGATGACACACGCAATTTAAATGGTGGTGTGGTAGTCGGATAAAGAATTAAAAAGTGTCTCATCGTCTTTCTTGGCTGATTACTGCGGGCGAGCGAGGTAGGGAAATGATTATGATTAGAAGGCCTATCTGTATGAATGTATGGACTGGCATTATTAGCTAGGCTGCTCTCTCTCTCGCAATGCATGCATGCGAACCTATGTGATCGTCCATCATAAAAGTTAAAGTTGATTACAAACGGAATTACCATTACCATCATTCATGGAATAGTTAAGGTGAGTTGGATGGATGGATGTGAAATTATGTCTTTATGTACAATGTGATTGAATTATGGCGTGAAAATGTAGGTTCTAAATTTTTAAGTCGAAATGGAAAAATGGTGTAGCTCAGGCACTTTTATTGCGTTTTGATGATTATGATGATGATGATGACACAATATCGGGAGGACGACATGGGGCGAGGTATGAACAAACCCTAAATAATTATCAGGAAATGTACGCAGACAATGACAAAACAAAAGTTGGGAAATAATAGAAAGTTTGGTAAATTTTGATGGATGAATTGACAGGATTGCTGGTGTTGTTGTTGTTGTTGTTTTTTCCCTGGCTGGTTTTACGAGAAAGGAAAAATAAGGGCGAAAATCAGCATATATTTTTCTATAAACAAACGTTCACCATATTTCTCAAATTATGTTTCCAGCTTTTAGGAAATTTTGTCACAATGCTTCGTTTCTTCTGATAAAATGTAAATGTTGACAAATCAAAACTATTTAAAAAGCAAGTCAAGAACAGTATTATTTATCCTGCTCAATCCCGGCCGGCACACATGAATAAGTTTGTCTCTAAATCATGATTTACTAAGAATATGCTGAAACTTGTACCAGTTCATAAATACAAATACAAAGTCGACCTTTCCAGACAATAAGTTTGGTAAGCATGCATTATTTAAGGGTGTCTTTAAAATTCATACTTTCTCATTCTGACTTTGATCGTCACATCATTATCGTTGGGATATATTGTTGCGTGATATTGAAAAATAATGACCGCACGAAATAATTGAGTTTATTGTCATTCATCCATCCATCCATCCATAACAAAAAAAGTGGCGTAAAGTAAAAGAAAAAAAAGTCGCATTACGAAATCAACCCTCTCCACTAAATAAAGATAGTGGTGGGTGAATGCATGGCTATAGATAAGCGAGAGACATAGCCGACCGTATAGGAGGAGCAGCAGCAGGAGGGCAGTAGTTGAGCCATGCCATGCCAATTGTGGATAATTGACCATTACATTACTACATGCCAACTTTCTCCAATTATTCATAAATCTGCTATCCGTATCTTATCTCCTCTCCTCTTCTTCCCTTTTGTGTCCATCCTTAAAAGGTTTCACCGGGTTTTATTCCCTTTTAAAACGGTGCAGATTTGACATCACATCAACACATTTACCTCACCTCCATTATTTCTGGGGAGGGTTGACTTATTCAAGAATCTAATCCATTATTTGTGACTGACACCACTCCATCCTCCTCCTCCCTTCCTTCCCACAGCCCTCCTGCATACCAGCCAGGCTTCCTCGCTCACTTATCCACTTCCTCTCCTGTGTGCATTTCGGTGGTCAAGTTGACAAACCAAAGGATCTCGAATCTTGGTCAGTTTTCCTGGAAGGTCACCTTGAGTCATGACCTATTCACGTCTGGAAACAAGATGCTCTTTCCCTCTCTGCACTTGTTCCTTTCTCCGCTTTTCACACATTATTATCCTCTTTGCCCAAGAAGAAGAATGAATAAAAGACTAAACCGACCGATTCGCTGTTCTCTTTCTCTGATCATTCCCATCAACCACACACAATGTGCCCCACCACCACGGAAAAAGCGATTGTCACCTCATTCATTTTATTATTTGACTCATTTGATACACCGGAACGAACCAATTGTTTGTAGGCAATAATTCCCGTCATGCCCTGAGTGACTTGCACACAGCAGGTCTGGAGATATACGCATATGGCCATAAGCGGAGGAGCGAGGAAGGGGTGAAAGACGTGAAAGTGGGGAGAATGAGACGAAATGGACACACACCATTCACTGCAACCCCTTTATTTTCT